CCCTAACCCTAACCCTAACCCTAACCCTAACCCTAACCCTAACCCTAACTAACCCTAACCCTAACCCTAACCCTAACCCTAACCCTAACCCTAACAAGTCCTTATTTAAACATTTTATATTTAACACATTTTTATTTTAAAAAATTACATACGGTAAAGTTATTTTTTATTTTTAAAAAGTGAAATAATTAACATATTTATATATTTATTTTTTAGTTTTTTTACAAGTTAAATAATCTTTTTCCAAGTTATTTAACCTTAATTTTAACTTTAACTTTAAAATTTAAATTTAAATTTAAATTAATATAAATACGCATTATTATAAATTTTTTTAAAAACTTTTTTTATTATATAATTAATTTCGTAATTAATTAATTATAAAAAAAATAAATAATAATTATATAATATTAATATATAAATACTTTATTATTAATATTAAAAAAAGGAATAATATATTTATTATTATAATATAAAAAAACATTATATTATTAATTAACTTTAAATAAATTTTACTTTTATTATTATTATTTTACTTATTTATTATTTTTACCATACGTATGTATTTATTAACATAATTTATAATATATTAATTTAAATTTTATATTTAATTTATATAAAAAAAAACTTTAAGCTTTTTTAATAAATACTTTAACGTTTTATTAATATTTAACTTATATTATTTATTATTTATTTAAAATTAAAACTTTAATTATTACATTTTATTAAATTTAAATATAAATTTATTATAAAACGCTTAATTAAACATTAATATTACTTATTTTAAAGTTAAATATAAACTTATTCCGCAAATGTTCATTTATTAATTTCCCCCATATTTCTTATTATTTTTAAAGGATTCGGTTAATGTCTTAATGGTAATTACCTAAGCAAACATCAAACATTCAGATAACCCGAATAAATACGAATAGTCTTATCACAGGACGTGATAGACTGCTTTGAAGGGCGATAACATCCTAGTAACGTGGCATTTGGGGTTAACTACCTCCCTGATTCGGTATTGAGCTTCCCTGCGATAGCACACCTGAGCTCTGCAATGTGCGGAGTAGATACCTACTTAAATGCTTTTGTTATGGGGAAGATGTTCGCTGTAATCTATGCTCCTGCGCGGCCTGCTTGTTCGCCTTCGGTTCATGCCGGTTTCGAGCAGATGTCACTATATACATCCAATGTAATAAGTCTATCATCGCAAAAATCGCAAAAATGGCAGAAGTCGAAATAGGGCAAAAGGATGGAATTAAGGCGAACGTTGCTGATAATCAGGAGGATGTTATCGGCGACCTGAAAGTCGAGCAAGACACACGTCATGTTGGCACGCTTGATCGCAAACTTAAGTCAAGACATGTGCAGTTTATGGCCTTGTCGGGCGCTATCGGTACAGGCCTTTTCGTCGGTAGCGGTCAGGTCCTATCCCTTGCCGGTCCTCTATCTGCCTTTCTTGCTTATTTGATCACGGCGTTCAACGTCTACTGCGTTGTGCATAGCCTAGGCGAGATGGCAACCTATCTGCCCTTACCAGGTGCCGTCCCCGTGTACGCCTCGCGATATGTCGACGAGGCCTTGGGCTTTGTCCTTGGTTGGAATTACTGGTACCAACTTGCCATCGGCTGCCCGCTCGAGGTGACGATTTCGGTTGTGGTGGTGGACTACTGGCCGAACGACGTTCCCAAAGCCGCGCTGATCACCGTCTTCTTCTTAGCGATGGTTATTGTCAACTGCTTCCCGGTACGCGTATATGGCGAAGCCGAATTCGTCTTCGGCGCAATTAAGCTTACGACCATCGTTGGATTGATCCTTCTCATGTTTATCATTACCTTAGGCGGAACTCCAAGCGGCGAGAGAATTGGATTTAGATATTGGAACGATCCTGGACCCATGAACGAATATCTGGTCACGGGATCACTCGGAAGGTTTCTCGCCTTTTGGAAGGTATTCATACAAGCCACGTTTTCATATGGAGGTTCCGAGATGGTAGTAATTGCTAGCGGCGAAACCGAGAGCCCACGACGCAATATCCCCAAAGCTATCCGCCGAGTTTTCTGGCGAATCGCTCTATTCTACGTCCTCGCAATATTCTTGATCACTCTGTGCGTGTCATCCCAAGATAGCCGTCTCTTAGATGCCATTAAGAACTCGGCTCCCGGCGCCGCGGCTTCGCCTTTCGTCATCGCTATCGAGAACGGCGGAATCAAAATCCTGCCTTCTATTATCAACGCTGTCATACTCACTTCTGCTTGGTCCGCTGGCAATTCTTTCTTCTATTCATCCACCCGAGTTTTATACGCCGCGGCCTTGGACGGAAAAGCGCCCAAATTTCTTAGGTACGAAAAATGGGGTGTCCCGTACGCCTGCGTTGGTGCCACGACGGCCCTAAGTCTGCTATGCTACATGAACCTTAACAACAAAGGAGAAGAGGTATTCTTCTGGTTCTCAAATATCTCGTCCGTCTCGACGTTGATCGTCTGGTCGGCTATCTGCATCACCTACCTGCGGTTCTACTACGGTTTGCGATTTAACGGGATCTCACGAGACTCTCTGCCTTACAAGTCGCCTTGGCAGCCGTTCCTAGCTTACTTCGCCATCTGCTTTTCTGTCATTGTTGCGTTTTTTAACGGGTACGACGCGTTCTTCCCGGGAAAGTTCAGCGCAAAGACGTTTATACCTCCCTACATTGACATTCCTATTTTCGTCAGCTTATTCTTGGGTTATAAGATAATAAAACGAACGAAACTAGTTAAGCTAAGCGATATGGATTTATGGAGCGGTAAGGCAGAGGTAGATAGTTTGGAGGGGACCTGGCCGGAAGCGAAACCTAGGAACTTTTTGGAAAAAGTTTGGTTTTGGATCGCATAAGTTTTTATTTCATTAAAGGTATGATTGGTAAAACACATATTGGAAAGACTATCATTAGATATTGTTATTAAATTCATTTTAGGTAGATGCTAAGTGTCTGGCATAAGAGGTACGTATAAGCAAGACCCTCAGGCAAATGCTAAAGAAGTGTTTCCTTATTATGTTGGAATGAATGTATCGTCGGTTTGTTCGTGATTTCGTTTCCTTCGTACCGGTCCAGTTCTCCTAGTTATGCATAAAAACTATTATTCCTTACAAGTTCACGATAACAGCTGCACCGCCAAATAGAGCAGCTGCTCCTACGACGCCAGTTTTCATAGGCATCGCCGCACCCGAAGAGCTAGACGTCTCCGTCTCACCTCCCGCCGATGTGGCAGCGGGGAAAGTAGTGGTAGGGGTCGTGACACCACTAGTAAAAGGGACACCTTCAGACCCCGAGCTGGCGTTCGTAAACGCAGGTGTAGCGGATGAAGCCGTCGTATCAGGAGCCGCAGATGTATTATCAGGGTTTAGTACTCTGTTTGGCACGTCAGCATAATGTGCTAATTAGACGGCCACAATCGGTCATTATATGATATGAGGAGACATACTGATCAACTACGTGAACAACGCCATTCTCCAATAAGATGTCTGGAACTGTGACCTTGGCGGAATTGGCATATACGGTCCCATTCACCACGGTAATGGTGATATTCTCCCCGTTGACAGCAGTAAGCGTGGTGTTCTGGAAATCCGTGCTGTAGTTGACGGAGCCGTTAATCACATGGTAACCCACGATGCTGGTCAACTCGTCCGAAGTAAGGTTACTGACGATGCTTCCAACGGCGTTGAAGGCATCGTTGTTCGGAGCGAAGATGGTAATGTCACGCGCATCAACGACCGAGTCAGTCAAATTAGCCGTGCGGATAGCACCCTCAGCAGCAGTAAGGTTTGCGTTGGAAAGAGTTTCCGATATGTTCTGAGGAATGGTGAGGACGCTATCGATGATGTGGATTGTGCCTCCAGTGAAGTTCACATTCTATGAAATTATCAGCTTAACAATTTTCTTCCCTTTCGCAGATAATAACTTACAGGAGTGACGATGGTGGCATTCTCCTTCAGGGCACTAAAGAAAGTGACGTTATTGTCTCGAAGTCGGGCCTCGACAACCTGACCGCCGGTAACGTTGGCATACGTATTGTTGGTCAGCAACGTTGGAATAAAAGTCGTATCATCCCCAAAGCTGTCGTTATAATGTGTACCATTGAGGATATGGTAGTTCAATAGAGCCTGCAAATAATCAGAGTTGGCAAGTAGCAAGGCGTTTTCCTTGTTGCTTGTCAGAGCGCTGAAAGCATCGTTGCTCGGTGCCAAAATGGTAACATTTCGCAACCTGCTTAGGGACTCGGCAATTTGGGAGTTTGATTCGAGAAGAGCTATACCGACGTCAGCCATATACCCAACGGTGGGGGCATGCGCGTCAACGTACTGTTCAACGACGACAGCGTCGAGTTTTGAGAACCTAGAGCGTCGCTCAAGCTCGGTGTCTGAGCGGAGACCAGGGAGGCCAACGCCAGAGAGAAGATATTCTTGTACTGCATGATAACGACGACTGGACTTACGCCGAGAAGTGTGAAAAAGTAGCACTGAGGGTAATACACAACAGGCCTCACAAAGATTACCTGCTCAAGGGTCAACTACCAACCCTTTTCAAGAAAGAGGAATTGGGGTGAACCCTCCCGCCATTTAAAGAAGTCCTTTGCGATTACGAGTGGTTAACCAAAGCGCACACCCGATGAAGTCATGATATCAGGAATCGAGGCCAAGACAAAGACATGGTATAATGGCGTGGCTGAAACCAATCAAGGACGACGCATACTAGTATCTTGCACGGCGTTGATGACGACGTAAGGAAGCTAACAAAAGCCACTAAGTGTACTTGTTTAAGCCGTCCTATCCGAACGGCCAGTGTCAACGTGATAGAAACATACGCACCTATATTATCTCCCGTAACGTCCTATAAAAAATCCAAACAATATGAAGCAACATGATTCTCTTTCCACTCCGAACATATAATCAAGTTTAGCATCGACCCCATACATGAGATGACGAGAAACACCGCAGCGATTGCTCAATTGTGAAGTTCGTGTCGTCAAAAGAAGGTCAGATAAGCTGATTGATAGACATGATGGCTACACTTGTTGACTTCAGAATTGGGGATACAGCTCTTGGTTCCCTCCCCGCACTTCGCGGATCGGATGACCATTGACGTGATGTCTTTCAAAGAAGAGCGAAGTGGCTTGGCAGCACATCATCCAAACTAGGCGTACAGATCGTCACTCGAGCAACGATCAACCAGTTAGCTGAGCCCCTAATCTACCTGTAACATGCCGATGAACCGAACATATACGCCAGCAGGTTACGGATTATTATCAGCTTTGTGAAATTCCCAAGTGCAATGCTTATTTCTGCTTTTATTCCTCCAACTTTGCCCGAACTTGTTTGGGATATTACCTTAACCTAGCAAACGGGGATCAGGCTTTGGAAATACGTATTTTCGAAAAGCCTATGGAAGTAGGGAAAATCCCTTTAACCCACAGCCCTGTGGGCTTGGCTTAACAGCTACATGGACATGTGGAGAGCTACTTAGCCACAGATTTAGCCACAATGTAACCTTTTTACCAATATTGCTTAATTATGTAATCATTACAGTATTTGAATATCCACCAAATATTTCTAAACTCATATTCGACTCGAAGCTAAGCCCAAATCAAATCAAGTCTCGGCTTGATATCGCCTCTCGAGCGGGATGTGCGATCTGATGGCACGGGTATCCTGGTCACTGAGAAGCTAAGGTTCAAGGAGGATTTCAAGCTCATCAAGTTCACCATGACCTCGAAACTTATCTGGCTTTCGGCTCTGTGGGCAGTCTGGTCGTTCTTCTACAGGTAAGTTACCTCTTTACCGACATGGGCGGGACTCAAAACTAACCAACGATGTAGCGGTACATGGTCTACTTATCTTGCTACCTATTTCTCGGCCCGTTCTCGCGCTCTATCTTCGCTCATCTCGCCGTCTTTCTGCATGTAAGCCGACCCTCTCTTACTTCCTACAATACAGAATGCGTTACTAAATAAAGTTGTAGCGTTGGATGCTTTGGTCTCGGCTTCCTCCTCGACATAGAGTCTCTCAGCCAACGTCGCAGGGCCCAGCTAGGCCTATTTACCGTCGTTATTCTCAACTTGGGCGTGTATATTTGGTCAATCGTCATGCAAGCCAAGTTCAATGCCACGAACCCGGATAAGATCGACTAGGACGAGCCCCTATAACGCCTCGTCTTTCTTGCCGTATTTCTTCGTCCAAACAACGGGTCCATTATCGCAGTCCTACATATACTGGCTTCTGTCGTCTTTCGCCACAGATGCGTGGGCCAACGTACGTAACGGCGCGGCTTTCAGGTATGAGGATTGAATCTGATATGTCTAGGACAAAGCACGGCTCGTGACTAACATATGTGGCAGATCCTTGGAAGCCGTTGGCCAAGCTATTTCGAATGGCATGAACACACAAATTAAAACCGACCCTCTAGTCGGATTGTATGTGCTATTTTCACAAGGTAGATCAGAAGTCTTCGCGCTAACACGTATCTTCAAACTGTGTGACGCTTGCTCTTATGGCAGCCGCTGTAGGTCCGATGTTGACCCTAGTCAATGCTACACCAGACCGTATTCCGGCCGAAGTGATTGTCGAAGCGCAAGAGGTGTAGCAGGAGAAAAAGCTCGAAGGCCTAAAAGCCGAGGAATAGCGAGCACTTTTAAGTGTAGGGCAACTATAAAACCCGATTATTAGCAAAAATGTAATATCTTTGATTCATATCGTACAAAGAGAAGATTGCAGCAATGTTTATAACTGCTTGATAACAATCTCCAATTATTTGATGCGTTCATTAGTTGAGTTAAGGCCAAGGTTAGTTACCTAATGTCCGTCATACGTGTCCATCTGACCGATGCGACAAGCTCCAATTCAATGATTTAAGATGTATCCACGATGTTTCCCCAAGACCACTAATATGCTCCGTAATGGCTCAATGCGAAATGGCCAAGTCCTATCCCGGCGCAAATTCGGAATATTGTTTCTCGATAGGCTTGAAGTGTGGTTGTTTCCGAAAAGTGTCAAGTATATGCCTACCTGTCAAACAGATTCCATGCCCGTTAGAATGATTGTGCATTTATCCCTGTGGCGATTTTCACAAGGGGGGCCCAAAAGGATCGGCTCCCTCTGCAGCAACTTTTCGTCTCTTCGTCTCTCGCCCGTCGCCGGTTCCGTTCCCGAATACCTTCTCGTCAGTATCGGAGGCGATCTTAGGCTTTGGCTTTTGAGAAGCCTCCTCCCTTCGTGCCTTCTGCAGGGCGACTAAATCGACTCTGTCGGGATCTCTGCACTTGGCGAGCTTCCTCCGCAAAGCCTTGATGGCTTTGGTGCTTTCCGGCTATTTTCTAGTTGTCAGTTCTACGTGGCTCAAAATCACATCCGGGGTAACTCACATCAGTCCAATAGCTGGTCATCTTCTCCGGAGGTTCTTTCTCCAGCATTTCTTTGCAAGTACGTATTACGCTCCAGACTTTAGCTCTAGCCTCTTCGCTTTCCGCGGCGAATGCCTCGCGAAGCATACGCTGCACGAGTTCCTCATCAGCAATCGCCAACGCGGCATACATTATCTGGCTTGGTGTGTAGTGAAAATAGGCATCGGTAACCAGTGGACTAAACTTCAGGATATCTCTCGTTCTCTTGTGAGCGCGGTTTATCCTATCATCGTCAAAATCGCCCAGCCTTCTAAGTTCCATGACAGTTCCTTCCAAGGCGCGGAACGGATGCCTCACATCAAATGCGAAGCGTATGCCCTGGCACAAGACGTACTCCGCGGCCAAAATCATCTCGCCCGTGGTATTGGGGAAAATATCCGCAATCTTTTGTACACGGATAAAGTAACCCTCGGCCTTGCAACCGAAGAATATGCAAGTCTTGATAAGCTCCTGTGGCGGGTAGGTCATCACGCTATTTGTGAGATAAAAGCGGCGTAAGAAGATAGCGGCGGTCGCCTGGATGTCGGTCGGGAGTTGGCAGTATGGGGCGGCGCGCAGAAGCTCGAGAGTAAAGTGATTCAAGATCATGTATTCTTCCTCGGAAGTTAGAAAGTTAGGTAAAGGGTCTACCGGCGGGTCAGAAGCGCGCAAACGATTAGAAATGTGAGTTCGCGCAAGGGTGTTTGTCTTCTCGCGAAGGGTAGTGAGGTGCGATGGGGTGAAAGACCACAGCCGATATTGACTCGACTGTCTGTATCGAGCATCTTCGGTCGCCATTGTTTGCGGCGGAAGTTGGTATCGCAATAGGAAATGTCGCCGAGAATGCTGTCAGGACAAGTCGATGCGCGTGAATGCAACAGCGTAGCCCACGATATTAGACGCGAAGTGCTGCGCGACTGTTACTTGAATTAGGTAGACGGACTTGCAATTGTACCGGATTGAATTTCAGTGAGAGGGAGTAAACAGTTTGCTAGCGTTAGCGAAGCTCGAATATCGGTAGCCGTTGCAAACTATCCAGTTATCTCGCTGTTGAAACCCTCACAAGAAAAGGAAGTTTGCAGTGGGAATGCGAGAAGTAAGGAAAGGCTCCCGTATGTTTTAGGTAGGAGGTAGGTATGGAGGTAGGTATTATACCTAACCTTACCTAAGGTAATAAAATAACCCTTTCGACTGTTCCGTATCGTTGGTTATCGATAAGGTTAGGTACCTGGTTCTCCCAAGCTGCCAAGTACACCTAGGTGACCTACAGTGGACCCATTTAAACACCCAGCTAATTGACCTGGCAGCCTGGCGCGCTCATTCAAACCTTCAATGTAAGTACCTTAGGTACTCTTAAGTCTTTATGAGGACCTCAGGAGCACCCAGTCTTGAAAATCATGTTACATTGCAAATTAGGTACCTTATTTACACGAAATGGATTTGATGGACATCAGCGAAGTTGCATACTGGTAGCAAATCAATTTAGCCTCATATAAGCAATCATCTTCCACTATATGTTAGCCCCGGGTATCTAAGCTGCCAGCAAGATTTATGTCGACCTTGGATATAATCCTTATGTGAGTTTTGCCTCTGGACTATTCACTCTATACTCAAAGTAGACGCTGATATTCCTTTAGAACTACACGATGCCTGGTCCACAGGTGTGGTCTCCAAAGAATTAAGTAGTATAATGGAATGATTAGTATGCCGCCTTATAACATCAGTTTCAGTGTTACCATATGAGCCCTTAGCGATGTTTAATCACGATTGTAATCAGCTAGTATGTGCCCAAGTAGATAAATAATGCTAGCTCGGTGGAAAACACGCATATATGAGCGGACGGAAGCGTCAGAGCTGAAAGTGCCTACATTTGGAAGACTGGAAAGCAAGGAAGAAAAGAAAAGTGCAAACGGCCTCGGACGATTAAAAGCATGGTCAAAGATGTCATATAATCCTAATGCCGCTTGTTCGGTTTAAAACCCTATAGCAATGCTATAATGCTTAGCATGGCAGCCACAAGTCCTAGGTATATTGGCATCGCGCCCCTCACTCGCCTGGTCTCATTCGGTATTGTAGTCTGCGCAGGAACGGCACCCGTTGACGTAGCAGCACTCCCCGAGTCACTACCGTTCACGGTAGTTATCCTACCATCAAGCTGGAAGTCAATCGGGCTGGCCTTCTGGATATAGTTCACCAATACCTCGTCCATAGTATCGAGGACAACTACATCTTGAACTGGCTCTAGTATATTATCGCCTCCGCCCGTTATGAAATCAACTGTGACGACTGTATACCGAGTCTCCGAATCGACGGGTTTGTCGCCGATAGTAAGCCGCACGAGGCGCTCGCCGATAGCTTTATTTGGGTCGTATTCGACTTTAATGCCACGGCTAATCTGGAAAAAGCTGGTGACCTTTCGCTGGTTAAACTGATTGACTCCGCTGACGAGGCCCTCGAATATTTTCCACAGATCCGCCCCGCTATACTGAACCTCAACCACGGCGTTGCCGAAAGGAAATGACGTGAGCACCTCGCCTCTTGTAATGGGGCCGGCGTCGATGGTAGCGCGGATGCCTCCCGCATTCGTGAAAGCAAAGGCTGCTTTGCTTCCACTGTCTACTCGGTACTGTAGGATCGAACTAGGAAGCGATGTCAGCGTACCTGTGGAAGAATAAATCGAGCTGTCTCTGACTTACTCGGATACCAAGTCTCCCAGGCTACATTCTTGCTTCTGGCAGGTTGTCTGGTCAAGTACAACGTTCGTGGTGCCAATCTCCTCTGTAGCAAACTTTTCAAACGGCTTCCTCCATTCTTCAACCTGCGCCTGCAGACCTTCGTCTTGCTTGGTGGTGTTCGTTAGATGAATCGGGGCGCCGTGATACGCAAGTATTTTCCCTTCCTGGTTGTATGTAACGTCGATGTAACCCAAATACTCCCCCCAACGGTAAGCAGTAACAATGAAGACCTCATCGCCATCCTTATTTGCCTCGATAGTGGGATATTTACCTTCGGCACCCTCCATATCTCCGAGCAACGTGTGACTGTGACCGCCCATGATGAGGTGAAGACCGGTCGTCTCGCGGGCCAGGCGCTTGTCTTCTTCGTATCCGATATGCGTGATGGCCGCAATTCGAGTGATGTTGGTCGTGCTGCGGATTTCGTCAATCGAAGCCTGGACCGCGGCAATCGCATCTGTGAACTTGGTGCCGTTGCCTGGATTGCTGATACCGGCTGTGGTCTCAGTTGTCACACCAATAACGGCGAGTTGGTACTGCTCGAAGATATGATACGGTTTGATGGTAGAGTTCAGCTTCTCGTTTTTCGATACGATATTTGCAGACACGATCGGGAAAGTTAGGTTCTTTAAGAAGTCGCCCAACTTCTCGTCGCCGCCATCAAATTCATGATTTCCTAAAGTCATGGCGTCAAACCCGAGTTGATTCAGGGTTTCGGCGATTTTTTCACCGCCGTAGAACGAATAGAACAGAGTACCCTGGAACTCATCTCCCACGTTTAACAACAAGCTGTCGTTATGATCTGGTCGTGTGTCGTCGATGACGGTCTTGACTCGAGCATAACCACCATAACAACCCTTTGAAGGATTTGTACAATCAGTCCCCGACGAAGAGAACTCGTCTAGATGCGCGTGCACATCATTAATGTGGTAGAACGAAATATTGAAGTTGCCTTCCGCATCGACGAAGCGCTTCGATAAACGCTTGCTATAGAGTGAGTCCTCAGCCGAAGCCAGACAAGCCAAACTGGCGGCGACGGAGAGGGCTGAAAATAAAGGGACGTAGACCATCGTCGCACAGCCGAGGCAAATGTGTTTGCTTTGCCTATAGAATTCCCTAAGAACGACGAGTAACGGAATGAAACCCTTTCCACTCTTACTCACAAGCTATCAGCTAATGGAGAGCGGGACTGTTTCTCGCGCAATGGAATACAGCAAGGCGTTGGGGTTAAATACCTAACCTTGGGCACGTGGGTAGGTACTTATCTAGCTTATTGCCTTCTTTTTGATCTAAAGCTGCGATATCATGACGGGAAGCATTCTCGCGATATCGTGCGGCGCATGTACAAGGATCAACTCCAAAGGAGTTTCCAAGTTTGGCAAAGCCATACTAATATCTGGGCCGATTAGCCCAATCAGCTAAGTCGAGGAGAGATCTGGTCTTGGCAGCCAGCTGTGAAAGCTGTCTAAATGCGAATCTCATTGGCACGTGGGAAGTCAAGCTCGAAAAGACATGCATAGGGAGAGAAGCGAACAGGCTTGGCATATTCCGGTGTTTTTTGTTGGTGATTGGATAAGAGATAACTTTTTTATTAATCATAAGATAACAATTAAAGCTATGGGGTATCCTTATTGCTTTGCAGAAGACATGTAGGCACTAATAGTAGACTAAATGATTAGATGAGGAGTGGGCACGTGATCAACAACAAGCAGAGTTGAAGGGAACGTAGACGTGAAGCTTTATTGATGAATTTGAAATGGGATCTCCTTATTATAAGAGGTATGTAAACCACGTTATTACCTAACCTATCATCGAAGTATGTGTGGGAGTAGAACACGGGCTAGAACAAACACTAGTTACGATACCTGTATGTTTGTTTAATGATACGGTATTATAGGCCTATTTCCTCTCACTCAATTAAAGCGATAAGATACTCCTATAACAATGGCGCATCTCTTTTTCTGACACCTGCAAGTGTAGCCGCTGGTTTTAAACCTATTTGGCGCTTAGATACAGGTAGGTACGATGAAAGCGCCCGCATTGGTTGAATCAATTACCTATTAATACTCCAGGTATCGGGATATCTGCATTTGCGCAACGAACTGTCGATCTACCTAATGGTAATACAGTTTTGATGGTTCTACCAATCTTACCAGCCAAGTCGCAAGTTTAGAACAGTTTAACCTCTGTGAAAACCCCAACTGGATAGAGAAGCATGAAGGCGCGTCTGTTGAAACGAGTACGACGAGGCGCAGTTCGGTGGTAATACTAATTAGCGGTTTGAACTGGATAAAATACGGTTGAGTTTATTGGATACGAGCCATTGACGATTTTTCGTATACCTATTGCTAAGGGCGTTCGGATCACGTTAAACGATACGAGGTGATATTTTGTCAGTGTCGTCTGATCTCTGAAAGGTTCGTTTAATATTTTTCTTTTCTTTCCTGAGAACGAGATTCAAGAAATCCAGGGTCCAGTCCAATACCATTACTTAGTACTTAGGTACCTCCACAGGGTGGCGGATGGCCGACCCCGCGGTTCGGCGTCCCTACCTCAGGTACCTAGGTACCCCAGGGACCTCTTAACCTTAACATAACAGCGCTTACCATGCACCCTTAGGTACAATACCTCCTCCTACCCAAGATACCTACCTAGGTACCTATAGCGTAATCTTTCGATACGGCAAGTGGGTTAATCCAATCTATGAATTTCTTGGAACCAATAAAGGCTCCTGCCTATGTGAGAGGTAGTTCGCATCTTTCGCCATCCATCGTCTCTTCTCATCCAACACCATCTGACTGGAATCAGTATATTTTTAGTGTTTTTGGATCAGGACCGTCCTCATTCGATACGAAAATTAAGGTCTTTCCACTATCGAGCAGTCCTAATGCCACCTAAGGTAAAGTTTATTATATACAATTAAGTACTTATGTGCCTTTGGAAATATAAGTAGGTACCTAGGTACTCTTTATATGCTGCTGGTGCTTCTAATCTGCTATGAGGTACCGAGGTATGCGCAGGTATTGTACAATACAATACTATTATAGGTAGCACCTAAGCACCTGCAGCTAAGGTATAATTCAGGTACGGATCCGTACCTCTTACAAGGTTTAGCATGCAACCCACCCTACCTCCGCTGTAACCTCCTATTTAGTTGCCACGCCGTACCACGTTGATCTTGCATTGATAAAACATCCTAGCCGTTCAAGCAGAGCCAAGGTTTAAAAAACTTGTTTAACCTCCTTTCACCTTTCATACTTGGATGATTTTCCCTTCTTGTCTGTTTCCCTCGCTTTGAATAATATTCTAGAATATATAAGAGTCTCCAACTAGTTCCTCGATAAAAAAGAAGTCTCATAATTTTTTTTTCCAATCGCCACGAGTTGTCATACGATTAGGTTAGGTTAGGTACTCAACTCCTAATTAGTCCACTACGGTAGCCAGGAGCTGCTCTTCCGCCTTGCCCCCTTTTCCCCTTGATCTATCCCCTTGATCTACAGCATACGCGTCTGGCCTAGATCGGCTTCTCCACCGCGATCCACCACGACGACCTACTACAGCTCGTTCCCCATTCTAGACGTTCCAGTGCCCGTAGCTCCACGCCCAAGACGCAACGCCGTTGTCACCCCAAACCCTCTCCCTTGGCATAAGTCCATTTGCCCCAAGTCAACCCTAAATAGATCCAATACCAATCTTGACATACATTTTTTTTTTATATTCTCGTCGAACCCCCTTCATTCTGGTAGCAGGACTCCAATAGTACATTTCATATTCTTCATTCTTTTGAGAAGATCAATCAAGATTACATCAGCCCTGTTACATCAGTCAGAGACGCAGCTAGTATGAATTTCACCAAGAAGATCGATCGCGCCTTTCAATGGGCTGGGGAGAAGATGGGCCAAGAGGCCAAAACTGGCCATACCGACGAGTTCAAGAATCTGGAGACTGAAATGGCTCTTCGGCATGATGGTATGAAGCTTATACGTAATCTGTAATTTGTCAATGGAAGCAACTAACTAATTCTTGTCTAATTCTATAGGGTACGAACGTCTTCAAAAGTCCATGAACGTCTACGTCAAGTCGCTTTCTCGCAGGGGCGAAACCTTCGACGACAAGGAGAAAGGTCTCCCAGTAAGTTATCTGGGACGGACAATGATAAGCCATGGCGAGGATTTTGAACAGGACTCAGAATTTGGCAATTGCTTAATCGGTATGTTGTATCCCCCAGACAAAAAATTTCGAGGGGAAAAAACACGGTGATAGACACCAGCTAACCTTGGTATGATGGCACAGCCATGGGCAGGGCCAATGAGCGCATTGCTGGTATCCAGGAGACATACATTGCGCATGCTACTTCTTACTGGTTAGAGGGCCTAGAGCGTTCCCTGGCCATGATGAAAGAATATCAGGTCAGTAACCTAAGAGCTTCTTCGACGTGAGCGTTGTATTCTAGGCAAGGTGATGCTAACTTCTCTTCATTAGTCTGCCCGTAAAAAGCTTGAGAATCGGCGTCTCACATACGACGCAAGCATGGTTAAGATGCAGAAAGCGAAACGAGAAGACTTCAGACTCGAAGATGAGCTTCGAACCGCGAAAGCCAAGTATGAAGAGTCGTCCGAAGATGTTTTCCGTCGCATGCAGGACATTAAGGAGGCTGAAGCCGAATCCGTTCGAGACCTGACCTGTTTTCTCGATTGCGAGCTCGACTACTACGAACGTTGCGCCGAAGAGCTCCGGCGCGTGAAACAGGAATGGGTTGGTGGTCAAGGTCAAACATCCGGCGGTTCTCGACCATCCGAGCTTAGCGTCTCGCGACGCTCTACGAGGAGTAGGAGCAATACAGCCCAGTCGTATTCGGACCGAAATGATCGCACTGAGCGATGGGCAAGCCGACAAGACAGCCAAGATCGAAACGAGCCAACTCCTGAACCTGTGCAGATGCCTATTCGTTCAAGTCCGTATCGTGGAAGCGGGTACGTTGCTCCTGAGGCGCAACGGCCGGGGATTAGTCGCGCAACTACACACGCCGGTGCGTTCGACGGGTCATCCTCGAGACAACAATCGTACCGCGAGCCACCTGTCCCACCTTCCGAGTCGCTGCGCAAGACACCTACCATTCCGCCACCAGCTATAGGATCTCTCCGCAATAATCTGCGCCCGGTAAATCGAGTCCAGACCGGCCAAAACCTGAGCCCCGATGTTTATGTAGACGATTATGATACGACCACCAGTGGCGGGAGTCCAGACTTGGATCGCAGCGAAAGCCCAGCTACGAGTTACGGAAGTTTGAGTCGTACCACGAGTAACACGGGATTACGCACAATGGTGGCGACAGGAGCGGCGAAAAAGGCACCACCACCTCCTCCCAGCAGGGCCAAGAAACCGGCACCGCCCATTCCCGCCAGACCAGCAGCATACTAAGGTCGTACGTAGTAAATCGTATTCATCACACGTCTATTACAGCGATCTTTTTTGAACAAAAAAAGAAAAAATCAAAGAGTCTCTACCCCGAGTATTTGAAGCAGGCAACTTGGGATGATCGGATAAAGTGTCAGTGCTTAATTTGGGATGTGGTTTATATCGGTAAATGGACCTTTGGTAAAGGGGAATAATTCTGATTGCGTGGCGTTTGGTGTATATTATAGACGTCGTAGCGAGCATAACTCGGCTGAAAAGACACATGGACTGGCTTCCTTTGAGACTATCTTATATCTGCTGCTATGCGCGTGATTTCGTCTTGTGCCATTCGTTCCCATCATGTTATCCCACAATTATCTACTTTTATTCATTAGACATGTACGCTCACTGAATATGAAGACACTGCACTGATATGTTACGAAGTGTAGACCGATATGTTAACTGACCACGACCCACACTCTCATCTATTCTACCTTTAACGAAATGGCTAGTAGATATCTGACGTACGGATAGGTGTCCATTAGTCTACGCTAGGAGCGCGATGTATTTCAATTCACTGCAACAGTCAGTATAATTGAAGGAGAGTTGGGGAAAAGGTTAGAAGAAATCTAGAGCACTGAAAGACTTACTTCTGAACCTGTTGTCCAACTTTCATAGGTTCATACTCAACTTCATCGCCCTCGTCGCGGCCAAGATCGAAATTAGCGGCGCGCACATCCTTAGCCCGTGCGGCCAGTGCAGGAATAGGCGCTAGGTCATAATCGCTACTCAAATGCCAGAAAAGGGTGCTGCTGATGCGCACAAGGGGTCGGTCAGGATGCTCTCGCCGCCGCGTGGCAATCGTGTCGAGTGTAGACGAGTTGACTACTACTTCGTGATATCCGGCCTTCACCAACCCACCTGTCAGGTGCTCCAGCTGCTTCCCAGCCTGCACAAGGAGGTAACTTCCCGATGAGGTAGCGGAGGGACGTGGAATGCTAACAGCGATGCGACGGCCTGTATTTCGAGCCCAGATGTGAAGCCCCGGATATCGAGAGCGTCCGTGAATCGTCAAGAAATTCAGGTCCGTATGAAAACCGGCCAAGATGGTATCCTTCTGGCCATACTTCTCAAGATCCGATGCTGTCGGGGCCAGAAGATGCGGGCTAGACGGTCACATAAACATAGATTAGAGTTTAATCTTGTTTTTTTTTTTTTTTTTTTTTTTTTTCATAAAAAAAAAGGAGTGACAACAAGGCAACTTACCCATATCGTCCCGCGTCGATAAAAGTTTTGGCGGGGAGTCCCATCCCAACGGCAGCCATCTCAGCAAGCCCCGAAACTCTAATTCACGAGCAATCGGTTGTTAGTCACATTGGTATTTATTACACAGCTTCAAGAGGAATTCCAAAGCAAACCGAGTGGTCTACAAAACCATGTCATACTCACGCGCTCTTCATACTCTTGCCCCATGTCTCCATAATGGGCGTCCATCGTTCCTTGATTTCAGGGGCATCCGGAATCACATTATCGGCGTTCAGGCCCGGGAATTGCGTCTTATAAGGCGCTGGCTCGCCCATACGCCACTATGACATCTGTAGTTAATATTGACTCATTTTTCGAGGAAAATTCGAGAAAATTAATTTCATAGTTCTGAGGACTTCGCAGATCATAGTTACCCAAAAGAGGGAAGTTTTCATGTAGCTCTCGAAAGGGAATAATATGAAGTTTCAAGGCTTGATGCCACTTACGAAAAAGCGACATTTAGGATCGGGTTGGTGACCACTAATGTCAAGCGGTCTCTCTTCCGGAGCGAGGCGCTCAATAACACGTAGACATGGTTCGTCTACAGCACACTTTGGCTTCTCGGTGTTTTCGAGTGTAACGCCAACTTGATAGCCTAGCTCCGGCCGCTCGTCCCGCTGCAGAAGCGTGGCTGGTTGCGCAAAATAGTCCTCCAGCAGGTCTAGGAATGCCTCGTTGTCAGATTCGGACACCCGTGAGTCGTGCAGCACTAACGCGCCGTATGTTGTTAGTGCCTTGGCCGCCCGTAGACATTCTTCTTGCACCTCAGGGCTGGTTGCCGGATTACTTCGGTAGATGTCTAAATCGATGACGGGGAGGTCCATTGACGGCTCGTCTGCTGCTACGAGCTCGGCCATGGTCGAAGATTGCTTTTTGAGTTTCTTCGTTTACTTCTTACTTTATAGTAAATGGGGATGGTATAGCTCTACGTCAAAGGTCTCCCGACAAATCGTGATAATTGTAGGGTGTTGCTGTTTAAAGCTCAAAGTTCAAAGTCTGAATAGAAAGTTATAGAGAGTGTGTAGGTTAGGTAGTTTAAGAAGTAAATCAACTTCTTGGTTTTAAAGCTTGATATAAAAAAAACTGGCAAGAGAATCAGCTGAGCTGTTGGTCGTTCATGGTAGGTAGCAGCACTATGCGTATATATCATGCGGACCGGTACGATAGAACACCACCAATTAGAGGATAAAGAATTTGAAATGGAAGCGCTAACTTGCCTGTACTTGAATCGGAAATCGCCGGGTACAGTCGGTCTCCGCTCAGCAATTGCAGTTGATTGATAGCTAAGATACCTCTGTTATAGAAAATTACCTCGGGTAATAGCTACCTAAGATATTGATATCAATCCGCGCTGCTATTCTTTTTTTTTTTTTTAAAAAAAAAATGTGAGAGTTGGTTCAGTTAGGTACCTCTCAAGAGGTAGGTACATGTTGAAAGTTAGGATGTAGGTACTAGGTAGTTCATTTAAAGGTATCTTAGCAACGTTCTAGAACTAAAGACTAAAATATGTCTACTACCTAGTAAGCGTTTCAAGGTTGCCACTGTCTTATTTTATTAATAATACGTATTTGTCTATTTGTCGCGCGCCTTCGCTCGCCATCTTATTCCCGTCTCAACTCAGTTCCAGATCATATTCACTGACGACCATTACAAGATGCCCTTCTCGAGAACGAGAACAGGTTGTTACACCTGTAGAGAAGACGGTTATAAGTGCGATGAGCAGAAGCCGTTCTGTGGAAGATGCATTCGACTACAGAAGAAATGTCAAGGATATGGCGTTAGACTTAGATGGCAACCCATTCAGGGGGAACCAAAGTCGAAGCGGACCAAAAAGGCACGACAGCAAAAGGAATGCTCCACTGAGGAGGTTATCCCGACATCCTCCACTTGTGAGTCTACAGGTCCGGTGGTAAGGTTTGGTCCACCCCGTACCGTACCGCATAACGTCCATCCAATGAATCATTTCCTCCTTAATCATTGGTCGACTACGCTGGCTACGATGGTATCTATGGTATCAACTCCCCATAACCCATTTCTTGTTCACTTAAATCCAATGATATCGCATTCGATAGCCCTAAGATCTGTCTTATGTTCAATTGCAGCTTGTCATTTGGCGATATTAAAAAACGAGAATTCGTTTCATACCTTAGCGACCCGCTATCGACTTGCTGCTGTCTCGTCGTTGCGGCAAACCATTCAAACCGAAAATCCAGAGCTGTCGCTCGCCGTCATTCTGATGCTGCAAGTGTCTGACAGACTCTTCACCGTCGATTCTGGGGTCGACCATCTATCCGGAGCAAAGGCGATCATCAACCAGGCCGGGATCAATAGCTGGAACAGCTCCAGAGCTTCGTTTCTCCTTAGCTTATGCTCTTATCACGACATATTAGCCTCTGTATCTCGGGGGAAAAGTCCAGTTTTTGAGTTTGATGGCAAGTTCCCGATCGAAGGCATGGAATCTATGAAGGAACTCACTTCCGTATTACGGATTGTTGGGCAGATTAGTAGGATGCGGGATCAAGACCCGAAGCACCTTGATGCGTGGGGCTACGCCGTTGAAGGGATTCTCAATGCTCTCGACCAGTCTGAAGGGCCGATAGGAGACGTCGGACACACCATACAGGCCTATAGATATGCGGCGTATATTTATCTATACCGCGTCTGGCACAACAAAGGTGCACCTAATCCGTCTGCGTTGAAGTATGCCCGATGCTGCCTGGCCCATCTTAGCCTTGTTGCGGTAGACTCGCCTCTCGTGTCTGCCCAAGTGTGGCCACTTTGGACTGCCGGATGTGAATCCATCGACGATGACCAACGCCAATTTGTGCGAGACAGGATTGATGCTATGTACGAAGCTCGTCATCTTCCTTCGCTCCGAAGGATCAAGCAGGATATCAAAGACGTCTGGAATATTAAAGACGAGCAACGAAACTTGATCGGAGTTGATAATGTTGACTGTATCAAAGCTATATTACGAAGTCGACGGAGAGAGGCCGACCTTACTTAAAGATTAACTGCGCATTTTAATAAAGAGGGTCTCGAGACTTATACCACCGCTCTGCACTTTGCTTAACCTCATTTTGGGACCACAAAGCAATTGGCCTACAACCTTAAGTTGACGCTTTAGCTATGAGAATGTATTGGAACTACGATCGTATGAATACCTAACTCCCCGGCTATTCGCAACGCTATGATACCTGATTAGGAGTTGCAACTGGCATTGGCTATTTTCCACAGAAAGGCTTGTGAGTTTTACTTGAACCCCGATCTTCGAGTGCCGTGTCATGTACTTAACTTCTTTAGAACTGTCCAGTTGGCGGTTTCTTCCCCTTTACGAGATCATGAGCACCAAGGTAGCTGTTTATACCTGGACTGAACCTGGGGTACACGGCTATACCTACATTTAGGTAGGTTTCTGTCTTATATATTGAAAGATACATAATAGACCTACTATCACAGGAGAAGATGACCAATATTGTCACGTCCTCGGAGACTTTCCGGAGCCTTTCCGGAGCCTTTTTGGGTTGAGAGAGCAATTCTACCAAATCAGAATAAGCTAGTGAAACTTCTCCCGGGCAGCAAAATCATAATGCGACATCAAGGTCGTTATTGCGCAATCCCAATACCTTCAAAATTATTAAACTAACCCAGCTGATTTCCAACATGATAAACTTCTTTTTTCGAAGCTTGTACTCATTTGATAGTCTAATAGGATGGATCGTGGGCCAGAGTAGGTAAATCTTGTCCATTGAATTGGCTGAAGCAGCAGCAAAGAGGCAATGAAAAATTACAAGATATCGGGCGGTGGAATGCACAGACCATGTTATGTGTCAATTCATCCGAGCTTACCTGGGTAGGAGGTAGGTAGCTGTTTGTCTCTTTTCGGCCGACTGTCGGGGGCGTATTTTTGGATCATGACAAAGCAAATAGTTATGTTTAAAGCATCCATCTCCTCGTACTGTCCAGTACTGGATTTAGGTAGGTTTTGCATTCTCTCACAATCTACATCATGGATAGCGTAGTGCAACGACGGAGACAATCTCGAAAATACGATATCCTCGTACTAGGAGCCACCGGTTACACCGGGCAACTGACCGCCGAGCACATCGTTCGGCATCTCCCCGTTGATCTAAAATGGGCCATCGCCGGCCGGTCAAAATCCAAACTAGAAGACCTCGCTAGTAAGCTAAGAGACCTGGACCCGGAACGCCTACAACCAGGTAAGTCGTCATTTACAGCTCCTCTTACCTTGGGTACGCTCGTCGTACCGAGTTAACTAACTAAGCGGGGGCCATTATGTAGAAATAGAGGTGGTCAAATTTGATGATCCCCATCAACTCGGTTCCGTTGTCAAGAATAGTAAAGTCTGCATTAGCATAGTCTTGTATTGGCAGGCTGGAGAAGTCGTTTTAAAATCCTGTATCGGGAATGGTACATATTATATTGACGTGTAAGTCTTCTATTGCGTTAACTACCTAGGTATATATAGGTAACTATATGCCCGGCTTTGGCAGTTTCTAAGTTACTACAGACTTGGAGATATTCCGTTGCTGCGTAAATTGGTCGACCAATATCACGAGGTGGCTCTCAATGCTCGGATTGCAGTAAGTATTCTATTCTCCAACGCAGCTCGTCCGAAGTGACTTCTTAGCCGACGGGTATCGCTTATAGTTAATTCATCTCTGTGGAGTTTTCGCTGGACCACAAGATCTTCTCTCTTGGGCCGCGGCTCGGGAGCTAGCGCAGAAGTCGTCTCAAAAAACAAAGGAGGTGGTTTTTTCAATAACAGAATTTGAGTAAGCTTTAACCATCATACCCGTCCGCTATCTTACAGCTGAGTACCTCTTATCAACTTTCTCAAAATAGGGCCGGTGCAAGGGGTGGTACGGTTAGTTCAATGCTAGCTGAGAACCTTTACGGCGCTCAAGCTATCAAGGAATCGAGAGAACCGTGGGTGTTATCGCCTATCAAGAGGTCACAGACGTCTGCATCCACCAATTTTCTCGGTTTGCGCAAAGACCCAAATCTCGGATTGCTGTCAGCATCATCATTCACCGCAGAAGAGGACCGGGCATTGGTACATAGGACTTGGGCTCTGTTACAAGATACGGACCAAGGGTATGGACCAAACTTTGAATACAACGAGTACATCAAAGTTTCGTCTGTGACAGATGGAATAATTCGCTTGCTAACCCTCGTCCTGCTGAGGGGTGCCCTAAATTTCGGACCGTCAAGACGTCTTTTGGGATTGGTCCTCCCGAAACCTGGCGAGGGCCCCGATATTGAAAAAGAGCGCGTATCCCGGATAAAATTCGAAGCTATAGCGGTCGCAGATACCGATAGCAACAATGCACCTCGTGCATATGCGAGCTTCTCTTATCCTTCAGGCGGGTACCATACTACTGCCCTTTTCCTAGCCCAAGGAGCTGCATCTTTGCTCTACGCCAGGAATTTAGCAAACCAACTTCCTGGAGGTTGTCTTACCCCGGCTTTCCTTGGTGATGATTTTTGGAAGACTTGAGGGAGCGGGAGCAGTGCTCCGGGTTAACTTGCTTTGAGGACACTTAAGCCTGGAGGGAGCAGTCTATTCATAGACGGCATGAAGCAGATTTTTAATTTGACCTTAACTTATAATAGCTTATCTAGGTAGGTACCTATTTGCCTATGTATCATCGCCTATATTCGCGAAAAGTAGAGGCCTTTCTTATTTCAAGATCAATCCAACTCGTAGCCATACGATGAACCCCGTTTCAGAGGCAATCTACCACGATTGTACGTAGACGTATCCTCTAGAATATACGTTGCCGTTGTCTTTTGTAATGGTTTGATGCAGTTTCCAAGCACCTCTAAGGAATTTCCGCATCTCATTATTCCTTTTCTCTGTCTTAACAGAAACATATTAGATAGGTGGATACTTGTAGCTAAGGTAGCTTCGAACGTCTCGTAATTTGCGCAGTCTTTCCCTCGATATTTCGTTAATAACATAGCTAAGCTGATACTTTCTGCCTGGAAAATGTGTGAATTACCTTGGTGCGCGCCAAACTACATCTAGTTCTTGGGTCACGGAGATAAGAAAGTATGGAGATTTCGGGTACACGCCCATGGGGTTAAACATATACGATACCTTACTCAGATTCCCACCACCTCCGCCTCTCGGAGACTCAACGCTTGTGGGCCAGACCCAAGCTCTTTTGGCTTGGCTTGCCCCATCTTCTCACGGCCTTGCGTACCTATCTCGTCATGTCATCTCGACGTATTGTGTAGGTTATACACGGCCCCGATTTACCCTAGGTATGCCACAAGACGCCATGAAACCGATTGACCTATTAGTTGGTCGGCCGTCCCTAAATTTACAAGCGGCAGACAAGCTAATAGCAGCGTCTCGAACTATCCTGTCGCAATCCGACAAATCGGAGCCGGCCCTGACGTACGGCCTAGACCATGGTGATGACCATATTCGCCGGCACATCGGGGCCTGGCTTAGCCAGAAATATCGCCCCGTATCCGGCTATATCACCCAAGATCGGATCATCATTACTAACGGCGCCTCTGGGGCGCTTTCTGGAATTCTGCAGAAGTTCACAGACCCGTTATATACGCGTCGTATATTTCTTGTAGAACCCACTTACTTTCTTGCTGCTCAGACCTTTCTAGATGTAGGGTTTGGTCGGAAAATGCGAGGGATCCCTGAAGACGACGAAGGCATTGACTTGGAGTATCTGAGACGTCAGCTGGAAGAAGACAGCAAATCCGATGATAGTTCGGATGTTGACATGCCTGCTACAAAATTTGCTTCTCAAGGATTTAAGAAACTTTTCAAGTATGTCTTATACGTGGTCCCAACACTATCCAATCCAACTGGGAAAACAATGTCGATGCATCACCGTATCGACCTGGTCGAATTGGCCCGCCGGCACGATATGCTTTTGATTGCAGACGATGTTTACGACTTCCTTGCCTGGCCGACTGATGACGATATCCCTCATGAAGGTTTAGAATTGCCCCCGAGGCTTGTGGATATCGACCGGCAAATGCCTGGACTGAACGAATGGGGGAATGCTGTAAGTAACGGTTCGTTTTCGAAGCTGGCGGCGCCCGGCCTTCGGGTGGGGTGGTGTGAGGCGATGCCGAACTTTATAAACGGACTATCTACAGTGTAAGTGTGCAGACATCTGAAGCCATAACTATGGGCAGTTTTAACATCCTAGATTCCAGCGGGGCTACTATGTCCGGCGGCTGTCAGGCGCAGTATACTTCCTTCTTAGTCGACGAGATGTTAGTGTCCGGAATTCTGGAACATCACATACAGAATACTTTGATCCCTATATACCGGAGAAGATATAAGGCCCTTGTGCGAGCCATTAAAACTTATCTATACCCACTTGGAATCAGGATATCAACCGGAAAGCCATACGAAGTGTTCGCCATGGACGGCAAGAGTAATCGTGTGCCGACCATATTAACGGGAGGTTTTTTTCTTTACGTAGATTTTCCAAGAGGAGATAAATTTCCATCCGTGACCGAAATTATCCGCATTGGTCGCGAGGAGTACGGCTTAACTATCGCACCAGGTGAAATCTTCGCTGTTAAAGGAGACCCAAACAGTCTTGAGAGGGCTGGGTCGACATTCAATCTGGGCACTAGGCTATGCTGGGCATGGAACGAAGAAGAAGTACTGATTGAAGCGATGGAAAGATTCGCGAAAGCCATCCAGCAGGCAAAATAGCCAAAGGTATAACACACCTGAGGTACCTTAGGGAGTTTAAGAACCAAGAACTTTTACTTCTTTAAGACTTGGGAATATTGGAGTAAAAGGGGGAGGGACCTTCATACACATTGAAGAAGACATTTAGCTTTTGCGACTAGCCTTCGCAGCTATGGCAAGGACCTAGTTAATATATAATAGGAGGCGGTGGTTCTCTACCTTGGTGTGGTTCATAAGAAGGTTAAATGCTTACGGTGCCCGAGCTAAAAAATGCGATGAGGCGCATTAATATCCATATAACTACTACTCAATATATGTATCAACTTGAGGTCATAGCTATAATTTTCTTAGGCTCCACGATAAGATGATAGAACAAAAACGTATGCTATAGCCTAGGGAAACTCTACTTTCCCCCCTCATCAACGTTGGTATTCCGAGGAAAATGTTGTTGTTCAGGGCCGGGCGAAGGTACGGGCGTAGGAGCCAGATCTCCGGGTGTAGGTTGGCTACCAAGCTTGTTGATAACGCCCTCATCAGCACGCTTACCCTCAACCGCCTTGAGAACCTCTACCAGCTGCTTCCCACCCTCGGGCCACATCACCATGTCGCCTTTTTGGTTCTTCGCGTTCTGATTACCGTTCCCGACCTCACCCTTCAGAATTTTATCCACCTCGATCTTATCTACTCCGTAAAAGACAGCGTTCGCATCGGGTCGCTGCACAATCACCGTACCATCAACTTGCACACCACCGTACAAGCCCCGCGACTTCATGTAGCTCCATACTGGCTTTTGACCCTTTCCTAGAGGGGCGTCGACGCTTGTCCCCGCACCCACGGGCCCCGCAGCGACGGCAATCTCACCACCCAAGCTCAAGCGCGGTTTGGTGAAAGCCTCGACGGCAGTAGACGTGTTGAGAACACACACACAATCATAGATGTCAAGCCCAGCAACAAAACCCGCACCTATGGTATGCACCAGAAATCCTGCCGGCGGTGACCAGCTGCCATCTGGTAACCGGGCGACAACGAGCCCTGAGCCTCCCGCTCCGGAGATGTGAAACCCAGTCCGGAGGGTGGTGAAGATGGCCAGCCCTTTCGCGTTAGCGATCGCAGACTGCGGGATCTTCACTAGGGCTTTGGATTTGCCGCTTGGACCTGTGGACGAGGCGGTTTGCGTCGACGCGGATGCGGGCGCGGGCGCAGGCGCGGAAGTGGAAGTGGAAGTGGAAGTGGAAGCGGTCGTATAAAAACCATCTTCTAAAGACATGTATTAGATTCACTTCGCCTAGATAGATGTGACGAGGTTTACATAGGGGCTAGGGGAACATACTACAGAAACTCTTAAGAATGCGTGCCGCCTTATCGCATTCCTTATCCATCGCCGAAGGGAAGAATGCTTCGGAACCAAGTTTGTTGGTCAGTTTGTTGATGGGGGCGCCGACCTTGGTGCCCCATTCATACAGCTTGCGTCCAAAGCCGACTTTCGTCGTAGAAGAAGAGGGGGCATCAGTGGTAGGCGTAGACGGCTGTTGCTGGTGTTGCTGGGGATGAAGACTTGCAGCGGCGTGGGGGAGGGAGGCTTCGGTAGGAGGTGGAGGGAAATGCGGCGCTGATTGCGCTCCTTGAGACGAGACGGGGCGCGGTGGAAGGATTGGTGGTTTTTCGTCAGTCACGACAACCCCAGGCCCGTCTCCTATTTCCGAATAACTCGGAGGCGGTGGGTAATTTGGCCCTTCTTGCGACGCATAGTCCTGATTCGGAGGAGGACCAGGTGGTGGAGGCGGGTAATAATATTGTTCTAGATGCGAAGGTGGCAGACCTGGAGGTGGAGGATAATCATCGTGAAGTTGAGTTGCTGGAGGAGGACCTGGCGGCGGCGGCGGGTAGTAGGTTGAGTCGGCCCCAGAAGATGGCGGAGGACCCGGAGGAGGAGGGGGATATTGTCCTTGCTGAATTGTACTGGGTTGGGACGAACCTGACTGGGAAGTAGTGCCGGCTAGCTCAGCATGGTAATTGGGATTGTCGCCTGGAATCGGCGAATGGCTTGGATGAGCACTCATAGCGGAATTGAATTGACAGACGACTGGTTACTGTATAGTTACCTCAATATAGACAAGCGAGAAAACGAACTGCTATATAAAGCGACAAGTATAGTAAAAAAGGATACTGGTTGTTAGAGGAATGATCAGCTGAGAGGCTCAAGGTAGGCAAGTAGAGAGTTGGCGAGTAAGCTCAAGTTTGCGACACTCACAAAATCGCGATCGCAAGGAAAGTTGTCGTATAACAACTTAGGTGCCTTAAGGGTAAAATATCCAATTGGATGTTAGTCAGGTCTTGGAAGCTTGGAGGCTGAGCAAGTGAGTAATAAATGTTGGAGGGGATAGACAGTAGCTAAACAACAGCTCTTGATGTCATTGCCACACTTGAGCATACAGCTCTAGCCAATAGTAATTATTCATAGGCGGCTGTGTCTTTATCTAGTTAGGTCCCGATGTACAATATCAGAGATATACGGGTGAAAGCTTAGCTTAAATATAATAAATATAATTCCTTATCCTACCAACTCAAGTAATCCCAAAAGAGATGAATACGAGGACAAGAAAATAGGTAGTTACTGAGGTTAAAGCACACACGTAAAGTTTAAAAATCACTTATTGCAGAGAGCACTCGAAATGAAGGAGAGGAAAAAAAAAGGGGGGAAGGGGCCGGAGCAACATCTACAATGCTGGCAACAATCATGACATCTCCTATTATCATATATTTCATCCGCTACAGCGCCGAAGACGCGCGTCAACCGCAGCGCTATCTTCTCTTCGTGACTCTAGATAATACGTGCTACACTACAAGTACAGACCTTCAGGCTCTCCCTCTTGCTTCGTACGGAGGACTCTCTCCCTGGCGGCCCTAAAGTCCGCCATCTGCACACGCATGCGACGTTCGCGTAGAGCCATTAGGCCAGCCTCGGAGCATATAGCCTTGATGTCCGCCCCGGATAAATCATCCTTCTGACTGATAAACTCATCCAGATCAACATCCTCGTTCAGACTCATCTTGCTCGTATGGAGATTAAAGATCTTGCGCTTGGTGTTCTGATCCGGGTTCTCGAAGAGGATCTTTCGGTCGATTCGGCCGGGTCGGATCAGCGCAGGGTCCAGAGTTTCGATCTTGTTGGTTGCCATGATGACCTTGACGTCACCACGGTCGTCAAATCCGTCTAGTTGGTTGAGGAGCTCCAACATGGTTCGCTGGACTTCACGCTCACCACCAGAGGTGGAATCATAACGCTTCGTGCCAATGGCATCGATCTCGTCAATGAAGACGATAGAAGGAGCGTTTTCCGCAGCAACCTATCACAGTATTAGCATAAAACAATTTTCCAAGCTCTCCAAAAAAAAAAAAAGAAATGGTTTTCATACTTGGAACAGTTGTCGCACGAGCCGCGGACCGTCACCGAGGTACTTTTGGATCAGCTCACTTCCGACAATGCGCAAGAAAGTAGCTGAGGTCTGGTTTGCTACAGCCTTTGCCAACAGGGTCTTGCCAGTTCCAGGAGCACCGTAGAGTATAACACCCTTGGGGGGCTTGATACCCATCTCCTCGTATAACTCGGGATGAAGAAGAGGCAGTTCGACCGACTCCCTCACTTCTTGAATCTGCTGTTCCAATCCACCAATATCGGCATAGGACTCGGTCGGTGCCTTGTCAAGTTTCATGACGTTCACGGCGGGGTCCGTGTCGTCCGTAAGCACGCCAACGATAGAGACACTCTTGTGATGTAATAACACAGAGGCACCAGGCTCGAGTAGGTCCTTGTCGACGAAGCTCATGATACTGACGTAATATTCGGGGCCGGTTGTGCTAGAGACTATAGCGTGGTCATCATCAATCATCTCTTCAAGCGTACCGACTCCCATGGGACTTCCGCGCATGTCGTCGACCCGACCACGCTCGTCAGCCATGCGGTCGGGAGCGTCAAGATCGGGAGCAGGGCCGGTATTGTCTTTGGCGGCCTTTGCCTTTCTTAGGCGTTCCTGGTTCTCGACGAACTCTTCTTCGAGTAGCAGATGGTCATGGATGCGTTGCATTCGGAGCAAGCGAAGCTTGCATCGACTAGTAGGGTAGACAGCGGGGAGCTTGGCAGCCGCAGAAGTACCGGCGGCCTTTCTCTTCTTACGTCCGATGCGGGTGGTCGGGCGGGGTGGTGGTTCGTACTTTGGCTTCTCCTTCTGTTCGAAATATGCGTGGTTAGAGATGACGATCACGATGATATTGGGGTACGTGATGTCTATCGAAGTTCTATCGACGTGCTATCGACGTACCTTCTTATCCTTATCATCTCTTCCATCCTGTCCGGCACCCCCCATTCCAGATTGATTTTGACCCTAAAGACGGAAAACATGTCAGTAAGAATGCGAATATGTACCAAGAGGTAACAACATGGGACCTACCATCTTGCGAAGTCACTGCCCAGGGCGGGTCGCTGGGATAATGCAAAGTCTTCGTCGACGAGGCGCCTACGGCTTGAGGAAGATAGTAATTTATACGATAGATGGTGATATGTCGCCGTTACAAAGCGAAAGTCTAATGAATGAGGTTCGCTTGTAACGGTGATGTGGATAGGGACTGAAGTAAAAGTAAAAAGTAAAAAGTACCTAAAAAGTTGACGTTAAAAGAGTTGGGCGGATTTGGATTGTAGATGGCAAGAGGCAGACGAAGCTTCCGCTGACGCTACCTGTTAATGTTAATGATGGAAGTGTTTAGGTAAGTTTTTAGCTGTAAAAAGCCCAGTTGGTCCCAGCGCCAGACTTGCCGGTAGATTTCAGGCGCCAAAGAGGTAACGCGTTTACCTTCATACCAATGGTACCTAGGTACCCTAGATAAGGTTAGAGATAACCTTAGCTTGCCTTAGGTAAGCACATGAATTTCAGATGACGGAAAGTATCGGAACCCATGAACGTACCTAACCTAGGTATCGCGGGTACGTATCAGGTACCTAGGGTGACACCTAACCCAACCTTAAAGAGAAAAAAACAGGTGCATGTGGCCAGTGCATGTGCAATTACTGGGTCAAGTGTCAGAACTGCGGCATTACATAGTACCTAACACAAGAGTTGCAATTAGCTTTTTGATACAAGTTGAAGCTTCAACCTTTTTCTTCCTTATCATCGTCGAAAGGAAAAAAAAAAACCACCAAAAAAAAACTAAACTCGAGTCTCGAAGACTTCCTACTTTTTATCTATCCCTCTACCCACCTCCGTATTATACTCGAGCTCTTCATCTGTTGAAATCTCTTTTTTCAGCTTCTTATAGGTCAATTGCTGCAGCATGCAAGCCTTCTCGAGACATCTGCGGCCAGGCGCTGCTACCCTGCGCCAGCTTTCTCGACGAGCTTACAGTTCTACGAACTCGCCTTATTCCCAGACGATCGAGAACCTGCGCATTAACGGAGACACCAAGGTTATCTTCCAGGGCTTTACTGGAAAGCAGGGAACGTAAGCGCATCCTGTCCCTTCCGAGTACCTCTGAAGTTGCGCGTTTCCGCCGTGGCTATCGTCCTCATCTCAACGTCTTGTATATCGTAACAAAAAGGGGAAAAATAAAATGAACCGAGGAATCCATGCTGACGTTTATATCCTAACAGTTTCCACGCTCAACAAGCCATCGACTATGGTAAATAAGTCCTTTGCGCTTCACTCCTGCGATATATCCCTTTCCGATGAAGAATACATATCTAATAGGAACCTGCGAATAGGGACCAAGGTCGTCGGAGGCACGAACCCCAAGAAGGCTGGCCAGGAACATCTCGGTCTGCCCGTCTTTGGTAATGTCGGTGAGGCCGTGAAGGCAACTGGCGCAAACGCCACTGCGATATTTGTGCCGTAAGTATCAGGTTCACGATGCGGAATTGGGAGTTGGAGCATGAGAACGCTAATTACTGTTTGTTACTAGTCCTCCTCTAGCCGCCGCTGGTATCGAGGAGGCTGTTTCTGCCGAAGTCCCCCTCGTCGTCTGTATCACTGAGGGTATTCCCCAACATGGTAATGTCTAGACTTTAGAACCTGCAAAGTTTTGGCTTTTCTAATAAGGTGGCAGATATGGTCCGCATTACCGATATTCTCAAGTCGCAGTCTAAGACTCGCTTGGTTGGCCCCAACTGCCCTGGTATCATTGCTCCTGGACAGTGCAAAATCGGTATAATGCCTGGCTTCATCCACAAACGTGGCCGTGTTGGTATCGTCTCCCGTTCCGGTACCTTAACCTATGAAGCTGTCAACCAGACCACCCAGGCTGGTCTCGGCCAGTCTCTTGTCGTTGGTATTGGCGGTGACCCTTTCAGCGGGACAAACTTTATCGACTGCCTTAAAGTCTTCTTGAAGGACGAGGAGACGGACGGTATCATTATGATTGGAGAGATTGGTGGTTCTGCCGAAGAGGATGCCGCGGACTTCCTTAAGGAGTACAACACTGCCAACGGTGGCAAGCCTGTTGTCAGCTTTATCGCTGGTATCAGCGCTCCTCCGGGGCGACGAATGGGTCACGCCGGGGCCATCGTATCAGGTGGTAAGGGCGGAGCAGATTCTAAGATTAAAGCTCTAGAGGCGGCCGGTGTAGTGGTAGAACGCTCTCCTGCCAACTTGGGGCGCGCATTGAGGGAAGCATTTGTCAAGAGGGATCTTTTATGAGTAACCTGTTGATGCACAAATATAGAAAAGGGCGGGTCTCTAGACGTCGTATACGTCTTGGTGAACATTATATGGAGAAACCGCCGGAGTCCAAGGATATCCGACCCTGCGGCAGGACGGCGGGACAGACGTCTAAGCATTTGTGGTAGTTGGTAAGCTGGACTGCATTTGTCCCTAGGAGAACATCCTGGGAGTGTTTCACTTAACTTTTTGATAGACAGACGGAGCGGTGGCGAATAATGCATTGTATCTTGATACGTTTGCCTCCTTATCATCTCTACATCTGTTTCCAAGCCTCAACAGCTTTAAGTTTTTTACGTCTGGCTATATCTATTTACAATAACTTGAGCCGAGTTTAAGTCTTACTATACCTTTTCCTCTGGCTTTCCTTAATAGCATACGCACGAACTGCCATTGGTTCTACACCGAGGTCATGGGTGTTAATCAAACATGGAGAGATGCCCTAGGTTAGATCCCTAGACATGACCCCGCCTGATAATTCAGGTATCCATAAAGCATTAGAATTGCCGCGTTGAAATCTGGGGTCTCCGCACTGGTCCTCTAAAATGGTTGGGTGACTATCAGGGTTGGTCCGCGGGCTATGCCCAGATTTGGAGCATATACGTCTAGCCTCCTAATTTCGATAGGATTGATGGAGTCAACGTTGCTTATGTCTGCAAGATATGGATGGGTATGGGGTGTGGTATAAGGTATATAACGTAGACTGCGATTCGCGTGGTTCTCTTAACATGCTCTTACACATAAATAACCACAGTTCTTCGGGCGTCCAAGGTCGATTATTATCATCTAAACCCACTATTTTCTCTTCCTCCAAAGCCATAGTTTATTTATAACCATGCCCCAAGACACGGAGAAACAAGCTACATCTTTGACGGATGAACAGAAGACAGGGAGGCACGAGAAACTTGAGGTTATCCCAATCGATCAAGAGGCAAACCAAGAGACAAACCGTGTTCATCTAAGTTGGAGATCATGGGTATGAATCGTATTAATATTCCGTTTTGTTGAACTGTATATGCTAACAATTCGTGTCCCTAAACATGTAGCTGGTGGTGTTCATAACCTGTTTCGCGTCAGTGCTGTAGCATATTCACCCATATACGGCTCTATCGCTAACTATGCTGAACAGCGTCATGGCCCAGGTGTTCGTGGTAGTAGCTGCGGGCTCGGTGATTGCGTTCATTATCCGCGATCTAGGGGATGCCTCGATAGCGGGCTGGATCATCCAGGTGCATTGGCCGACGTTGCAGTTTTTAAGTCGGCGCGGCGATAACTAACACGTTGACTCCAGGGTCCGCTGCTCATGCAATCCGTGTTGTCGCCAATAGTAGGTCGTCTATCAGACGTATTAGACAGAAAGTGTCTCGCGACGGTGCCGCCACTCGTTGCATTTGTGGGCGCTGTCGTGTCTGCCAAGGCAACGTCAATGAGTATGCTTATTGGCGGTGGTATCCTGATTGGGACTACGTTAGCTACGATATCTGTTGTGCATGCTATCCCTTCCGAGATATTGCCCTTAAAATTCCGCGCTCTAGCTAATGGTTTCGCTTTCGTTGGAGGCGCTGTAGGTGGACTGTATGTGTACACTCGTCCTGCTCTTCCTTTTACTACCCCTAAACATGTCCTTGGAATGCTGAGCTGAGTAACTGCCAATAGGATCGGTTCGCTCGGTGCTGGCGCCGTAACTAATGTTAATGTTGGGGGATGGCGATACATATTCTGGATGCAAGCCGCCTTTCACGGCATTACGGCAGTCGGGCTCTTTTGCTTCTACTGGCCACCGGCACAAGTCGAATACACACGAATGCCGTTACGACATTGCATATGGGCTTGTGATCCTATTGGATCTGTACTATTCATCAGCAGCGCAGCGCTCATTCTGCTCGGGCTTGATTGGGCCGGGGGAGCCTACACCTGGTCAAACCCTCACGTTGCGGTTCCAGTGAGCTTGGGTTTAGTTCTGCTGCTCAGCTTTGCTCTGTACGGTAGGTACCTACAACCAGCCTTCCCCGATGCTGCAACGCAATTGACGATAATAGAATGGGGGGGACGATCGGACGGTCTAGTTGCTCATGTGTTCTTTCGAAAGAATACGAACTTCGTTTACTCAGTCTTCGCCTTTGCGGTCGAAGGATGGATCTTCTATAGCGCCGTGAACTCTGTTGTACCTCAGATTGCGCTCAACTTAGGATTCGAAAGCAATGCCTGGAGAATTTCGGTCCGGCAACTCAGTTACCAGCTTCCCGTTCTGTTTGCCTCCGTGCCTATTACATGGTATGCGACCAAATTCAAGGACATGCAAACACCCCTTCTTGTCACTTTTACCATCTTTCTCATCGTGTAAGTTAGGTGCTCTTATATATCGTATTCCTCGGGGCGAGGAAGATCAGAACATGCTAAACGTGTCCGAAACAGAACCATCTGCTATGCTACTATCCAACCTTCGTGGAGCTCGGCGCAACTGGGCCTCAACGTACTTGCAGGTATTGGCCAAGCAGGGCCTCTGGCACTTCTCGTAGCCTGCATCCAGTTCACAGCACCACATACTTTCTTATCAACAGCTACAGGCCTCGCTTTTTCTGCACGCGCTATCGGAGGCGCCTTCGGATCCGCCGTTCTAAACGCCATTATCAATGGCCAGCTTGCTAGCCACTACGAAGAAGGTATTGAAAGGGCGGCTGTCGGCGCTGGCCTGGCAATAGAGAGTATGCCAGCCTTGTTAGAAGCGCTAGCCGCCGGACAGATAGGATCAGGAGTCGATACGGCAACGCCTGCAGTCTGGTTGGCAGCCGTTGAGGCTAGCAGATGGGAATATGCCCATGCGTATCGGTTGGCCTGGACGAGTGTAATACCGTTTGTCGTGTTAGCGATCGTGGCCGTGGCCCTATTAAAGGGTGTGAAGGACTTAATGACGGAGGAGATTGAGGCTACCGTGGAGCGGGGTTGAATCATGAAGGATGGATTTAACATAATCGTGTAATATTGGATAAATATGAGTATCAAGGTATACGGAAGTCAGACTGGATAGTGAGTGTACCTATATTGTCATTCTTGCTATAGCGACTTGGTTTTGATTGCCGAAAACAATAGAAAGGCACGTATGCCTTCCAGTGAATGTCTCAGTGGAGGCTTTTTTTTTTTTTTTTTTTTTTTTTCGATTTCGCTCCTACGCGTTGAACCGTTGTTGCTAATAACGTCTTGTATGATCGTTTTGACCAACAGCCAATACGCTTATCATCCGCTGCAATGGCTGTGTCTGGCACCTACTAACGCACCAGACACCTTGGATACCTGATTAGTAGGTTCCAAGAGTATGGAGATATGGACGCCATATCATTCATTCTTGAGCTGTTGCATGCGTTGCCCCTTCGACTACATTAAATTCTCCCATTTCCGGCAATCTCTGTCCCATACTGTCGGGTGGAAGTTAATCGAGTGACGGTGAGTAATTCATGGACGTCCCGGAGCCTGACTCGCACTCCTGCTTTGAAGGCCCTGTGGAAAGAGTGCTAGTATATTCGTTATGAGCTTACGTTCAGGACTGCTTTTGCGGGCGACCATCAAGCCATTTACTCATATAGGGTCCATCCAACCAGTAACCAAGCTTTCTATAATAGCTCCTCACGCCGACGCCGCTAATCACGCTGATTTTGTCACTTCCGTGCTCGTTACGGGCAATACGCTCCGCCTCTTCCATCAGGAGGGTACCAAAACCTTGATGTTGAAATTTCTTGGGGTCTCTTGCGTGTACTGGAACAGCAGTTCCATAAACGTGTAGTTCCCTAACCAAACTGGTTGGTTGGCCAACTAACTCTTCACGGTAGGTATACTTCTCAGTGCATTTGCGCAAACGGAGTAGTGCGACCAAGATATCTTGCTTGGGATCTTCGTAGGCTAGGAAAGTCTCCCATCCGCCATTAGCCGTGTAATCCCGACGAATGAGTTCAATCTGGTTGGGTCGAATCTTATGTTTAACCTCGTTAATGCCGACCTCGCGCGTTCTCACATCGCGGCATGTTGTACCAAAGTCTTTCATCCTAGCAAGCGCTAACTCCCGCAGATTTCCGTTTTCGACACCCGAGGTGACCAGCGGCATCGGGATGTCCCTTTGGACTCGATAAATTCTAGTCCACGGTGGCACTAGTGCCAGGATTCTAGCGACAATGTCGATCAAGTCGTTAGGGGTATAATTCTGGTAACGGCCTGTGCGCCACAGCTCGTAAAGCCCCGTGCCGCGAATAACTAAAGTTGGATAGATCTTCAAACCGTCGGTTCGGAATGCTGGATTTTCAAAATATTCCCTAAACTGATCTAGATCGCGCTCCATGCCGACGTTCGGTAAGTCGGGCATCATGTGGGAGACGACTTTAAATCCGGCATCCTTAGCGAGGCAGAACGTTTCTGCGACTGCAGCAACAGTGTGCCCTCTGTTGGTATCTCGCGCGACGTCTTCATACAATGATTGAACTCCAATTTCCAGGCGCGTACATCCGTAGCGAAGCATATCGGTTAGATGTGGCTGCAAGCAATAATCCGGTCGCGTTTCAATGGTAATGCCGACACATTTGATGTTGCTCATCTCGCCAGCCTCAACTGCCTCGTCGACGTTGGTTGTTTGATAACCACTGAGAGCGTTGTGTAGCTGTGAAATAAACTCTTCTCTGTACGACACCGGTAGTGACATAAACGTGCCACCCATTATAATATACTCGACTTTATCGACTGAATGGCCAAGAGATTTGAGCTGGTCAACACGGCCTCGGGCTTGTTCGAAAGGGTCGTATCGAGCGCGAATAGCTCGCATGGACGTGGGTTCGTAGCCCGTATAGGATTGTGTACTATATTCGAAGTCCGAGTCGGGTCCGCCTGGGCAGTAAACACAGATATTTCCGGTGTAGGCGATGTGAGGACATCTGTGCGGTTTACACATGACAGCTACCACAGCGATTCCGGAAGAAGTGCCTAGATTTAGGTCAGCCAGGTTGAAAAAAAAAACGTTTCTTTAATCGTAGCATACGAATGGGTTTTGCGATTAGCTTCGGTAGGATATATTTTTTATAGTGTTCCGGGACAGCGGCGATGATGGCAGTAAGGGGAGGCATGCTGGCGATTTTGTGTTTTCTCGAGAATTTGGAGCGCAAGCTGTTGAGGTTAATATCACGTTTAGGATTCTTGGGATTCTTGGAAGCCTCGTGGTCCTCGATAAGAGCGTTTGCAATATCGGCGCAACAGCGCAAGAATCGCTCGTTTTCGGGCGGCAGGTTCGCATCCTTCTTCCGAATTGTTGTTGTTATCGTTGTCGTCGCCATGTTGGCGTTCGCATGTAGCGTTTACTGATATATAAGAGGTAGATAAGTTCCCGATGATTGCCTGGTGTTTAGGGTGAGATGTAGAATCAGTCTGTTGGTGATTGCGTAACAAATATGTGAGTAACCTTGAATATACGGGCGAAGAGTTTTGATGAAGAATTAAAGATGCGAAAATAGAAAAGGCGACTTTAGTGAAAAGTGTAGATCAAAATGGCGGGGTTCAAGATTCTCATTGGACTATAGATTTCAGATTTTAGAATTTTATCCAATAAAAAGGATTGAAAATAACCAACTACAAATTTAAAGTTTGTATGCACCAACCCCGCCCTGTATCCAGCACTGTGTGATAGATTACTATGTACCTAAGGTACCTAAAGCATGTCTACTTTGCACTGAGGTACTTATGATACATTCTGGACTGCGGGGTTCTTGACTGATACTCACATTCCACCACTTAAGAGGTAGGCACATTTTCCAACTTTTGCCTTACCTTAGGTACCTAACCTCCACAAGTTATGGTAAGTGCATAGGTATCTACCTGATGTGTACATAGTGTGCAGAGGTAACAAGCCCCGGTCGGGTCGCGTTGTAACTCCTCTTCGTATGTAACCCGTCGGGTTGATTCTCCAACTTACATCCCTCTTATTTTCAGCCCTTCTATCAGTGTTGAACATCTCATGCGGTCTGAGCTGTCACTTTCAAAACAGTCAGGTTCTGCAACATCCTTACTTTTTTTGCAGCCTGCACTGTTTCGCATCCAATAGTAAGGCATTTGTTTTTAAACAGTGACTGAAGCAAAGCTACTTTACCTTGGCTTGCTTCTAACCCATTCTTCATCTTTCTTCAACCCGTAAAACTCGTTTCGTCTTTATCTCCATCGGCCTCTTGTCTGGTTTTACGACTTCTGCGGCAATTTCACACTGCCTGCATTCTCGGCCGCTTGCTGCTTCAGCAACGCTTCGTCTTACTTCCTGCCTGACGCCTTCGTTTGAACAACCACGGGAACTTGTCTAAAAATGGCGACGAGCAGGATGCGCAGAGTGGCCAAGGAGCTATCCGACATAAAAGCTGATGCAGATATATCCGGCATCACAGCCGCTCCAGCAGACAACAACGGTGACTTTACTCACCTCAAGGCCCGGATACCTGGCCCTCCGGGCACACCTTACGAGGGTGGCTGTTTCATCGTGGACGTCAAGATACCTAACGAATATCCTTTTCGCCCGCCCATTATGAAGTTTGATACCAAAGTCTGGCATCCAAATATCAGCAGTCAAACCGTAGGTCTACTTGGATGGTTAGGCGTGCTATATGCTTTTCGGACCTAACCTACTGAGCTACTAGATAGTCTTGCTAACAAAGTCAATTCCCAGGGTGCCATCTGTCTAGATACTCTTAGCTCCGCCTGGTCTCCCGTCCTCACTATAAAGTCCACCCTTCTATCCCTACAGGGTCTCTTCGAAAGTCCCGAACCCAAGGACCCCCAAGACGCCGAAGTAGCCAAGATGATGATAAACGACAGAGAAGCCTTTAACAATAAGGCACACGAATGGGCTGTTCGCTACGCCCACGCCCCTCCGAATCCAAGATACCAACATATCCAGCCGCGGGCTACCGTCGCACCACAGCAGGTGGATAACAGCAGGTATAGTTTAGAAAAGTGCTTTTTAGGCTGGCGTGGCAGCTGAGCAGCTAACTGGCATCCGCAGATATCAGGGCTATAACAAGGACCTTATCGATCGATTTGTCAACATGGGATTTGATATCGACCGAGTTGTGGAGGCCTTCCAATTCGTCGGCATCGACAGGCTTGACGGGCAGGATTACGAACTAGAGGAGGCTTACATGGGCGATATCACGGCTCGATTACTAGGGGAACCTTAGGGCGACATCCGATAACACGATAACACGAAGGTTCAAGTCTCAGTTTTATTGATATCACATACCGACTCATCTTTCTATTCAAGGCTCCTCAGTTGACCTACAAGAGAGTCTCGGGTATTGGTAACATAGCAAAGTTAAATTAGGTGTACTGAGTAGTCACAACTGTCTTCGCAGACTTGCATAAGGAATTAGGCGTCGGGAGTTCTCGGGTAAGGCGCGCTACTCTTGCATGAATTGAATTGCTCCATTAGCTACGCCCTGTGGCTAGGTATATTTACAAGACATTATGGTACTCGTCTTTAATGTGCTTAGGTGCTTTTCTCTCTACTTTCATTTTTTGATGGAAAGACTTGTATCTTAGCCGACCGAAAAAAAATAATGCTCTAGTGTCGTCGGTAGAGAGACTTACCACTTTATTACGAGGAGCAAGTCCACTACCTTAATAGGTACCTTCTCAATTTACCAACTACCACTCTACGTACAGCTAGGTAGGTACTGATTATACACCCAGCTAACGTCGTTATTTTATGGGTTGATTTCTTGTATGATTCGGTGCGGTTATGATAGAGAGTAAGGGATGGTTTAGCTGCATATCCAGAACTCAACTTGAAGAGACCATCATTTATGGAATACCTCAGTGTTGAGAATGGCTAACTTCCAGATCAATTTATACTGTATTCGAAGCCCGCCGTGGGAGCAACAAAAATTAAATAGAACAATTTACATTAAGTAGGAAGTACGTAGCGTGACATAAATACTACCTAGCTACGACGATACGATAAGCGAGAAGTTACCGACTAATAAGCAATAGAAGTGTTATACTTGGATTACACTCAAGGACATCGACATTACTTAGCGATTTGATTACATTTTTGAACAAATGAGATGGCGTGTTGCGCATTAAGTATCGAAGATACATATTAAGATGAATTATCACGGTTCGGATAACGAGGGACGGCCCGCAGAGCGTAACCGAGATCCAGGGGTTCTAACTGCGCTTAAAAATGAGAAATGAGAAAATAACGATGACGGAACCGAGAAAAAAAAAGAGGAAGAAAAAAAGATTTATGTCCGACTTTTGGGATTCTAGTCTACCAAGATCAAGCTCTCAAATGTAAGATATTAATATAAAGGCATCAATTAGTTGCCAGGTATAACACATACCTCCTATACATATGTAGTACAGCGCCCAATCATGTCATATTAGATGCACCCCATGTTCTGAACTTATTAAAGTTTCCCGCTATCCTCAACTAACAAGAGCTTGGTATTGTACCTCATACAAGTACCTACTAGAGTCTAGCCCTACCTATCTGGTACATAAGGTAGGTACAATACAATACCTACCTCAACGTCATTCTGGTAATTCCTGCCTGAGGGTACTATATAAGAATACCTAGGTACAGTAGGTGATATCTATCTCAATTTGATAGTTGCACCTCCCTAAGGTATGCCTGTGTAATAGTAATAACTTAAACTCATTTCCCATTTCCCATTTCCCTAGCAAGCACTGCCTTCGTATGAATTAATTTTAATATGAGGTACCTTACCTACCTAAGGTATCTTCAACTCTCGGTCCCTCAAAAACTTCTCCAAGTCATTCATTAAACAAGTTAATTATCCATCGAAGTCATCCTTAACTCATCACTCTTAATAAGCTTCAGAATCACAGCCTTTCGTTCCATCTTCCGGTTCTAAGCAAACCAATTCGTGTTATCCTCTCTACACTACCTAGGCACCTATTAGTCCCCCTCAGCAATGGCAGTCAACGACATATCCTCAAGCGCAAGAGCCAGGGCCAACGAGTTGCTTGCTTACAGCCAACGTCATGTAGACCGCGTCGTGAGCCCACCAACGCGACAGAAGGCTTACGACTGGGTTTACGACTTATCAACCGAGAGGCCTATCTTGTTTGTAAGCTTCTACCAGCGTCTGATTGATTTATATATATAAAAAATAAAGGAAAAAAAATAAAAATAAAAAAAAATAAAAATAAAAAAAAATAAAAAAAGATTACGCTTGTTCTTACAATCCCTCCAGTCATTCGTCGCCTTTCAATTTACCCTCTCTCTCGCGCCTCTGCTTCTCTTTGCAGGCTTCGCGGCGACCACTATTGCCGTCTCTTTAATCTCCGCCGTCCTGTTCTCGCTCTTTTGGATCGGCATCGCCACACTTTTCCTTGTTCCGACCCTCTGCCTCGCCTTTACCATATCCCTATTATTATGGGCATGGGCAGTCGCCACTTTCTTCGCTGTCCGCTGGGCCTATCAGAGGCTACCGTTCAGCGTTGATAGAAATGGCAGAATAGTGACTCGCGACAGCGGCGGGAAGAAGATTATCTTCGACAAGAAGAACAACACTGGCGTCGACTTGAAAGTCGAGGCCGAGGTGGTTGAGGCCAAGGAATAGATTGCCAGCGAGGTTATATGGATCGCGATGGAGGCTGGTTGGTTCATGATACGCCAAGGCACCGTGGCGTTGTTGAAGCTCAGGTTTTGGCTGTAAAGTGACATGAGTCAACTAGCCATTCTATCAACAGCTATTGATGGATGACTGTCGCGTAGTTTTGTGTTGGGAGTTCGGCTCTGGCGCTGATGCCTGTGACAACGCGCAAAGGAAACGACGGATGGCGTTTGAGAGTCGTTGGGATGGAAACCTGTGTTCTAGCACGTACAATTATCGTTACTGAATCAGCATATTATTGGAATACTTTACAGGCTGAGTTCACAAGTTCAGTCAAGACGCAGGCGTCCTTGTTATATATGGCCTATAACTTGCGACAATGTCCTACATATCACTAAACAGTCCGAAATTGGTTCTCTATTCTACGACTAGGGGGCCAGTGATGGGTATAATATATCGAGTCTAAAGTCTCTACCTAGGTACCTTACATAACCCTTCACATAGGAGCGCATCATTTATTCATTTGCCTTCCGAGAACGATACAACAGCCCACTTTCCACTCCATGCCCATTTCCTTGCACCGCTATCTCCGCCACCACCTTCCGTCGCCCGGAGTTCCTCGTCCTGCCCGGGCTTAAGCCCGACAACCACGTCGGCCTTGCAAGTCCGAAGAGCAAGAACGTTGACTCGGGAGCCCGGACCGAGGGGTCCAATGGCTTCAGTGAACGGTGTCGAGGGGTCCCAGGTAGCCTGTTTAAATCAGTACGCCTGAATAGCAAAGCCGTAGGGGAAAAGGGAGGGGGGCGGGAAGGGGAAAAGAGGAAGGTTTAACTTACGTCGCCAGTGAGCTTACGGTAATTCAAGTCACCCTTGAATATTACCACCTCGCTACCCTTCAAATCTTCGTATAGACTCTTTGCTACAAATGGGAGTCTCCAATAGCTACCCGGATATGTCCAGAATGAGTTAGGCCTAAGAATGAGCTGGCCTTCGGCATACATTCGGGACCATTCCTGGAAGAGGAAATTGAGATGCGTAACATCTTCATCGGAGAGAGCCGGGGGAGTTATGTTTTGCAATTTATCGTCGTCGGATGGGGTTTCGTAGAATTGCCTTGGGTTGATCAGGGCGTTGAGGAGAGCAGCAAAGTCTGCTGGCAGAACATCCGATACGAACCATGGAATAGACTTTGGATGCAGGACGACGAGGGTAGCCAGACCCGCCGACAGTAGGAAGCCAGCAAGGATAAGATCGACGTATAGCTCAAACCCAGCATTATCCAGTACAATGTCCACACGGCGCTCCTTCTTCCCCTCGCGCTGGGCCTTCTTCAGTACGTCGTATGTTGCACCCAGATCATTGATTAGAATATTCTTCTCGGAAGCTTTTCTAGCTTCGGAGCCTTGCAGCTTCTGGATATCCTCGTACGTGAGACTAGTCAGGAGAGATAAATCTGTGGCATTCCCCCACAAGCAGATCTCACACATCTCAAAGAACAGAATCTTTTCGGCCTCGTCGTGCTCGGCGCTAGAGGAATTCCTATCGCGTTCCATCTGCGTCATCAGGTCCTTGTATCGAGCGGCAAGCTCAAGAACAGCAGGGCGGGACGATCGGAAGGTCTTGATCTTCTGCCGGTAGAATACATCATAAGACTTCCAATGCTCAGAGAGGCTGAAGGACGTGTTAAGTCGTCTATATTTGGCGTCAGCTCCCCTCTACCACAAATCACAGCGGGAATACATGTCGTCCTTATACGTTCTAGTACCTGTAAAGATAGCATTCGGTAAATAGCCAAGGCGCATTGAACCAACTAGGCGTCCCCAACTGTTCCAACTCGCTGTTATACACAGCTACATCCTCGCCGCCATCGTCTCTTATCGGTCTAAGCCATTAGTTAATATAATTTGATCGTCCTTCAACTAGCATGTATGATTACAGCATACGTGAGCTTCCGGTCGTGCTGGAGTTCGTATTTCAACCGCGCGAGTTCTTCTATGATCTTCTTGCCCTCACTCTGTTTTTCGGAATCTTCACATTCGGATACGGAGCGATATAAGTCGTCAATAGCTTGGGTCTTAGCAGGCAGGGAGTTAGTCGAGCTCCACTTCGGACAGAAAAAAGGGACCGCATTTTCAACAACTGACTATTATGACAGGCCATCGATCTCGAGCGGATACGTATGCGAAGGAGGACTTGTCGCTTGTCAGATATGGAGCTTGTAGAAAAGGGTTAGCTGTGAAGCATTATGGAAGAAAGCAAGGCACATACGAGTCTTTGTATCAAACTCCATTTCGACGATGAATAGATACGGTTTAAGATTAAGGGTTGGCGCAGTTTGTTACCCTGGTAGAGTAAAATCCGGTATTTTAATTTTCAGTGTTGTATATTTTTTATTTTTTATTTTTATTCCCTTCTCCCCTTATCCTCGCGAATTGTAACGTTTGGAGCGCCTCAGTGTATTAAGCGCATGTCATTTATAGCGCGCAGCATGAGGCTAATGGCGGGGCACCCTGGCGGGGTAGCTCCGATGGGATGGATGAGGTACAATACAGTGGACCTCAGAACAATCGTATTAGGTACCTAGGTACCTCAGGTAGGTACAAAGTTGACGGACTTTGTCTCTAATATATTCAAAATACCTCACTAAAAGCGTAATATGCCCGAGTTGTTGAAAGATTAAAGGCTTATATTATAGATAGAAAATATGTAAGGCATTTTCATATGACCGACAGGTGAATAAAAATAAGCTGTCATATTCTGTATAGATCTCTCTGGTTTAATAGTAGGCTACCCTACAAACAGTCTTTCCCACCTGCGTATAAGTGACCATCTAATTTAGTCGTCCACGATGTAGAATAAAAAACTATTATGCTCATCCAAAGATCTGTTCTTAACTGAAAAACACAACAAGTCGAGAGATATGTTTCGCCGCCTCTTGCCGATTAGGTAAACACCTTTCATCTTCCTCCCTTGAATACCTACCAAGATAGGTACCTAGGTATACACTGTCTCCTACGTTCACAGGCCCGTCATCGGCAGGAGAGCTGGCATAATTTTAAACGAGACAAACTTGATGTCTGTCATGGTTCATATCAATCATGACTAATGCCAAGATACTAACGCAGCAGAGAACAGGAGGGTGTAAGCTGCTATTGTAGGGGCCGAGACGGCGTACGGCGTGGCTACGGAGCCAAAGCGGCGTAGAGCAGCCGGCAGATAATGCTACGTAGTATAACAATCAGAGCACACACTGCAGACCATCGTATGCAGCTATCGTATGCAGCATGGATCGTGTTGCTAGCCTCTCACAAAGACCATGTAACTACCCCCACTCCGTCATCTTATCAGATCATCTGATAAAATTTTGCGTTTCTCGATCGTCGGAGACGGGTAGGGAGATTTCGGAAGGTGTTAAAATTGCAGTTCCCTCGCCGGATTTCTTACTCTTTAAGGGGAAGCGTCTTCGACAAAGTTGTCGTTCGGATCCGCCTTCGGCCGCTGCAAACCTACTTGGTTAAGCCTAACATCAGATGTTAGTTTCCCAACTGAAGGAAAACTGGCGATTCTAGACCTCGGGCAAGTAAGGAAGAAGGATCGTGGTGTTAGGAAATTTGTATAATCGTATTTGATGCAAATGACTGCCTATTAATAAATACCACTTACCAGCCTTTCCTCTTTAATCTATTAATCATAATCTCGTCCCTCCCTTTGCAGCCCCCTGCAATTTGGACACCATACGCACGACTTACAACAGTCTGGCCTACAATGACAAGCATCTCTCCTGCTGAGATGGCTGCCTCCACCGGCCGCGATGTCGAGAAGGACCTTTATTCGGTCCAACCTCCGGCTGAGGTACTCGAAGGCTCCAAGACGGTGTCAGACAACGAGTCAGCGGACATGCAAGAGGGTGTCAAACGAGTCGAGGCCATCACGACCGTCTGGTCCGATAAGTCCTTGTGGTCTACATTTGCTCTGTAAGCTATCAATCTTCTCGAAAACCGTACAATCGAGCTCTAACAGCATAGTCTTTGGCTCGTGTCGTTTGTATCCGCGTTATTATCGTCCATCGACACCTCCCTATCGCCATACGTAACATCCTCTTTTTCCAAGCATGGTCTACTTGCAGTTATAAACATAGCTGCGAGAGTGATTGGCGGCGTCGTCACTCTTAGTCTGGGCAAAATTATAGATATTAGGGGGCGTATGGAAGGCTTCGTTGGGTCACTGCTTCTGATCACCGTCGGCATGATCATGAAAGCGACCTGTCGGAATGTTGAGGTATATGCGGCGGCCCAGGTTTTTACTTGGGTCGGGAACGTTGCCCTCGGTTTTGTTATCGACGTCTTCGTGGCTGATATCACTACTCTAAAGAACCGAATGCTCATATTCGCGCTCAACTCGACTCCTAACCTTGCGACCACCTTTGCCGGCCCTCGGATCGCCGAGCTATTCTATCAGAATATCAACTTCAGATGGGCTTTCGGCGCCTTCACCATTATCTTACTTGGGGTATCTCTGCCAGTGGTTGCTATACTTTATTATCATGAGCGGAAAGCAAAGAAGCTAGGCCTGCTTCGTCCGAAATCTGGTCGCACACCAATACAGTCCATTTTACATTATATCATCGAGTTTGATCGTAAGTCCTGCATGAATGAGTCTTTTGAGGGGATATCCTCGATACTAACAGTTTATTAGTTATCGGTGCAATTCTTATCTCCGCAGGATTTACACTCATTCTCCTGCCGTTCAGCCTCGTAAGCTCAGCTTCACACTCGTGGAAGAGTGCAAGAGTTATTGTTATGATAGTTATGGGGGTAGTCAGTCTCGCTGCGTTCGCAATTTGGGAGAAATTATTCGCTCGTGTCAAATTCTTCCCTTTCGAGTTTCTAAAAGACAGGACCTTCTTGGGTGCCGTATTAGCGTATTTTGTGGTTTTTATGACGACCTTGTCAGTTTCCTCTTCTTTCATAATCGTCTAAGAGAATCAACGCTAACACTTTATGTTATAGCATATGGGATGCCTATTACAGTTCTTACCTCCAGGTCGTCCACGGCCTCAGTATCAGCATCGCAAACTATGTGCTCAATGCTTACTCTCTTACTTCATATTTCACGGGTCCATTCATCGCCTTGTAAGAGCTCCTAAGATATACCAACAAAGCTATTATCTATGAAGTATATTAATATAAACGTGTGCAGATATATTCGCTATACGGGCCACGTCAGGTATCCTGCTCTAGCTGCCATCCCTATATATCTGCTGGGTACAGCTCTGATAATATACTTCCGGGTACCCGGCGCTCAGGTTGGGTATCTTGCCATGTGCCAAGTACTTGTCGGCTTCGGCGTAGGTGTGATTAATCAGATGTCTCAGCTTATTACTATGGCATCTGTTAGACACCAGGACGTTGCTGTGGCTCTTGCAATTTATGGCCTGTTCGGCTCCGTCGGTTCGTCTGTTGGCTATGCTGTTGCGGGTGGCATTTGGACCAATATTCTCCCGGTCAAGCTATACGAGTTCCTTCCCGATGATAGCAAAAACATGACTGCTACAATCTACGGAGATATTAACAAGCAAATGGAGTATCCAATTGGGACGCCGATTCGAGATGCCGTTATCGAAGCATATGGTGATGTAATGAGGAAGATGGTTATTGTTGGTTCTGCACTAATTCCTCTGACCATCATCTGTGTTATTGTTTGGAGGAATATCAATGTCAAGAAGCTCGAAACGGTGGAAAAGAGATCCAGGGGAAATGTTTTCTAAGATTTGAACCTCTTGGCGTAATGACAATATAAGCCACGACACATTTTGAGATAACGTAAGGTCAGCACGTTACAACAGGCTGCAAGAATAAACAATTATACAACAATTTCCCCCTTTCTTTTATATATATATAAAAAACCGCGCTAGCGTGAAAAGAATCGCCACTGTGTTAGAGATGGTTATGTTATGCCAATACAGACATAATTGGACTTATAACATCTTCAGTACACTAGTTTATAATGCGTACTAACTACTTCCTAAAGCTGCAAGAAAGATATATGGCTTACAGTTAGGTAGCTGTTTAAATTGATACTCAGTCGCTATTATTTTAGATTGTCATAACCCTCTATGACGGATTCAACAGCGTCTTCGTGCCAATCTACAATGTACCATCTCAGCTTTGTAATCCCTAACTTGAGAAATAAAGGAGACATATTGTCAGAGAGACTGCAATAGCAATTGTGCCATTAAGAAATACACTTTTGGCTCAGCGGTTTGTATCTGTCACATATATACAGTCAGAGAAAGATAGGTAAAACGGTAAAACTTGCCTCCTATAACGATGCTAGGACTTAAATTAACAGTTGCAACCAGCTTGCTGTTTACTAGTACACAAGGCCCCAAGGTGGCTTGCGGGTTCCAGCATTGTATGGAAGGACCTAGAGCGCGACATATATTATATGTGGCGTTTCCAGGGTATGCTATGGGTAGATGGTAACGTGTAACAAGTATCAAATGGTTATCTTAGCTGCTGAAAGAGCGTAACGGCAAGATATTATATTATATTTCATATTGATGTGTTCACTTGAATTAAATTTAGGTAGCTATGCTAGCTGTATCAGACCACCATATTAATCCTCTTAAACTATCTATATCATTGCATTTCTCAGGCTCAGTTTTATTTTGACTTATTATATCGTTTACTATTTGAAAGCTTAACTGCTATGACATACAACATGAAAAGCATTGCAGAGCACCATATCCCCCGATTCTAGACTGATCGGCACACGAACGATCCGGAATACTCGGTGACTACAAAGACTCAAGTGCTACCACCCCTTTATGACCCAGCTGGCGAAGCAAGACAGTATTACATGTTTAAGAGTTACTTTGCCTAATTATCTCCAACCTTGAGATGAATATACACTCTAACCTGTGCTGTCTTTAGAGTATTCTCTTTTCGAGAGCAAAGCTTTCTTCCGAACATTTGTTTAGTACCGCCAAATTAGCTCCACCAGAAATCCAAGATTGCAGAAGTTGAAAATATCTTGCAAAATCTGCTCCCATCGTCGTCTCGTATCCTCCTCCGAGTCCCTATATTTGGATGTCTTACACTTGTCTCGGGCTTCATGTCGATAATAGCACTGGCTCCTTATTACACGAGCTCATATGGGCAACGACCCCATGTGTATATCATGTCTAGGATAGAAACAACAGGGACTGGTATGTCAGACAGCAGTTTGCAATCATTCGGACAACACGCAAGTCTTTCGAAAATGTATCATATGAATATCATCATCGTATGTGATGATATTGGCCTCGGTCGCAATATGGGAAGGTTCAGGAAATTCCTCGCATGAGTGCGCAATGGGTACACGAATAACCAAGCCTCTGTAAGGAGCTCAATAGACAAGAAGTCAAGTCAGGTGTCTAGATAGCAGTTCAGGCCGCGGAACCCTATAAAGCCTCCTAAGCGGCCATGATGGGGTCCTAGCTGAATCCCCGAGCACAATTATTATCCGCATCATATTCCTAGTCCTCTAAGAAAGCCTAGGTATCTCTGATGAGAGTCGCCATTGCGCTGCAGAGGGGCTCCAGTCTATCAATATAATTTTACCTTCAACTCAAAAGAAAACCCTTCGAGGCTGGTTTAGGATAAGGGAGCTGGGTGACCGATACATACCTCTGAGGTCTTGTGTTATGCAATTTTATCGACACCAAACAACCGATTCTTGGCTTCAAAGGGCTCTTTTCCCCAGTCCCTGCCTGGTTTATGACTCAAGCTTTCGTATCTATACTTGGACCGAGGTAGACGCTGAGTACTCCTGGGAGCAAATATGTGTACATACTACTACCTCCATTATCATCACTTGGCCCCTTGCACCCGGGATATTGAGTATGCAGTGCATTACTCTTTCTGTCCAAATTCGACATCCAATGTGCTGAATGTGAGTTCCATGAGTCCCTCGGGCGCGAGAGACGGCGAAGATGGTGAGCAGCGGATCCAACAGCCATGCGAGACGCTTGCTTACGCCCCGGAGTATAACTCTGTTGAGGGCATAGACTACGGCAACCCTTGCGTTACTGGTAGCTGCCTCATATCCCAAAAATGCAGTACTGGCAGCTGTAGGCTGGAGGATGTCGGTGGGCGTTGGATTTGTTGCCAGTGCAATTGCGGAGGGAACACCCTAAGGTGGTGCATTCGCCCCATGAAAAAGATCCCCGATGCTCTTTGCTACCATCCTATATGCCAGAATTGTCGTCCGGATCATGGGTAGAAGGTATGGACACAGAGGAGATCGAGAAGCCAGGACAGGAACGACTGCCGATTCACTTGAGATGTCCACCGCTGCATTTCTTCCTTCATATTTTCCGTTGTTGTCGAGAAATTTGAACAGCCAAGCCGACAGGAGCCTCCCTATGCTTAGAGTTAGGAGAGTGAGACCGGTGTCGAAGCTTGGAAGCCATGCTAGATTATATTGGTTGCATTATTGGGTTCTCATTACGAGATCGGCGACTCCGCCACGTGGTAGCTTGATCTTATGTATGACAGGTTTTGATAGTTGCGGTCACCTTGGAGAGCGCCGTGAAGAATATTTTTGCTTTTCTAGAAGTAATCTGTCTTTCCACACGAATGTGGCTTCCCGAGCGATCCTACATCATCTTGCGTGTACCCCAAGCGCCCCTGGATATTGGTCCCGCGCGGACGGGTGCTTCGCCCAGGTCTCTGGATCATCCGCCGCGTGGACCAGAGTGCCGGGACGTGATTCGACTGTAGTAGGCGAACAAATCGCACTATCAGCAATGATCACAATTTACACGTGGGTTTTAGTTCAATAATTTCAGATTCTTAGAATAGATAGATACGCTAGATTTTGGTCGCCGACATCTATAGGCGTAGGCTGAGAGCCAGGAATGATGGAAACTAGGCACGTTCCATTGTACACTATAGAAAAAGCTGGGACGAAGCACAGGCAAGTCCCGGAAGATAAGAACCACGCATGTGCCGGCCGCCCAAAGGCCGAGCGAGAGCCAACGTAGTCAATATGATCCAACTCTACCCATTACCCCTTCCTATCTATAACCCGAAGACTCCTACCAGAAACCCGCACACTCGGATCATGTGCACCGAGACAGCCTACACGCTCCGGTGCGAGCACGTCGTTACCCGAACCCTCTACTGCTCGGATGCCCCTCCGCCATCTCGACAGTCACGCAAGGAACGGAGGACTTGTAACAGGGTCATTCGAAATGCTGTGCCTTGGCCACCCCCACCACAGTTTGGGACACAAGCCACATGCCCTTTGGCAAATTGTCCCTTCGAGGAACGAGGAGGTTATTGGAACTGTTGCTGGTGTGGTAAGGAGTGGAATGACCAAGGTAAGTTCGGTAGCACGATTTCGACTATGGTCAAGAGCTTTCCACAGTTTCTAACGCCGCCTCAGGTCGCTGTAGTTGCGTAATGATAATCGATAGACAGGAATACCGCTGTGGGCATATTTGCTGTGAAACATGCGAAGCAGCTACCGAGACTCAATAGAGGAACGGGGCCTACAGCGATAATAAAGCCAGATATGTTAGCTGAATTTCACAAGGGGAGATTCATAGTTTGGGAACCAGGCCTCGACATTTCCACTTTACGAAAAAGGGGGGACGCATTTCTTTGCATTGGAAGATGGTCCGAAGCCGTAGATTAAGTTCGAAATGTCTTCATTAGAGTTGTGTAAGATGTGGTTAGATGTGGCGGACCTGGATGAAAGATTAATGCTTTGCTACGGGAGCCACAGAGAACAGAATAGGAAGGTGACTTGAAATTAATAACATCCCACACATTAAAGCCACGCCGGAAAAAAACAATCCCAAAGTTTCTTAGAGCATGATGAAGTCGTTGTAAGCCCCGAGTACCTCCCAAGACCTTAATACGTTTACAGAATCCAATCTTGGTGGGACTTCGAGCTAGTAAGCTTTACCTCAAAGAGTCAGATATGGGACGTCACTAGTTAGAAAGGGGGGGAAAGAAAAGCAAACCGATGCTCGGGCAACATGATCCGGCTACCTGGTTTCTGGTCGATCGCAGTGCCGTACATGATGCCAAGTAACTAGACACCTTCCGGGTCTCAGTCGTGAAAAGTAATTAGGTGGTCCCTCCAGATCTCACACGATCTGTACCTACACAGGCCCACCCGCTCGGCAATATACGGTGTTGTACATGATGCACATGTGTGTAAAGTAACCAATAAGTGAGCCCGGCTAAGGGGGAGAAAGAATAAGCATAGATGGGCTGACCTAGAAAGAGTGCGAATATCGCGATTGGACTGTAGGCCGCTGCTGGCGGCGTCAGTCGCACTAGTTCACACTGCTACCCGAGACAAAGATCTGTACCTCGCCCAGGTCGCTGCCATCGCTCCTGGGTCTAGGGAACACTCTCGCCAATACGAAGGAGAGGGCTGCTGATCTTTACCTCCGGAAACCTTTTTCTCTCGACGTATTGCAGAGCTGGGGCGTCTTGCTTGTGACGCACCAGATAGGGGGGGATGAATGTCTTCTTCATTATCGACACAAGGATGATCGAGGCTGGAACTTGTGCGTTGTGCGTGAAAGAAAAACACCAACAGGCTGCTGGTGCTAATGTTGCTCCCGGAGAAATACATAGGTTCCTACAAGTACGGGTAAGTATATAAAAGGTTGATGATGTCCGGAGCTTGAGGTTGGGATCGAGCAGTCCGTTCCCTTTGCCAAAACAACAGCCTTGTAGTCGTATGCCGTCATTTATTAGTCTTCGCACCAAGACCCGGCGAACATGTGCCACGGCCACCCTCACTACCACCCCTGCTCTCACACATCGGTCAAATGGCTGTACTGTCCGGAGGCCATGTTCGATCTGGACACGGGATATGAGACACCCTGCTCGAACCCGATCTACTCCACACCGCAGCCAACCAATGTCGATTGTCCCCTGCAGAATTGCAACTTCAAAGCCTTAATGGGGAGCTGGAATTGCTGCGTCTGCGGGAAAGGTCCTAACACTCAGGGGTGGTGCACCTCATTGGGTCGTAGGACGGACTGGAATCCCCTAACGAGAAAGGTTGAGGAGATGGAGATGCCTTGTGGGCATGGATGCTGCAGCTCATGCAGCCCATCCCGTACGAGTATGAACTATACTGCTGTGCACATGAGAATAGACCCCCCCTGACTATTCATAGCGACGCCACGAGGCGCGAGTCCGGAGATATCGTTTGCAGAAGTTCGCAAATCAAAGAGCAGCCGCAAGGCTCATAATACCGGGCGAGGCTCCATACACAAGCGAGGAACAGCGTACGACTTGAGCCACAACAACGGAAGTTGTCCTACCGTACCAGAGGAAAACGAACCGATCATCTCGTCAACAACAACTTCAAAATCCCAGGGACCTTGCCGACTAAGCCACGACGCGAGCGCCGAATACCACAAGAAGCCGAAAGCACAGAACGGGAAGAAGAAATCACATAACAAAGCTCGCGCCCATCATTGAGGCGTTTGCGTACTTTAGGTGCGTAAGCAAGCGACTGCTCCAGGTCCTCGGTCCGGCGACTTGACAGATAGACAGATACATGAACCCATGCCAACAAGAAAACAAAGGACCATATAGTCTCTACTAGCCTTTAGGTTGACAGTAGACTACACTCACTCGGTATAACAGTCAGTTACGAATAAAAGCGCTGTGGGAGGATAACACCTCCTATATGACTTTGTCATATATCCATAGGCATGTATGTGGAAAGAGAAAAGGATGCCGGTGATACGTACCCCAACGCATCGCTCGATCCTACCAATATACTTTTGATTGGTTGTTATCTTGCCGCTTTCAGGCTTAAGCAAAAGTCGCATCGGATACCATTAGTCAGTTATGTATGATATAGTGATGGCGATTAGAATTATTGCGTTAGGGATGCCAAAATGTATTATGTCTGTTCACTGCCTTCGCCGTCCAAAGAATGTCCCTAATCGTAAAGATGTCACCAACATCGCTAGCATACAAGAGTCAGCTGGGTCTAAACATGGCCATGTCCCAAGGCATCACTTCTCGCTAATCTGAACCAACCTAGTATGGCTAAGGAGCTCGCACCGGTTTCAACATGAACACAACTTTTTTGTTCAATAACCACCAGCTGAGACAACGATTCGTCTTTGATAAACGAGCGTCCTTATTCGCCCTAAGTCGCGGGCCGCAACGGGTTGTAACCAACTTGCTGGTAGCAAAGTGAGACCAAATGAAACTCCGGGACTGTTGCTAGCTGCTTATGTTTATTAAGAGCTAAAGTGACTTGCTAGAGGCTGTAACTCAAAAGCGAACGTCTGTTGGAGGAAAGAATAAGAGAATACGTCAGAATGTAACATCTAGCAAAGTACAGAGGGTTAAGGTCGCTCGACCGAATAGTGCATTAGGTAGTTAGCCTAAAACGATTTGGGCGTTTAGTCTGCAGGTAATATATAACGTTCAGCGGTGGTTGAATTAAGAATTTCAACTTCGCTCTAGGTCTCAGCCGTCGGTTGCCAACTTATCTATAACCAAATCTAATATCTAGCCCAGGTCTCGCGGACTCTGGTGCATGCATTATGGGTGTTAGAAGATACAGCCGGATAAAGCATTTATTAGGAACGGGTAATTGTGAGAACAGGCTTGAGGCCAGTATGTCTACTAGGCTATAACTGCCTAGGTAGGCAACCTGCGTGGAAATGAAATGAAATTCATTTGCATAACTCGTCTCCTATTGTGTGATGTTCACTGAATAACATGCCTACCTACCTACCTAAGGTACCCTCCTCCACTTGCCATCCGGAGATGTTGTAGATGATACCCCGGGGTTACATTCAGCTTACCTTACAGCCACGTGCGCAACATGCAGGTTTGACGAAACCTGTAAGATAGGATGGGCCTGGCAGGGAAATACCCTGACCGTACATAGTATGTTTTGTAATTAGGCAACGATCCAAACTCGCGAAAGCGAAAATGGCAAGTTCCTCAAGCCTGGTTGGCGGGCTGACGAAGTGATAGCTCTCTCCCTGCATGTGTCTGCATGTGTGATACATACCTCACGTTCAGTCCCCTTTCCATATGAGGGACACATCCCGCATATCTTCACCCTCCTCGATGAGGATTTGGTCAGAGCCTGTCAGAATCTGTCAGACTTTTCAAACTTTTTCATTACCTTCACAAGGTTAGGTAGAGGCACGGCAACATGGCAACCATGCATGGCATGGGATTCCCTTAGCGGATCGGCACGATGATCACTGACCACGTGCTGGTCTCCACGGAACTCCTCGCAGACAAAAGATAAGGAGGAGGGGAGAACCTTGCAGACACAAGTTGCCAAGCGAGATATGTCCGGGCGTCGGAGGGTCAGGGCTACGGGGATGTGACGTGACCAGGTACCGTTTTATCTGAACTCTCGTGGCGAGAATGAGGTATAAGAGCTGGGTATGTAAAAGAGAACAGCACGCTAAAGCCCGCATAGCATTTCTAGAAGGGGACTTACGGTTTACCTAATGTAGAAAAACATACGTTGGTCAGGCGGCGGGCTTCAGCGCCATGTGGCCTCCTTGACTCCTGAAGAGGGAGTCGGTACCAGAAGAGTCGAAAGTTGATGGAGATTACAAGTTCATTACCGTATCTACCAACGGCATGGTAACGTTAGATGGAGGTGTCCGTGCCACCCAAAGATTTATTATATTGCCTAGGTATATTAATGATATAGGTAGAGGGTATTATGCATTATTGTATTGTACCTACGAAGCAGATACCATAGTAAGTAAAGATAGCGGATGTTGTACCTATTGTATTATTTACTGCCGAGGTACAAACTAACGTAATAGCATTCCCCGTGGCTGCCACGAGTACATGCCTGCAATTTACGCGTGTGCTTTAATAAGAATAAAAACTTGCATACGCCGTCATCTTTCCCCCCCTCCCCCCCTTTTTTCTGATTATTTTCCCATGTGGAATTTTATTCCTCTTTTTTTTCTTAGTTACCTCTCTGTCCCCTTTTAATTAAGACGTACTTATCAAGTAGAAGTAAATAAATCGTACGACATTTATCATATTACCTACAATTGCTGAACTGAAAGATAATCAGCCTTTGAATTTACACTTTCAGTTACAGCGCAATACTACTTACTACGTTTGTAGAATAGTGCACGGAAGCTAATCCCACAGCTGAGGCCATTCGCATCGATCCAACCCCCCGTCTTCGTCCGTTCCATCCCTGCGTAGCGCCGTTTCAAACCTTTTGATCCACCACAACAGCCTATACTATACATGAGATATAGGTAAACATACCTAAGTAGACCTAGGTTAGAACCCTTTAGGTGTTACCTACCTCTGTTACCCTGCTGCTACCTTGTCACTCTCACTCTACCATTCAGCTGTCTAGCCATCCTGCCCAAGTGCCCACCAACCTAGTAATCCTACCTAAGGTGTAGGTACCTAATCAACTCTCAAACGAACGATTCAAGTTACCTTAAGTGCCTTATGTACCTACGTACTATGGTAGAGATATTGTAGGTACCTTGGGGTTCGGTACTTTCCAAGTCAGTAATCGCAGTTAAATCTGTCACAACAATCCCACTCCCATTCAGCCCATTGTCATCCAAAACACTCAGAAACCATATAACCTTAAGTATCTACTTTAACCTTAAGGTGTGAACTCTTCACATAATAAAAAACAATGCCTACTTCGTTAGACTCATCGCGCCCTATTATGGCACCCTCTACTGTAAGTAAACAGCCTTTTTCTTCTTTTCCAAGTCTTGTTATATAATTCATATTTCCACAGCCTGGTCTATTTACTTAAATCTCTCTCTCTTCGTCGCTTACTATTTTTCTATTTCCCATCCCCCATTCTCCAATTTCCTGTTCTCTTTTATAGAATTCGTTACGCGAAGGGAGACGATGGAAAGACCGGAAGAGCTAACAGGCGCCCTTCGAAATATAGATCGGCTCCCCTCGCGCGTCAGCACGCTACAGCACATATAGCACGGCCCCATCGTTGGCGGCGACAGTACAAACCACTGATTCGGCGCACGCTGAGATACGTGAAATTGAAACCGGGCTCGCGCGCATGGAGAATAAGGCCTTGTCGAAACAGCGAGTTGTCCTATCGGAGGAGAAGTCGGCCAACCTCAATAAGCTTGCACTAGGTGCCAAACTCGACCGCGCCCTCGACCGTCGCATGACTAGCCAAGATGCCGTCATGAGGCCCAGGAACCGAAGCGTCCGCGAGACGGATCCGGAAAAGCAAAACTGAAGTGAAGCTGGGTGAATTAAGAAAAAGATCAGACGAAAGCAACGAAATCGAGTTCGAATACAAGTTGAGGGATGATACCAGGCGAGCGACATCTACGGCTCTATAGCATTTCCTTTTCTCTTTTTTTTCCCTCTCTTTGTCATCATCAATCTCACGATGGGTCTCAGGCTAGACCCAAGATGGGCATGCCACTTTTATTTACATCTTTACGAGTCGGGATAAACATTCTGATTCTGCCTCCGTCCGAGAGGGATAGGGGCGCAAGGAAGGAGCAAGCTCTTCTATGTACCTCAGCCAGTCTACCGGTTTTATAGGGGCGTATGCGAATGACAGGAATTTCCAGCTGGAACCATACTGAGAGGCGGCGTCACAAAATCCAGGAACCGTCCACCCAGGTTGTAACCATCGTTACACGGTTATAAGGCACACACATGGTATATTGTGGAGGAAGCTGGGAAGGGAAAAGAGGATAGGGAAGATGAAGGGGAGGGGGAAGGGAAAGGGGGAGCCTGAACTAGAAAGTGGCATATTTCCAATTACTAATAGCTCGATGGCCAAATCCATTTGCATACCAAGTTTGTCTTCTCTCAAAGTTGTAGCTAATATCAACCAAGTTCGGGGTTAATGAAGACAACATAACAGGGCCTGAAGAAACAATGCATATATACAGCCTACCAACCAACTCCATGGACGCCTTTGGAGTGCCTGACCTATGGAAATATTACCCAGCTTCCATAAATGGATGGGAGGGAACGTAAGAGCCTTGTAAGAAAAAGGAGTAAAACAACAACAAAAACGACGACGACGAGACCAGTAGACACTTCATGAACTACTCTTTTCCAATTTGGCGGTGATATCCTTCAGCAAGGAGACCAACTCGCCCTCGTCGCCTTCCATCTCTAAGCCTCTGCTAACCCATTCCTTGGCCTCGATAAGCCGTCCCATCTCGACTAGACACTTGCCTCGCCTCCACCAAGCCTTTGCGTTACCGACACGCTTGGCCTCTACGCTGGCCTCGGCGTCGGAAGCACCCTCGGCCCAGCTCTGCAGGGCCATATGGGCCTGGGCGCGGTTGGCGTAGAGCGCAGCGACCTCTTCGCGCACCAGCTGCTGAGGCTCCCAGAGCGGTCGCGTCAGGGCCATCTGCAGACCCAGGGTGTAGAACTTGACGGCCTCGGCGTACTTGGCCTTGCGGTACTCGGCGTTCCCGCTGTCTCGAAGCTTGTTGACGTTGGCCGACCGCTTCGGGTTCACCGGTAGCGGCGGGGGCGGGACCTGGTTCGGGGTTTCCAAGGCGAGGAGCGAGCGATGCAAGGCGTTGAGAGTAGCTAGCTCGGCCTGTAGGGCGCGCGAGCCGGACGTCGTCGTCGAAAGCGCTTTGGTTTGCGGATCGATCTGCAAGGGCAGCATGGTGAATGTTTCAAGCTCGGAAGACATGTTGGCGGCGCGGTCTGGAGGGAAGGGGTTGTCTACAAAGAATGGAGGTAGGCTCGGTTGTAATTCGGAATAGGGTGGGAATCGTAGAAGTAAAGTCTAAGAGTGTATAAAGCGCAGTGAATAGACTCGATCGTGGTAGCTGTATGTGAAGAGGTAACGAATTGGATTGACGATGTTTCTAAAATGCGATCTGGCGACTTTTACACACTTTGTATCTCTAGGTATCTATGTACTACATAAGGTACCTAGGTAGGTACCTAACCTTGCTTCTTGGGTAACCATTGCCTAACGACAGGTGTATCGATAAAAGGCCACCTGGCAGCCTGGCAGCCTACCTACCTTAAGGTACCTACCTGTAAGCTGGCAGGATAAGCCTGAAGGATTATATAATCATGCACTATCTCACCATATTTTATGTACAATACGCTAACCCGCATGCATTCCAGCTTCATCTTCTTCATCTTTAATATCGAAACTTAACCAAGTCCATTAATCGCAGTAGATCGTTCAATTTTATTCAGGTAATTCAATGATATTTTCCTTGAAAAACTAACAGCTTAGACCCATACAGAAGTATACCGACTAGTAGCAACCATCACTTTTATATTTTTCTCTCCTCCTTTTTTTTCTTTTTTTTCTCTCTTAAAATCTTTCGCCCATCACTACCAACCAACGTCTCCCACGACATACCTATACCATATCATCACATAGGTACCAATCGATATACGATAGATACATAGTTACCAGGTACTTAGGCACCTAGGTACCTAATTATATGCTAACGTACGCGTGAGGTTCGACCCCTTTCTACCGGCTGAAGGTCTTACCCGGACGCCAGTTTTCTTCAAACATTTGCGACACGAAATAGAGGTCATCCTCCCATTCTAAACTATCCCCCGCCACTACGTGTTGTTCCTCAGTCAGGACTAGCGTGATCGCCACAAAGTAGAACGGCTGTGTCTTTAGCCTAGAGAATAGGACACTCACATTGTCCGTAGGCGTTGCGCGTTTCGACCAAGAGACTCGTCTCGTTGGCCTTTAAGGTTCCCCAAACTGCATTCTTCTTGTCCTCGGATCCTGCCTCCGGCATCAAGTCATTCACGTCCCGTTTGTAGTAATGCCAGTGGCTAAGGATGTTGTTCGCTCCCTCTTGGAGCTCCTCGACAAATTTCGCCAGATCATATCGGTATTTCTTAGGTACCCATTAGTTCAGCCAAGCCAGTTCTAACTTAGCATCACTCTTCCATACTAACCGCGTATTTGTTTTCTTTGGCCCGGCGTAGCCTGTCGGCACATGTGAACGAAGCTTCGTGGAGAAGCATGAACACGGTCAGATAAACAAAGTAGAAGTGGTGGGGATTCTTGCCCGCCATCACCTTCCATAAATTCTCAAGCACGAGCTTTCTGGATCGCGTAAGTATCCGGTGTCCAAGGGAGTCGAATTGCGCCGGGATCATTCGCGGTACCGGTATCGTCCCATGGTACGGACATTCGATGTTATCTATTGGCTTCATATCCAGCGTCTCCTCTCCCACGATAAATGCTGATCTCAGAGTATTCCCTACCCAAGTTAACTGACCAGAACCAAGAGGAATCGGCCACAAGTTACTAACTTGTCGCAAACCACAAGTAGAAATACTGTTCGAGTAAAATCCCATTCTTTATTTCTTCTATTCTTATACGAGGGGACATATCCTACGAGTGGCCCTTTAATAGAATGTCTAGAAACGGCACTCATTGATCTCACCTTACAACTCTGAGCATAGTCCAAGCTGTGAATTCACAGTCCGATATTAGTTTCCATTTGCCAATTTTCATGTTTGAGAGAAGGGAGAGGGAGAGGGAGAGAAAATTGCTTATGCGCTAAGAGGAATTATTCGCTTACGCAGCTCTGTAAGTCGTCCGAACCAGTTCAGCGACTTTGAGATCATTGGCATACTCTCGCACAGCCGAACGCGCATAGTCGTATAGATACTCCTCGTAACTCCTAGAAGTTTCCCAGATGCTCGCGAGGGCGTAAGGCTCAATGTCGATTCTATGCTTATCCCCTTTCGCATCAACCCAGTTTTTCCAAGTAATATCCGTCTCGTTAGGCGTGAACTTCTTGACCTTCAATACCATCGGATGACTGCTTCCCATAACTATCTTGATCGTACGGAACTCACTGCTATGAACCCAATCTCGCGGCCCCAGATCTTTCATCTTAGTCCCAACCCATCGTTTTGTGAGCTCAAGGCCACCATCGCGGAAGAGGATGACTTCGGCAAGCTTCCATCGCAGACACTGAAGCCTATGAATGACCTTCTTCGAGTCCAAGTTGATATCACGGCAGGTCAGGCAATCGACGCCTCGGGGGTCTTCCGGATCGGCCTTGCACTAGTACGGGCATTAATATATAATATCTCCAACACCATGAACGTTAGACGGTTTACCTACTTTTATTTTCTGCATACGACACCGGATGCAAGCCCATAAACATGTCAGCAGGTGGCGACACACTACTGTAGTACGAAGGATACAAAAGTAGTGTTGTGGAAAGAACAGGAAAGACAAATATATTTACCTTTAGCTTTCGGGTATTGCCAGTCTCCTTGCGGTGCTGGTCACTCAGGTGTGATCGAGAACGCCCCTCGGGATGAGGTGTCGGGGAGTTTCTATCCTGTGGAATATCATATTTACCGACAGCTTCCCACGAGCTTTCTTCTAATCTAGGGCTGCCTTCTTCTGAGAGGTTGGGAGACTCCCGGATACTGTCGTAGTCGCTGGCGCTGTCCCTCTTTACTAGCTCCTCCGTCGGTACCTCTACCGGCACGTCTACCGGTCTCTCTACTTCTATCCATCCTTCTTCCAAAGCTTCGTCTGGATTACCTATATCACGCCCTCTCAAAGGTAGGGGCCCGGACCAGGGAGGTTTTCGCTCTTGAGAGGAGACACCACTGTCTCGACGGAGTCGATACTCTAACAACATGTCCGGTGTGTTCAAACCGTTCAAGCCAAAAGGAGGTAAAGGGTAAACAGGGTAGTTGGGAGTCGTCGCCAATGTATGGTATGCCAGATAATCTGCCGGAATATTATGATATGATGAGGGTCCTTGCGTGGTTAGATAAGGCGGGAGTGGCGAAGGGAATAACGAAGGCTGGCTACTGCTGCCACTTGAAGTTAACCGGTTGAAGTTGTAAGGCCAGTCATACGCATGCGGACCCTGCTCCTGTGCGAGGGTGCGAGAAGATAGGCTGAAGTGGTCTCTTGCCGCATCTGATACGATCGGCTCTAGAGCGTAACCAGGGGGCCCCGAAGGAACGGGGTGGTCCCAGCTGGCATCAGAAGGGTTGTGCCAAAGGTCGTCTGATGTTGTGGTGACTGCGGCAACCGAAGTGACAACGTCGGCAGCTAGCCTTCGTCGCTTTCTGGGCGATGGTTTAATCAGCGATGAAGGTGAGAGTTTAGACCCATATCCCTTAGAGTTATTGGTTTTCGTGATCTGCAAGGAAGGGGGAGTAGAGCTAGCGTTATAGGTCGTTGAAGATGGGGGGGATGTGATCCGAGACCGTTTCCCAGCCTTCCATGACGTCTGGTCAATTGACGTAACCGTAACCCTAGTAGAAGTCGAGCGGCGGGTTGAGGAAGGGTTAACACGGCCGGGAAGAGGCTGGACCACAGAGACAGCGGTTCCATCCATGATGGGTTCAACCTAGTGATCTAATATCATTGCTTAGCTGACAGACGACAATGGGTGCTCGTCGTAGGGTGTGCGTGTGCACACATGCACACGTGTATGTGTGTGTGCGTATCAAATGGCCGGTTACCTACTCAATGGTTACTCAATGGCTCGCTGTGCGTCACATTCACCTTCGAAAGCCGGTGAAGAATCCCAAAGCGGCGCAGGGGATAATCGTTGCTCTACCAGCTGTCTCGATTCGAGACCGGCGAAAATACTGTGTAGCAGAACCATGAGTGGGTAAGTGATGGTCAGTAATGCGCAATATAGGTTGCGGGTTTCTTCCCGGTCAAGCTTGTTCTCGTTGCAGTAAAGGATGGGGTACGACAGGGTCTCTCAGAATTCCCAGGTTGTTTTTCGCCGGCTGAAAAAAAAAAAAATTTTTGAAAAAATTAAAAAAGATAATGCTAATAAAATAATAAAATAATAAAAATAACCCGCGCACAAGCTCCTTTAGGACGATCATCAAGCCAGAAAGACATGCAAAGGCCTCCCCGTAGTAGCTTAAAAGCCGTACGATGATCTATGACAAGACGTTGTAAAGAAGTAAGCTTACGCATCGCTTGTATTGTACAATACGTTATGGTATAACACCTACCGTATATACCGTATACCTACACATGACGCCCGACCAAAAAGGCGACCCCTCAGTGGCCATCGTAAGCCGGTGTAAGTGTACACAGAAACCAACAAATAAAATAATTCTCACCACACCGAGATTTAGATAAAAGCAAAAGTCAAGCCACTGTGTAATCATAGCCACCACTTGCATATATGCATCTTTTGATTTAAAGGGGAAAGGTTAAAAAAATAGAGGTAATTAATTAATAAAAAGAGGCAAAGAGAGAGATGCAATCCCTTCCTCTGCCCTCCCCACCGGCTATTAAAAAATCCTTATCTTTAACCTCCCCCCCTCTCTCCTACAAAATAGTAGTCCATTCTAATTTATTCTAATTTATATTATATTCATATATTTATTACATTTACCTCCATGATAAACTTCATGTTTCATATAAAGCTTTGTTCCTGGACATGAATGTTAAATTCAATGGACTTACACTTACATGGAAGTCCTCTATACACTTACAGCAATAGACGTAGATGACACGCTTCTCCATACACATGGAAGCGGACGGGGAGGTAGTGATGCAGGGCCGGTCCATTGTTGTCGTACATGCTGCAGAGTTGTCTTGGATTACACATTACATAAGAGCAAGGATGAAAGATTGGAACCTGCATGATGGTTTCCAAGCTGGCTTGCAATAGCTACTAGGTAGTTAAGTTTTTGGTGCTATCGTCATAGAACTGAAGTCGACCTCTCGGATGAGTTATTTGCGTAGGTAGATATAAAACCTAGAGAAGTCATGTAAATAAAATTATTTTCATCTTCATCCTCTTACCTTGTAATGATTCGTGCGAACGTGTCACCGTATCATGCCGCAGAGTCGCGGTCCTAGAGATTCAGGCTCAGTTGCCGTATGCGAGCTCAAACGTCTTTTCCTGACCGGTCTCAATCCCTGCTAACGAAGTGCTGGATCACAGCTCCTCTTCAACGACAGCCTCAATGCGCGATCGACGCAAAGGGGCAAATGAGAACCAATCACCATGATGACTCTGTGAGACACTCCCTTTGGAATCTCACCCGAGAGGTGCGTTACCAATAAATGGGGCCTTTAGGAAGAGCCTTGTCCCATCTTCGTCTTGCCTTACATCCCTTTCCGGTATTCCCGGTTGCCACGTTAGGCACAATGTCTGCTGAGGTTCGTGGGGAAGACGCGGGAGCGTGCCTCCGGCCGAGCGGTTGCTCACATTATCAAGTGGGAATATTGTGCTACCTAAAGCTCGATGTTGTCCCTTTAATAACTCGAGAATGCCAATTTTTGATTTCCTCAGCCCATACCCAACATGGCCCATACACCACCATTACAAGTCTTGTCTATATTAGGGCAAGGGAATTGGCGGACCGCATATTTGGGCGGCTCCAGCGCAGGTTTAACGAGATGTTACCTACCTACCTGACAACGGGCTCTGTGACGATGCTTCTAGAGGTATAATTTTTTTCCCCTTTGTGTGATATGCCAAATCACCATTCAATTCTGGCATTAGGCTTCACCATGCCCACCATCCCGCTTGCCGCGGCGATGGCCCCCCTTTATCTTGAAGAAATGGCAGCCTACCTCTTTCACAACAATCCATTTTCTTTCCGGGATTCGACAAATGGGCCATAGGAGCTCCCTGTAGCAGCTGGCAGCGTTACCACATCTATCAACGCTTTGTCGAAATGGCCATTGAAAAGATTCTGTTAAGATCGATGCGATAATTTTGGCGCCTCGTAGGTGAAGCCCAAACCATTATTTTCATTTGAGAATAAGAGATAGCCCGAGCCAATGGTAAGTGAAATGGATCATAGGTTTGTGTCATAGTTGAGTAGAGTCTTATGGACGATATTCTAAGTCGAAGTCTTTTGTACGCTACATGTAGGTATCTGAGTTTCCATTATAAGTGACGATTTCTCCTTCTCGAAAATAACCTCTAAGACTGTCTTGTAAGCGCACATCAACGAGAATTAAAATGACAACTCACATACCTCTGATGTCACCGGATAGTCCCGTCAGCTCGCAGCCTTGGATGCATCATGAGGGACATGATCTTCCTGCGGATGCTATGTTCCGGCAGGAGGACGGCAATCCGCAGCCACCCCCGGATTATCCCACCTATATTAACGGTCCAACCACATGGTCCAAAACTGATCCTAACATAGTTCAGCTTGGTAGCATAGAGGTAGCTGAGATAGAGAAGGGTTCCCAGCATTTCCATCGTAAGTTTATACCATGCCTTGCCCCTCTGATTTACCCAGTTTGGCAGGTAGCTTAACCGGTACCCATTCAGAACTCGAACTAGACGGTGACGAGGTAACACCCGACCATTTCCCACTGCCGAATCTCCGTAGTAAACTCGAGGAATGCGCATTAGAGGTTCACCATGGCCGAGGGCTGTGCATCATTCGCGGTCTGAGACCAGAGAGATACTCCATCGAAGAGAACATCGTTCTCTTTCTCGCAATTGCTAGTTATATCGGCGACAAAAGGGGTATACAAAACTCCAAAGGCGAAGTATTATGTAAGTTCTATGTCTACGTTTACTCCTACCACCTGCTAATGGGTAGATAAGCCCACGTTACCGAGTCCAAGTCCTGGACTGTGCCAAAAGAGAAGCGTCATGGGATTCATACAAACTATAGTTTGGTAGGTAGCTAATCAGCCTCAATATATACCTGATGCAACAAAAAAAATCTTTTAGAGACCGAACTGACAGCCTTAGCCGTTCCATACTGATATGGGATGCGAAACTCTATGTATCCAGGTCCGGGACCGGGCTAACGAAGGGGGGCGTACGTGCGTGGCATCTATAGCCACCATCTATAACGATCTAGTGCGGACCAAACCGTGGGTGCTCCATGCTTTGGCGAAACCTGACTGGCCGATCCAAGCGTAAGTAGAACCCGGAATCCATACCCATGAAAAGCGAGACGTACAACTGACAGTATTCCAGAAGTTTCAGGAAAGAAGCACCGTTCGTTTTAGGCCCGCTGATTGACTACCACGCCGGGAATTTATGTATCTCGATGGATCCCGCGCGAATCGGACCGCACCCTTCAAACCGAGACGGCTCGGTCCCAGACCTTACACAAGAGCAACAGGAGGCACTCATTGCACTTCAAGAAACGGCTAAAAAGCACCAAACACAGCTCGACACCGAACCAGGTGATATTATACTCATTAACAATCTTGCCCTCCTACATGGCAGAGAATCGTATCTGGACAGCGATACCTCTTCCAGGCATCTTGTTCGGCTATGGTTGCGCAATACGCGGCTGGGTTGGGCCATACCTCCTTCCATGATCATGCCATGGGACGCTGCCTTTGGGGAGAGAGCCAGCAAAGTAATCGATAGGTACTATCCTATAGTGCCGATGCCCAATTACATAGAGTGCAAGTACTCTAGCGGAACGGCAGCGTTCGTCGCTGACGACGGTTTTGATGAATGGGCCGACACTGTCCTGAGAGGCGCAGGGGAAGAAGACGACGCAGGTCCACGGCTTGAAGAGGACGCTTGAGATGCGGGTGTTTTTGTTAGTTGGAATATCGAACAGTCGCAAGGATGACGCATCGCCTAAGATTTACACTTTTATATGGCAATGACCGTGGTTTACGGTACATTACAACCTGGAGAAGACAACGCTGGTTGTTGAATGTATATGCAGACAATCTTTACTTGGGTCACAGGCAATTATGCTATAGACTTTAAAAACGTACTTGATATCGTAAAGTTGATTAAATTCTTCCTATGTCCAAACAGGAGCTATGTGATTATATCCCAAACCTAGGTAGATTTCGTCTGGTTGACTGTAAGTATATCACGCCTTGGGGAAATTGCAAGTGTTGATGAAGGAGTCTCGAGTGCACGGTGCGTACTTGGTGTTGGAGAAACCGGCGAGTATGTCGCGTCCACTACAAATTTCCCAGAAAAGGAAAGTAAAAGAGTTAAATGATGGCTTAGGTTAGGTACGCATTCACAAAGAGGACGTTGTAAGTATTTGCTTGTGTTTGCGAGGGTACGTCGGCAGCAAGAGAAGGATAAAAATAAAAACCTGACAAGTGGAAAGTTACCTTGGGTATCTGCTTTATGAAGGGTGACTATGGCACATTACAACTAATGGCTAAAGCAGACGATCGAACGATCTAATTTAAGACTTGCGGTGCGTAGTGATTCAGAAAGATTCATTACAAGGTGACAAGCTAGGGACTAAGGGATAATGAAGGGATAATGAAAACGTGGCGGGGATTGTCGAGGTAACTTATATCTAACATATTAAGTAAATTGGCGATGTGGGTTAAGGAGGCAGATATCAGATGTATCACCGAGATGAAGACAAGCAGTTATCTTAATGCGGCCAGGGACGGATATCATAACACCGACCTTCTCCTTCAACTCGTTAGTCTAATCGGCCTGTTTAGTTATTAAGCCAACAGGGCTGATTCAACAGAAAATTAACAAATGATCACCGGCAGTTCCACAATCTCTACAGATTCGTGTAGAACGGAGTCGAAGCCGTGCCTCCGTATCGATGCCAGAAGACGTGATGATGGCGGCCCGGTCTCGGAGCGCGGCTGTGGTTGAAGATCTTGCCGTGTACGGGAAAAAAACCCGGAAGACATCTATCGGGGCAGTGCAATGCAATTCCTATTCTATTGGCGCGTTCGAGATTACCTGGGATCGATCTAGGTCCACATTATGACAGATACTATGTTAGTTAGGTATGTATGCCGACGGGTGACACCTCCCTCTCCCTCTTTTTATTTTTTTCTCTTCTATTGTTATGATACTCTCCCTGTGTCGTCCACGAGTTGATAGAAATGGAAGATCCCAACGGGGGTGGGTGATTCGTCTCCACGGCATATTGCCTATCCTAACCGCCCTTTTTGAAGGGTATAATGAGAATGCATTATATATACCTCAGGTTAGGTGTATGATACGTATGATGTACCAGTAGGGAGAAAGACCTTGACGGCTACTTAGGTACGTGAAGCTGGTGAGGTGAGTGTACGGAGCCGATACGATACGCTCTCGAAACAATCCTAAGCTTGGCGCGTGCACTGCCTATGGATTCTCGCATTTAATTCGTATAAGAGGTTAGGTACCTGTTTTTAAGATATAAATGGATCCGTACCTGATGGTAAAATGGAATGTGTCGTCGACTCTCGAGCAACGCAAGATACGAAAAAGTATTCAAGTGGATGTGATGTTGGTTACGCTAATGTTGTGCGTAAGAGGAGAGAGGTTGACGATCCTGCTCGCCAGATAAAGGAGAAGAGTAAATCTGGAAGATCGCTATCATCCCGTGCCATTCATTACCTATAAGAGGTAAAAGCAGGCTCGTGATTGACGTGACCGATCGTCGTGCGAAACGCCCGCGCATGTACTTGTTGCCTACCTAATTTAGGTAAGTACCTTTGGTACGAATTATGTAGGCGATACGAACTTGGAAGAAAATCTTGATTGATTGGCGGTAAGAGGTTGTGAGCGAATTATCCCGGTTAGCTGGTAGCAGGTAAGAGGTAGATACCTCCTTAGTTGATGGTCCCGGTGTTTTCAACTCTGTGAAGAAATTCAATTAACTATTTGGAATTTAGTAAAAAAAAAAAAAAAAAAGATTGGCGAGGCGCTTCAGCTCCGCATTAAAACAAGTTTTGAAGGCATTTGGGGAATAACATTGACTGAACTAACTCTTTTACTTAGCTAGGTACCTAGGTACATATTGTACATATTGTACATACCTAATATGTAAGCGGCGGCTAATAACAGAAACCCGAGTTGAACAAAATAAGTAGGTGTTAACGTCTCATTATTTGCTGCTGCGCCTCGCTCGGGGATTGAAGCTAGCAAACCATCATGTCCCATTTTGCCATTTCAGTTCTCGGCATGTTGCCGACAAGCTGTTCGGCTACTTGGCTAGGTACTTGGCTAGGAAGTACAAGGCCATAGATTACCTAATGTACCTAATAAAGCTAATTCAATGGGGGTGCTACTAGGTATTCACCTAAAGCCGCCTAAGGTTTTGTACCTGCATTAGGTAAATAAATGTTTGTACCTATTTTCTTGCACGCGCATAAACAACATGGACGATCCTATCTTGCTTTAGGTACCTAAGGTATTCTTGTACACTACGTTGTATTGTGTTATCCCTATTGTGGCGCGTCGAGAAAGGGATCCTGAAAAAGAAGCCTCAAAACTTTAAACATCCAGAAGGAATATCACTTGCCGTATGTAAAGTGGACGTGGTCAAAAATAGTTGTAATACACGCCTACATGCCTAATAAGTGCATGCACCCAGAGAAAAAATAGTAACTGTTGGTAGCCTTTTCGTTCTGTTTGGATTCAGGAGAATCAGGAGAACCTACACTAATAACCCCCTAGCTGCATTTCGGTACCCCCTGTTCATCTGTCCATCTACCCGCAAAAAGCCCCAATCTGTCACTAAATCTGCAATCGGTCTTTCTAACTATGGGTCACTTGTAATTCTTATCCAATCAGATATCTTAATTCCATAGCCCCATAGCCTGGAACCAGTTTTAATCTCTCCTGTCGAACCGGGGTCCCTTTCTCCTTTACTGATATCTCGTACTGTTTTCTTGCCTCTTCCCTTTTTTATGAGACGAGGTCTTCCATTTTTATGTCGTGTTTTTCTCTCTCTTCCCTCTTCCATCTTCCCTCAGTTCTTTTTTTATTTTCCTAGCCTTTGTAATTAATCCGCACGCGAAGGATATTTAGGCATATCTGATTATTCCAACTACGCACATTCATTGAAGCACTTCGTACACTCATTATTACACCGTTCAGTCTAGAATTGGAAAAGAGAAAATACTAGAAAGGCGCTACATCGAGACTATCGCTACGTCATTTAACAGTACATTTATCACAGCGAGTTCCACCAAAGACGCTCATTCGGTTCAGACAATTCCATTCAAGTATTGTCATAAAGGACTCGAGATCCAGGAGATCAAAAAAATAACTAGCAGATAAGAATTCAAGATGGGTTTACGATCAGCTCTTACTGCATCTTTGCTGCTCGCTAGCAATGTTGCCGCCATAGACCCTATCATCATGAAGGTACGTAACGCTATATCTCGGATTACCTGTTTTATCAAGGTGAGTAATCTAATGCGTCTGTATTTAGGGGAGCAAATTCTTCACCAAGAAGGGCGACCAGTTTTTTATCAAGGGTGTTGCCTACCAACAGGAGGCTGGCGGTGGGCCTGGTGGCAGTACGGATTCCAAGAACAAGTACGTAGATCCTCTCGCCGACGAGAAGACCTGCGAGCGTGACATTCCGCTGCTCGAGAAGTTGGGTGTGAATACTATTCGAACATACGCCATCGACCCCAAGGCGGATCACAGCGCATGTATGTCTCTTCTCGAAAAGGCTGGCATCTACGTTGTCGCCGATTTGGGTGAGCCGGCTCTGTCGATCAACCGTGATTCCCCCGCCTGGAACGTCGAGCTGTTCGAGCGCTACAAGGGCGTTGTCGACAACCTTGGAAAGTATGACAACGTTATTGGGTTCTTCTCCGGTAACGAAGTTACCAACAACAACACGAACAGTAAGGTCGATTGTGATATTTCCACATGCTAGTTGGTGCTGACTTGTTACTTTAGCCGATGCCTCGGCCTACGTCAAGGCTGCTACCCGAGATGTGAAGAAGTACATCTCTGACAAGATGGCTAAAGGTGGACGATGGATGGGTGTTGGCTATGCCGCGAACGACGACGCCGACATCCGCGCTAACATGGCCCAATACTTCAACTGCGGTGACCAGGAGAGTGCCATCGACTTCTGGGGTTACAACATCTATTCTTGGTGCGGTAAGAGCAGCTTCACCGAGTCCGGTTACGACGTCCAGGTCAAGTTCTTCTCCAACTTCTCTGTCCCCGTCTTTTTCGCCGAGTATGGTTGCAACACTGTCGGTGGTGCTGAAGGCCGTCTTTGGGATGATACCACCGCCATCTACTCCGACCAGATGACTGGCGTCTTTAGCGGTGGTATTGTCTATATGTTCCACGAGGAGGAGAACGACTATGGTGAGTTTGTCGTTTAAATGCTTGAGCTTTCTGCCTCTAACAAGTATTTAGGCTTGGTCAAGGTTAAGGGTGACACTGCGACTCCCATGAAGAACTACAAGGTTCTTCAGTCTAAGCTTGCCGATGTCAAGCCTTCGTCCACGTCTATGGCTTCCTACAACCCTACCAACTCCCCCGCTGCCTGCCCGGCTATCTCTAAGAACTGGAAGGCTGCCGAGGCTCTTCCTCCTACTCCCGACAGCAGCCTCTGCGACTGCATGTACAAGTCTCTGTCTTGCGTGCCCTCCGATGACCTTGACGAGAAGGATTACGGCGACATCTTCGGCTACATCTGCGCAAATGACAAGACTGCCTGTGCTGGTATCAAGCACGACACTGAGGCTGGTGTCTACGGTCCTTACGGCATGTGCAATGCCAAGGAGCAACTTGGACACGTCCTCAACGCCTACTATACCAACCAGAACAGCGCTTCCAGCGCTTGCAAATTCAACGGTGCCGCCAAGGTTGTCAGTGGTACTACGGATTCGAAGTGAGTATCACATGTTCTTTTTTTGTTCGTATAAGCTAATGTCGAATAGGTGCGAGTCGTCTTTGGCCAAGGCCAGCTCCGCCATTGCTGTTGCGGCTACCGCCACCGCGGGCTCAGCAAGCAGCTCTTCTACCGGCGAAACCACGGAGAACGCTGCCGCTCCTGGGTCTGTCCGTATGACCCCTCTGATGACTATTGGTGACATGGTCGTCAGCCTCTATGTGTTGGTGGCCATGGGCGTTGGTGCTGGTATGGTTATGCTATAGAGGACTTAATATCATCCGGTTGGGTAGCGCTTTTATAGTGTCTTCAATAATCATATGTCGGCGTAATAATTCGGCCGTCTGTTGCTTTCGTCGGAGAGATTTGTCCGTAGTGGTTATGTTGTATGGCATCAGAAGATGTTTGGTTCCGTATTAGGCTTATAGAACAGTTAATTAAAGCTATCGCCATTCGCAATTTTGTGATTGAGGCTGGTTTGCGTAGTCCATTTTGAAATACCTATATTTACCGGGTTTGTCTCGTTGCCTCCTTGTCAGGGAAGATATTTGATTTGGACTCTCCTGTAGTTTACCGATGTTTTTCAGGTAAGGGAGGACTAGCTGATATTCGTGACGTTGCAGTTGTATGTTTACCTAAGTATCGTAACGTTAGAAGATATGCTGCTATTCGATAGCGTTTTTAAAAGCTTGAAAATAATCCATCGTGGTTGTAAGTCCATTCGTCGCATTCCCATAATCCTAGTGGCGTTTTCTAGCTAGGACTGTATATCTGGTTGATCCATAAATTGACTTTTTCAGCAATGACCTCGCTATGTTCTATTTTGTTGAAGCACATTTTTTAGCCATCTTCTTCGTATGAGAGGTACGGGTTTGCCTAGGTTAGGTACTTACTTATACAGAATGCGTGGGGGATGTTTCCTTCATCCACTATGAGCCTCGTGCGTTCGACTTGCTTCTGTCTTCTCTGGATGAAGTCGTCCCTGTAGTGGTTTGCAACCCAATGATCGTGCTTGCCAAAGAAGAAAAAGAATTTGGGTATAACCTTATCATGTGTTTCTGCTTCGTGGGCAATTTCCCATAACTCTTCATCCCAGTGGTCCTCCCCGATAACCCTCATCTCATCCATGCCCATGTGTAGAGCTTGCCACACTCCGTCCCGACTCTTAAGCCAGCGCGTCGTTACATCTGCTCCGTGGACAGGAAATCCCAGTATGCTGCGTACGATCCACCGGAGGGCGCCCCGGGGCAATAGATGCAGGAACGTCTGAGCAATCCGGTAGGCATTGTCCCCGAGTATAGGCGTTCGGCGTAGAAGGTCAAGTTTCTTCCCGCTCGGGGAGCTTGATATATGGTGAATAGTTGGGAACAACAGGATTCCGGAACCAAGATTCAGATGCGGGGCCAAAATCGGATCTTGTAAGAGCTGGTGGAAAAGCTCGAGGGCAATATATGTGCCTACTGAATGTCCGATAAGTAAAACCTCGTCATACGGATGGCCTTTACGCGGTCCTGAGTCGATGCGGAGCCCACTTAGGGCTCTAAGCGTATGCTGAATTTGGTCTTCGAGGTTATAAGGTGGCCTCTCCGAGGTGAAAGGTTCGTGATCGTTGTCAGCGAAGCCGGCAAGGTTCTGGCCGTAAATGTGAAATCGTAAGTGGCGAAGTGATTCTGCCTCATCCAGGAGATTCCGGAGAGTTGATAAGAAGGATTCGTAGTAATCAATAAGTCCCGGGTTCCCGGGAATGAAGAATATGAGGATATCAGGGGTTTGTGAATCTGCAGTCCCCTTATCGAGCAGACTCGGAGGAAAGGATAGGGAGTGGGTAGTAGTAGTAGTCATTGGGATAGCAATGGGTAGAGGTGGTGTCCGTTATAAGGTATAAGGTTAGGAGGTATGCAAACAATTATACTCATAACATTTTCAATGAGTCTAATAACGTTATGTGTGTTTTTCTAGTTGGTCTTATAATTACAACCTGTACGAAGAAAAACTTCAACTTTATGGCAAAAGGAGTCACTTGCATGTAATGTTTATATATGGTACAGAAGTGCGTACGCGTACATTGTATCAAAAATAGGTTCTAGGTTAGGTAATTCGTAAGCCTCCGGGATCTAAGCGTTGAAGAACTTTAGAATTCCAGCCATTGCTGCATATGGCTTAGCTTATCTTAGGTCCACGGGTAATTACAGGTATGTACCTAAATACCTAATTTAGTTCAATATTGGCTTCAAACCGAAGGTTTCCCGATGTACCTGCGCATGGTACCGAGGTACTTTGTACGGTTTACTGGACAGTGGACACATGCCCGATGCCGCTGGCCACCTGGGCAATGGAGTTCGGGTTCGACGGGAAGTACTAGGTCAGGTACCCAAAGGTAAGGTAGGCAGAACCCCGCGCGTCAACGTCCTACCCGGCCTACCTACCTAAATCAACCTAAACCAACCTAAACCCCGATGTCATCATCCCCACTATCGACAAATCCTTTCTACTACCTTTCATACTACATACATACCTCATATACACTATCTCTCTTAGGTACAATACCTATAGCAACAGCAGCAGTCTGCCTTTCCGGCCTTGTCTGCCTATCCCACGTATCTGACCTGCTACACTATGTACCTAGGTACACTATGCATAAACCCACTTTGTTGTATGCCTAATTCGTCTACTTGGATACTTCTCACGGCATATGCCGAACTGCACAAGGTGTCATCAGTCAGTGTTGTCAGTTTTGTCTTAGAAGGTACCTTGCCTAAAGGTATACTATTCTAACTTCCTTATCCTGCCTAACCTTATGTAGCATAACATCAGACTACCACCAGCCTATCACCAGCCTACCTAAGGTTAGGTCGTCATCTTTTAACCAGCTAGTCACATTTTATCCACATCCCTCACCCTCGGTCTATACACTAAACACTAAACACTACCTACACTATACACTTAGGTATACACTATATAGTATACATACCAGGTACCTTTATCAGCGCTTATCACCTTAGCTCTATTCTCTTTTGTCTATTCTCTATTCTCTATTCTTTACTCTCTACATACTCTCTACTCTCTATTCTAATTTCTCTACTCTAAATTCTAACCGTTCCTCTATATTTATTTATGTGTCTAGAATGCCGAGGCAACCTCATATATACGTATACGTCTACTCGTGACCGCCGACCTACTATGCTTTTGAAGGCCTCAACATCCACCATTCTTAATCCAACCAAGTTCTAGGCCCCAACCATACTTTCCCGCGCCACACTCTCGAGCTCTTCTCTGCCCTCGTGTGCTATCGCGCTTCGCTGCGCCGTCTGTCGCCATGAAGGCCGTCGAGCCACGACGGTGTTCGCCATCGCTACACGACGTTTCGGAACAGAAATCGACAACCGGCCTTCCCGGTCCGACCTTAGATCCAGTCACTGCTCACCCTGCAGGCAAAGCCAAGTATGGCCGCTTCAGAGCGTTCCTGCGTGCCGTCTCCGTCTTCATATACTTCGCGAGTGGCTGCGTGACGTATGTTGCCTCTCTTCTTAATAATACTTTGCCTGGGCAGAACGAGATTTTCTGATATTGTGTACAGCATACACGCTACCCAACTCATCGGTGCTCCGTTGTACTATGCTAACCGCGACCTATACTACTCATACATGTCCTTGACCAAGGCCTCTTTCGGCCTGTTAATAACTACCATGACCCAGTGGTGGGCGCCTACGGTGATAAGAATGAGCGGCGATGCTTCTGTTGCCGACCAGCTCAGATTGGCCCCCGATGGCAGGGTCGAATGCGCTTTTCCAGAGCGCATGGTTATGATCGCGAACCACCAGGTCTGGGTTTAGACTAATGAACTGCGCCCACGAACGCGAATGGCTAATCAATGTGTTTGGTCACAGATCTATACCGACTGGCTGTATTTATGGTGGGTTGGATATACAAACAATCCTTCCATGCACGGACACATCTACATCATCCTGAAAGAGTCGTTGAAACGAATCCCCGTCCTTGGCCCGGGCTGCATCTTTTTCGGCTTTATCTTTATGTCGCGCAAGATGGCCGTCGATCAGCCACGTCTCGCTCACAGGCTTAGAAAGCTGAAGACTCGACATACGGACCCCGACGGTGAAAGCTATTTAAACCCTATGTGGTTGCTTCTTTTTCCTGAAGGAACCAATCTATCTGGGAACGGTCGAAATAAGTCAGCTCGATGGGCCGCGAAGATGGGGCTCCGAGATACGGAGCATTTGATGCTACCTCGAAGTACCGGCATGTTCTTTTCCCTCAACGAACTCAAGGGGACGGTAGACTACGTGTACGACTGCACAGTAGCTTACGAAGGTGTTCCGTATGTGCCGCCCTTGTTTCTTTCCAGTCTTATGTATGTAGGTAGCTTGCTAACGCACTACTTAGCCGTGGTAAATATGGTGAAAACTATTTTACTTTATCAAGTACCTATTTTCAGGGGCGGCCTCCTAAATCGGTAAATTTCTACTGGAGGCGATTTGCTCTGGCCGATATGCCCTTGGATAACCAAGAAGAGTTTGATAAGTGGCTTCGTGAACGGTGGTACGAGAAAGACGCTCTACTCGAACAATATGTATCGACAGGTCGGTTTCCAGAAAATGCGGCCGACATCAAGGGGCACATCGAAACGGAAGTCCGAACTCAATATTGGTGGGAATTCATTAAAATATTCGTTATGCTTGGTTCGTTTGGTTTGATATTTAGTTTCTTCCTAAGAACCTTTCGCGCCCTTGCACGTGGTTAGTTGGCCGTCAACAAACCCTCTCTTGCTAAGGCAGACCTGGGTACCTTAGAAATAAATGATAGTAAAAATAAGGTTATGAGATTATCGTTAGATACCAGCAACGGCTTGCCATTTATGATACCACGAAGACTTGTATGTAGCATAAGGGGGATATGGGAGTTTTTGGATCGAGTGGAAGATGTCGCATGATAGCACAGGTACCTAAGTCGAACACATAACTCTACTCATGTCTTTATTAGTCCGATAGTCTAGCATATACCTACAACGGGATGGCGGGGTTATTTACTCGATTGTACGTAAGGAAACGACGATATACTGAGTTAAAGGATCTCTGCTATTAGAAGAAACCGCAAGCTTGCTTAAATCATTGAGATGTCACGAATAAAAGAAACTTCAAAATTTATGTTGATTATATTCACTTGGATTTCATTTCATAGATGTAAGCGATGCGGCTAGGGGGAATACCCTGGCCTACTTAAAATTCGGGCAGAGAATCTAGCTCGGCACTGTTTAGGAGGAGGCTCTTCTCTAAGAAAGCTGGATCTCGCGCCTGTTTCTCGCGCTTTCTTTGATGGCTTCAATAATTTTCAGGACATCCCTCGCCTGTGATGCGGGGACCGGCAGATCTTCTTCGCGGTTCCGAACAACGGCCTCGCCAAGCAGCTCAAACAGCTTCTTGTAAGTCTGCGGCTCCACATTCGGGCAGTCTTGTTCGCGGAAACTACCGTCGTCGCCAACAAGAGTAAGCTTCCCATTCCACTCTGGGCCTTCTCGTCCGAAGCTGGCGTCATCCATCTTTAACCCGGACCTGAGCTGAGGCTCTTGCGTATCGAGACCCTGCTTGTGATAGCTGCCTTTGGTGCCTCGGATCCAGAATCTCGGTTGGCGCACCTCGGCACTTACGCTGCCGATGCGCACCAAAACGACAAGGCCGTCGTCGTAAAACAGCTGCGCGGTAACGCTGTCGGGCTCCAGATCCGGGTTCTGGGGGCCTAGGAGGAGCCCGTCCCGCTGACTAGCCAGCACGCCGAAAACGCTGCGCGGCAGCCCGAATAGCACGTATGCCTGGTCGATCAGGTGCGTGCCCAGGTCGTACAGCGCCGAGCCTCCTTGGGCCATGCCGAGCGTGCCCTTCCAGGTGGACGGCTTCTCCAGCCGGAAGCGATCGAAATGCGTCTCGAATTCGACGATCCGGCCTAGGGTGCCGTCGGCCAATAGCTTTCGCACCGTCAAGAAGTCGCTGTCCCATCGGCGGTTCTGGTACACGCAGATCAAGCGGCCTTTCTCCTTGGCGAGCTTGATCAGGGCGTCTGCCTCGGAAACGGTGGGGACGAACGGTTTCTCCACGAGGACATGCTTCCCTGCTTGCAAGGCCTGCTGGGAGAATTGGAAGTGTGTGTGGGGAGGAGTGGTGATGACGGTCACGTCGAGATCCGCGTCGGCGAGAAATTGGTCAAGAGAGGTGAAATGCTTGACATCGGGATGGTCCTGAGGAGCTGAGCTGCCAGATTGGCCCGGGTTGCGCTGGAGGATAGAGTGGAGTTTTAGGGTGGGCGTGGCTGTGATGAATGGGATGTGGAAGACGGTAGCAGACAGGCTGGAAATAAGTCAGCTATAGAGATACTGACGGAAATAAGGCACCTAATAAGTGAGTTTAGGTAGGTATTGAGTAGGATGTCTTACCCGTAACCGATAACACCGACATTGAGCGGCGAGTTGGTGGTTGAGTTAGCCATGATGGTTTTTCTCTCTTTAAGATCCTTCTTTAAGAACTCTTCTTAAAAAGTGTATATAGATAGGTGCTTATGGTTGGTATCTTTTATTGCGTATCAATACTAATAATATTCAAAAGGATGGACGAGTATCTCCTGCGGGCATCTGAGAACATACGAATCTAGGAGAAGTCGAGAGATATTTATATAAAATCTATCAGGTTACTACTTAAAGCTAAGACTTCGCTACATGAGTAGCTTGAAACAGAGGGTGTCCTCAATGATATAATAATCGCATTTGCGAGTTGTTCACTAGAGGTATAAAACATAATAAAGTTGGTGTAGCGTGATGTTTTCACGATGGTTGGACTGGTCAACTGTTAAAGTTTCCTAATTCGATTTGTGAGCGGGTCGGCATGATCCCCATTCTACGCCACTTCGGCTTTACTATGGTGAGTACTGTGCGAAGATCAACAAGAGAGACTGTTCGGTACTCGGTCTTTTTCTTCATTTGAAATGGTTACCTAAATCAACCTCTATTATATTACATGGTCGCTGTCCACTATATCGGAAACAAGAAAAGAAAAAAGAAAAAAGAAAAAAGAGACGCAGGCTTAACTGCTCGGTCATGAAATGAAATTGGTAAAGGATTATTATTCGAAATACTTTAAGAATATTCTCTTCATTTCAACAGGTAACTACCTCCTAAGGTACCTCTACCTTAGGCAGGTAATTAGTTCGTTCTTTCGATTCAAACTAACCAAAGACTAACTTCCTTAAAGCGCTTTATGTTCTATCTACTTTATATTTGGTATTTGGTACGAGTCATGCGACCTTCGCGATCTACCGTATTTTGCTCTATCGTCATCGCACTGGCTTGGGATACTTTGATAACCTGAACCACGATAGGCCATACTTGTAACTAGTCTTATTAATATCTGAGGAGTTTCTATAAGTTGGAAAAGAGGGGTGGTAAAAGTGGTATCTTAGGTCTAGGTACCTTGACTTCTAAGGTCGTCTCCGGTCTACGCGAAGACCAAACTTAACCATGTTGAGACGGAATCTTCGTCTTCACCGGGATCTTCTCGTCCAATGCTGTCAAAGTGTACGATCATTTTCTCTTACCTCCTGCCGCCGCGAGATTCTTGATGCCTCTTCACTTCCTGGGCGCATTTCACCCAAATACAAAGAGAGCTCGGCTTCTTCCTTCTTATCTTTACATTGGCCGGAGCCGCCGCGGAATATCCTCATTATCCCAAAGCTACATGATCCTAAGGTGACCGCATCTGCTCTCTTGTTCGCGAATCACATCCACAGCGAGTACCCGAATCTGAATCTCATCTTCGAGCGCCGAATCGCTACTGCTATTCACGAGTCTCTACCTTTCGCCATACACGCCTCCGATCCAAGTCAGTTCCCTGAGAAAGTTGATCTCGTCATCACTCTGGGCGGCGATGGAACCATTTTACGTGCGGCTAGCCTTTTTAGTCTAAACGCATCCGTGCCTCCCATCTTATCCTTCAGCATGGGGTCGCTGGGATTCCTAGGCGAGTGGAAGTTTGAAGAATTCAAACGCGCTTGGCGTGAAGTGTATATGAGCGGCAGCCGTGTTGCTGCGTCCGACTTGCAGGGCCCTCATACGCAGTTCGCCACGAACAGCCGGCCAGATGCAGACGAGGGCCGTCTTCACAGTGACTGGGAAGGTCTCCGCGGGAAGAGCATGGGTCTCACTCGACGTAGCAAAATTCTTCTGCGCCATCGTTTAAAGGTGGGGATTTACGACGCTGCAGGTAATAATATAAACGACCAACTCATGCCTGCCCCTGCCCCGGCCCCGGCCACCGAGCCGCAGCAATCTACTACGGAGGATCCCGACGATGTCGCTCAAGTGAGGAAGGGCGAGAGACCAGCCAGGTCGCTACCATTTCACGCGGTAAACGAACTGGTTATCCACCGTGGTCCGAACCCGCACCTTGCTATTATCGACGTCTACATCAATAATCACTTTTTGACCGAGGCAGTGGCCGATGGAATCTTAATCAGCACACCAACGGGCTCCACGGCCTACTCGCTGTCCGCTGGTGGTAGCATCATGCACCCGTTGGTAAAGACGCTGTTGATCACTCCAATATGCCCTCGTAGTCTCAGTTTCCGACCCCTTGGCCTCCCTTTGAACACCAAGGTAGTTCTGAAGCTGAGCGAGAAGAACCGCGGACGCGAACTCGAGGTCAGCATCGATGGCAAGCGCAGGACTACGGCAACCGTTGGTATGGAGATCCGTGTTGAGGGCGAGACTATTGGCCGTACTTCGAGCGGCGGCTGGGCTGGAGGAGTACCCAGCGTCATTAGATCTCCGATAAAGGGTGACGGCGAGAGAGATGGAATTGCCGAGGATGATGCCGGATGGGTTGGTGGATTGATCGGCCTGCTCAAATTCAACTATCCATTTGGCGAGGGCCAATGAAATTATCCTTTTCCCTAGGGGTCAGAATCAAAGTCTTGCGATGTGAGTACCTTACCTACCTGTAAGGTGTTGGTTCCTGTTGAGCTGGTGGCGAGATTCAAAATATTCCGGATGAAGAAGAATATATAAAAAGCGCAAACTGGAAGGTAAGGCTATCCTACGTTCGTTTCATTCACCAGCCATTCGTCCATTGCCTAAGGTACCTTATTCCTAAGCATTTAAGATGCAGAGGCAAAAGAAACAGCGTCTTCAATTCGGAACCTCGAAGTCGTTTTAATATTTTATCAGGCTGTCAAAGCCAGATAGATGCATTTCTTGAATTACCTCGAACTGAGTTGAGTTCAGTAGCTATCTTATCTACCTAGGCACCTGCAAAGCTATAAAGCTATATGGTACATTTACCATACGCACATGATCCGGTGCTAGTTACACTAACTACACGGCAAGGAAGCAATTAGCTTACTATATCTGCCTGTCCGAGTTCACGCCCTCATCGCATTGGTAGATGTCTATCTAAGTACCTAAGGTACCTAACCTAACCTAACCTAACCGAAGGTTTCGGTCTAACTGGTTGGTTTTTGTGCAAACTTGAACTGCGAGTGATTCTCCTTGCTTGCGGGGCTAGGTGTTTGGGTATCATTCTTTTTTTTTTTCCTCCTTTTTTTTTGTGGCCAGGCTAACTTTCATAGCCTACCTCCCTTTCTCTTCATATTATCAAGCACGAGGTCGATAAAAAGCGCCATTCTTAAAAGCATGTCTAGAACTGTATTTACACGCAATGTATAGTTGGCTCATTCACTTCAGACAGCCGCTAGCCTTGAACGCCTCGCTGGCAGTGTTAGCTGTAGCTTTTAGGCGCGATTCGTTCCCCTCCAATGCTTTTGCGAGCAGATCTAACATCTCATTCTTGTTTGCTCGCAGATACAGATCAATTGTTTCTTTCCATATGGGCTTCGTGGTTGGACTAGGGGTTTTGGTTTCATCGTCCTCCTTTTCGGAAAGCGATTTAATCCAGGGTAATTGGGCATATTGCATAGTCATGGTCCGGACTTGCTTGTTGTAAGTGTCTGATTGTGCCTTATTCTTGAGGCGCTCCCGGCCAGGCTCGTTGTACCACGGCTCCTCGCAGAATATCATCGATTGGATACTGACAAGCACCTGGAGTAGAGTAGACTGGTCGGCTCTCCAAGGCTCTCCAGCCCACGTTCCTAGCAAGGACAGACAAACTATGAACCCGTATTGTTAGTAACTATCCCACCGCTGGTGGAGGAATGTAACCTACTTTTTCCATCGTGGTAGAGATTTGGATTGAAGCGTGTTCTGCTGCCGTTTGGGGTCTTGAAACACATTTTTGGCGGAAATTTTGGGTAGTCCGCTGAGCAGTACAGGTCGAACTCGAACATGCCATGCTCGTAGGGGGTATGCTTGGGACCGATGATCAAGACTCTCATAATATCAAGTCGAGAAGATCCATGGCATATGAAGATGCCTTCTGGTAGTGAGGTTCTTAGTGTCGATACCTCCGTAATCAATCTCTTCATACGTCCACGTTCTACGCTTATGGAAGTTTCTCTGCTTACTTCCCGCGCGAAGGCAAAGTTACGCAGCACCGTGTCGTCGGGAGCATCTCTGACGCAATTTTCGCGATGCCACTCAGAAAAATCGATATCGGGTTTCTCTTCGGTGATGTCCATAGCGGTTTGGAGTCGTTGCATATTTGCAGTGTGCTCGGTATATATCTGGCTCAGACGTCGGCTAAGCATCAATAGGCACTGTCCATCGAGGTTCTCAAAATCGCCAGGATTGCCTTGGGCATGCCGGAGAACAGTATCCGATTGGGCTGCCAGACTTCCCAGTAGTTGAAGTAGAGACTTGCCCGTATCCCTTACAACAATTCTTCCTTTGCTCTTCTCGGGAGTAAGAGAGACTTCTAGAAGATTGCCCCCGCCCTCATGATAGAGGTTACGGTTGGCGTATGCTAAATCTGCGGTTGCTGGATGGCTCCCTAAAGCGTCGAAGAAGTCTAGGACCGAGTCATGAAGTTGACTTTCGACTGAGGCGTCGTCAATGGAACCGCTTCCGAGCATCATCGCAGACTTCTCTAATAAGGGGCTGCGAGAGAGTAAATGGGTTAAAAAGCTAGGCGGTGAGGCGTCAAGGGCTGATGATCTTCGGTCGGACGGGAGCAGGAAAGCTAAGAGCCTGAAGTAGTTTTCGTGCAAAACGTCCTCCTTGGCGGATTTTGGCATCGATCGCTTGATGCTATGCGCACACTGAGAAAAGTAATTATAAGGAGTCACCGACTCCTCGCCGCCATAGCCAGTTCCCTTTGCGTTCGCCACGAAATTGGCCCCTCGTAGCTCGTCGCGCACTGTGTATCCCTTCGATTTTCCCCTTCCTCGAACTTTGGTCATCGTAGAATCGGCTCGAAACTTCATATTCGGAACTTCCCAGCCGCAGGCTAGAGCCCAGATCGCGGCCAATCTTCCGTCATCGCAGCACCATTGGACGGGTAACTCTCCGCCGGAAATCCTCATAATAGAGCTTAAGCTAACCATGTTGTAGCTGGGCTTACATGCCTTTCCGCAGCCGAGACATGTGAGCACTTTGCAAGACCTTTCTTGGCATTTCGATCCAAGGTTGATTGGCCCTATGGTACGTTAGAAAAGACCGCTGATAAATAAAGGCCGTAGACTTGTTGAGGGAGCACACTGTATCGAAATATCATAAACAGCGAGGAGAAAGGGGGGGGAAGGGGGAAAAAAGGGAAAAACTTACCCTTAGCAATAGCCCATGTTGCTGTCATGCTTACAATATCTCCGTAGTCCATGCTCTTCTTTTTATGACATCCGGCACAAGCGTGGCCAAGGCACTTTCGAACGAACGACAGTAATGGGTTTAATTCTTCTAGAGCAGCCTCTACCATAGCCGTGTTTTCGGGGTCTTGTTCAAGATCTGTCGACTCGTCTTTATCTTCGAGGCGTGCGGCATCTATTTCCGTCTCATGTTTGGCAGACTTCGCCTGTGGTTGTGCATAGCGGTTGATCATACCGAAGCCATTTCCCATCGAGGGCCAATGGACTTTCTCATGCTCGAAAATAGATTTCTCTAACATCTGCTGGTCGTAAAATGGCCCAGGGGGACTAACTGAGGGGTTGGGTTTGGGCCAGGCGTCAAAAGGAAGTGGATATGCTTGAGCACTTAGAGGATCCGCCCCAGGTGAAAGTTTAGAGGCATGAGGTATTGGGGTATAATCTGGGACATATGCACCTATACCCCATGATGGATCAAAGCTATTGTTGTAGGCCGAGGGAGGAATAGGTTGCATGTACAGATGGGGAGAAGTATGTTGGTATGGTGGAAGGCAAGGAAAGGGGTATAGCGGTTGCTCAGCCCATTTTCCCGGTCCCTGAGAGGGTTTAGAATGACTAGACGATGCCATGTAATACTCATCCTGGTGAGGAAGTGTTTTAGCAGGCGTTTTGGCCGAGTTGAATCCATAGCTTGGGCTACTTGCTGATTTTTTGATGACTTGGGGTGCGTTTAATAGCATTGCTGGATACGAAATTATAGCAGCAGGTAGTTGTGAAATGGGGTGATACAAGCTTGGTAACGTGGCGGATGGATTGCTTGAGGGTCCTGGAGCCTTTCTGGGATCGGACGAAGTCTGGGGAGGCGGGAGTAAGTCGTTATTCTCCTTTTTCGGAACTGGGGCAACTGGTCGGTGTCGTGGCCCAAGCGACTTGACCTTGGCCTGATGAGGTGACCGTTTAGTTATCGATTGGTTAGGAATCTCGGATGGCTTATCGCCCTCGGTTGAATCTTTATCTTTGTTGATAGTTCCCCCAAAGCAGTTCATTCGTGCAGAGAGATCTCTGATGCTTTCCAAGTTGGGAGCCATTGCGAATACGTTCCATATGGCTGTTAGGCTGTAATCAGATTTATCCAGACGGGGGGATATAAATTTCCGTTCTTGTGATGCCAACTGCAGCTGGACATATATAATATCAGGAAGGAAGAAATAATTCTCGTCGTCGGTAGACGTCTGGTTCTGTTTCTTTTTTGTGTAATGATTTCCCTGTAGGCTCTCAAGGTATGAACACTGTATAAAAGTGAATGGGTAAGGATAAGTAAGTCAAGGATCAATAAGGTATTCGAACGGTACGACTTACGTTTGTATGGATGATAAGATGATTGGTGGTTCGTGAATAATAAATGAGTCGATGGAACAGTGTGCCTTGACTTATTTCTGCCTTTCTAGGCGGGGTACAGTGCAGCCTGTAAACATGTATGTATATTAGGATATCCCATTCATTGGACTGAAAAAACATCAAAACAATCGAATTTAATTGGCACGCACCTTTAGTTCTGCCTTGCAGGTCACTTTGCAAGGGACTAGATAGCGGGGAGGGAGAGGAATGAGATGGTAAGCTGCATGAGCGTACCGAGAGAGAGGAAAAGGAAAGATGTTATTGCAAATGGTAGGAACCTATAAGGTTGCGAAAAATCGAGACTACTCTGAGGGGGCACGTAAAGTTTGAGTTGTTGAGTCGTTTTGCATTCACCTAGGGCCTTTTGATGAAGGCCGTAGAAACACACGGACACAAGTTGTTCTAAAGTAGTAGTAGGGAAAAGTATAAAAAAGAAAAGAAAAAAAAGTTACCTACGTTGTAGCAACTTAAGGCACACTATCCATGCGTTGCGTGTTGCTACGGACCCGACTTGACTACCTAACTCAGGTACCGTACTGAAGAATGACGAGGCCGCAGTCTGCTTCTCCAACCTACGGTAGAGGTAGGTAATCAGTTGATATGTGCAAATATAATTAATGTGACGCATATATTCGTTTTGCTACCTAGGTACCTAGACATAACCATGTTCTCCTCATTAAGTGGTGTTTGCGTTGCTGTTTGTAGTTATGTTACCGAGGTAGGTACTTGAGTTAGTAGCTTTTGAATGTACATTATATCGAACAAGAATAGTCATCCTTTATTAGAAGGAAGTTTATATTAAATTCCTAAACATCGTAAGTAATTCAGTAATTAATTTTTCGAACAAGATACTTATACTTTGTCCTTGTGACTTTTATTATTTTTTTATTATGATTTTTTTGAATACTGCCTATTATAATAAATAATGATGAAGTAGCAGAAAGACGTGTCTTTGGTAAGCATGATCAATATTTTGGTGTTTAATGTACAGGCCCGGCTCAGCCGCAGCGGGGTACTTGCACTAGACTTGGCACTAAACTTGGTTCAGGTCCATAAAGTTGCCCTGATACATGCACTTACCTAAAGTATGAAGTACCTAGGTACGTATAGTACCTTCTACCTACGAGAACATTAGGTGATTATCTAGGTACCTATTAAAGTAAAGGTAGGTACCTAACTCACATTGGAACTTCCAAGGCTTGAGCTTGTGAATGTCGCGTCGCCAAGAACTCCTTTTCTTTTTGTTTCAGGGTTTTGAAGGTAACAGGTGACATCACACAGCTGAGGCCACCACATACGTGGCCCTGCGGTTTAAACATAAATTTCCTGATTTGTCGTCAGTAAACCCCCTCCAAGACTTATAATTGATTCTTTTACATTTTACTACAGCAATTAGCCTTCCCAAAACCCTCTCTACGTTCAGGCCTAAACCTCCATCATTGCTCTAGTCATGGATTTCATCAACAAGATTACAGGCAGCAAAGACAACGAGGAGAAGAAACCATCAGAAAACCAGCAGCAGGAATCAAGCAGCGGTGGCATCATGGACAAAATTAACTCCATGGCAGGGGGAGGTAAAGAAAGCGAAAAGAATGAGGATGTTCTCGACAAAGGTATGTCAATTATTTATTTATTTTATTTATTTGGATCCTCTTATACGACGAGCTCAAAAGATCCCCAGACCTATATCATTGCTGACGTCTTTGGATATAGGAGTTGATTGGGTGCAAGAGCACATACTGGGCCAGGGAGACCAAAGCAACGAGAGTGCTGTGGAGCAGGCCAAGGATGAGCAGATCTCGGACTATATTCGTGACCAGTACAAGAAGACAACTGGCTCAGACTTGCCAATTAAGGACAAAGATCGCTTTTGAAACTCATACACATTGGATGGTATGTAATATCGGATAACTACGTATACCACAAGAGTGGAATACCTGGATGCGGCCATATCATGAGTTTATCACACCTCTAGGTACCTAAGTTGGCCTTACTGAATATATCATAAATATTGGGCTCGTACGTATTGCATTGAACTGATGAAGATGAAGATGCCTTTTCATAGCCTACTAATGACCATATCCATCTCTGTTTGCTTGGTGACCCAGCTACCGTGAACTCTCCAGCCCTTCTCAGGATGCGCCAACGCAGCATCGTATCGCCGGTAAAATTCCATCACCAGCTTACTTACCATCAACATAGCTATGTTCTTTCCGATACAAGTATGAGTACCAGCTCCAAACTGTTTGAGTGGAATAATAGTGTTAGTTAAAATGCACAAGCATACGAAAACATAAAAGTCACGGCTCGAGTATGTCGGGTTGCTTACAGAAAATAGACATCGGCTCATCTCTAATCCTTTCTCTTCGGTCGCCTCTATCCATCGTTCGGGTCGAAACTGGTCGACATCCTCCCCATACACATTTTTGTTTTGGTGGAGTACCCAAGCGTTGACGCCTACGGTAGTGCCTCCCGGGATTTGATACCCGTCTATGATAACGCCTTCTCGGGGCGCTTTACGCTCGATGATAGTGCCGGTATTAGGATGGATGCGTAATGTTTCTTGTATTACGGCGTTTCTATAATTTATTTCCCTTGTCAGCACATAGAAACCTCTTAGTAAAGAGAAGAGAGAGAGGACGGTAGCTCACAGATAAGGGAGTTTGGCGACGACGGGGTGAGGGACTATGGATGAGGTTGAATATCCATCGCTAGCGGACCTTATCTCGTCTCGGAGCTTGCTTAACACGCGAGGGTTTTGAGAAAGGTAGTACCATATTGCGCGGATGGTGATGGCTAAAACGTCGTGTCCTGCAGTGCTATTGACGTGTAAGCACTTGGCTACGGAAGTCTTACTCTTTTACTTACAGGTTGATGAATATTGCGGCCGTGATCTCTCTGATAGATACCTTGTCTGGATGCTCTAGATGAAGATCGAGTAGCCGGCCTAGCATGTCTGCTTGGTTTTGAGATGACTTTCGCCTAGCCTCCACTTCGCTAAGTGTGAACTAGGGGGCGTGAATAAGCACTAACACCCATATGCCGAGACTACGGGCGGAAAAAACTTACGTTTAGAACTGGCTCCGCCTCTTCAGCGGGAACTAGAGATCGAAGGAATCCCAAAAGCCATTGAAGGATGGGTGCTTGCGTAAACTGGCATTCTTAGTTAGGCGCTACCGTATAGGTACGACCAGTACAGACGTAACATACCAATCCGACCATAAAGAATATCTTGTCGGCAGACTCAATAGTCCCGTTTACGTCCTGGCCCCTTTCTAAGAATCCCAACTTCTTCGATACATTCATTTCGCTGAGGCAGTCGTAGGCGAAGAGATGTAGCCATAGCGACATGTCGAGAGTCGTAGGCCCATCCTTGGTCTTGTCTGCTAGCTGTCTCATGAATAGTTCGATGCAACTGTCCACCTGAGGTTCGAAGTCCTTCACTGCGGCCTTCGTATATAAACCTCCTATATTCCTCCTCAAAGTGGCGTGGCGTTGGACATCTCTGAGCGAGAATAGGTTCTCGAGTGGCTCTCCATGGTATGTAGGAGCTCCTACTTCGTAGAAGTCTGACTGGTTACCGTAGATCAAGATTAGCCTATGCTTATGTGGGAAAAGAAAAATTCTCTCACCTTTGCGAACGCCTGCCGTGAGGCATGAATTACTTGGAAGGCCTCCGGGCTGGCAAATGATACGTGGTTGGGACCGATTCGAACGACAGGACCATACTTGTCATGCACGCTCATGTTCCAACCCGGCATGTCTTCATAGTATACGGCGGCGAGCTTCCAAAGGTTACTAAAGCTTGCGATAAAAGGCCCAGGAATGGAGTTCAGCTGCTTCCGGTACCGCGTATGCATGAGTTGGAGGCATATGATCAAACTGATCGCCCCGAGGGTAAATGAAACGAAAGCCATTCTTGCAATGAAAACTCACAGTTAGTTTTGGCGAAGGTTGAGCTCCTCTTGCACACGTTTAAGAGTAATTAAATAACGCCTACCCTACCTGACCGGAGCTCGGCTGGACCTTTGGGTATAGTGTGATCTTATATGCCGACCTACATGATCCTTCGGCGGCATACCAAGTCGCATGTAACTAGGGTAAGAAGCACTAGTTACTATATTCACAGTGTCTCTTCAACTGTGTCAGGTATAGGAGGTAGTCATACGTCGCAAGATACTCCAAACGCGACTGGCATCAGCCGTAGGCATCATATGGATTTATTTTTAGGATACTTTCGCCTGCCGCCCAGTTATTTTTGTCATCGCCTCTCTTATAATCTTGAAAATGTAGTAGTAGGAGTCACACTCTTTTTGTGGCATTCCTGGGCTTCATCCCTTGTAATACTTGACAGTATGTATATTAACAATATCCTCCTCTGCCAGTGGAGCGTCGATACATCAGTAATATGCTGGAAATATTCATCCACCTCATGAGAACTACGAGTATATTCTGTCTATTCGTTCTTCACTATCAAGTGTAAAGTTCCCTGCTATGGCCCATATGCACATTTCTTTACGGGACGGCCTATCAAAGGCGTTCAACCATCCGTTCTTATCCTATTTCTTCTACATCAACACCCTTATACTGCGATTAAATGCCCCAAAACAACCCCAGGCAGTTGGGAAACCCTCGTGCTCGGCAACAGCTGCGTTCCGGAGGGTGGAGTCGGAAGCACACACTGACTCGGACTACCACGCGCGATACTGGTGGAAATCTTCCGGGTACGCGCTGGCTATCCTTCTCGAGAAGGCGGGATACTCTAGTCAGGCGCAGTATGAAATATTAAGATTTGTTAAGGGCATCACACCTAGCTTAGGAGCTGCTTACGTGCCGGGGCGACAGCGGTGGAGGAGTTTTATGACGGACGACCATAATCCCATAGAGCTGAGCTGGGACTGGCGTACTGGTGGCAAGTCGCCCAAGATACGTTTTTCGATCGAACCTGTTGGAGTTCACGCGGGGACACACCTCGACCCCAACAATCAGTATGCTGCTTCTAGGCTCCTGGAGACGATGTCCCAGCTTCTGCCTGAAACAAGCATGGAGTGGCTTGCTCACTTCAGACAGAGGTTGAGCGTCGAGGATGCAGGGGCATCTGTGGAAGGCCACCAGTCGAAAGAGTTCTACGCTTATGACTTGGGCGAGGAGGGTATCATAAGCAAGGCATATTTCTTCCCTGGGTTCAAAGCCACGGCCACGCGGCGATCCAACCTTGATGTCATCTCGGATACTATAGAGACTGCTCCTGGCTGCTCGCCGGAGAAGCTTCAAGCTCTGGAGATATTCCGAGACTACGCCTGTGATCCGTCGACCCCACGGCTAGAGATGGACATGCTAGCGATAGACCTCGTAGATCCAGCAGAATCTCGCTTCAAGATCTACTTTCGTATCCGCGATACTAGCTTCGCTTCCGTTAGGAAGGCCATGACTTTGGGAAACCGAATTAGAATGCCGGACATGGAACGAGGCCTAGAGGATCTGCGATCGATATACCACGCATTATTGGGTGGAGGTACGGATGGGGATGCTGGCGACATACAACTCCCCGCTAAGGATCATCGAACTGCTGGTATCCTCTATAATGTGGAGTTCAAGTACGGGAGTAAAAGCCCTAAGGTTAAGGCGTACCTTCCCGTTCGGCATTACGCGCGAAGCGAAGAAGCTGTCATGTCGACGGTAGACGAGTATCTGAGTAGAGCGACCCCCCTGACTAGGGTCAATATGACCAATTATAGGAGCGCCATGGAGACAATATTGTAAGTGGACCATCTCTTCTTTCTAGGCCTCTTCTGTGCAACCCGAAGAGACGAGATATCCCTGTCATATTCCTGTCATATTCCTGTTTGCTAGATGTGCTCGGCGCTAACAATGATAGCTCATGTGAATCTTTAAGGGCGCGAAGCGGGTTACATACCTACATAGGATGTTCGGTAGAGGCAGGTTCCGAGCTACGCCTTGTTTCTTACATCAATCCTCGTCGATCAAAGTTCGCTCATACAATTGAGGAGATCTAGGCAGCAGCAGGGTTGTCGATCGAGTCGCATGGGTTGAAGTGTTGGAATGTGGATGGGGAATTTTCTATTTTCAACCCCTCTAAAATTTCAGGGGACCCATGAAAAGGTACCTAACCTAGGTACCTATGAGTTAACATTCTCAGCCCTATAGGTATATATTCCCACTTACCGTTACACCACACTACCGTAACGGCGTAATCCCTCAGCCCCTCAGGCCCCCTCCAACCCCTCTTCGGCGCTTCTTGGGGTCTAGGCCTTCTTCACGGGGCCCAATAACAGGTACCTAGGTAGGGAAGTATTGTACCTGCCTACATTATGTACCTAACCTAAGGTACCGCCTACATAAATCATGTAGCTGCCATGTACCACCCCAAGTACCCAGAGCACTTTGTATAACTTTTCTATTTTTTCTATTTTCCGCGTATTCTGGGGAGGGAAAGGTGTAAGGGGTAAGGAGCTGACAGAGGCATACCGGATTTTGGGCTTTCATGATTCCCCACATCCGCATTTCTATTCTAGGTAACTATCCTTTTTACATTGTAATTATTATAATTTGTATTTTATTTTTAGGAAGGCGGCTTATTATTGTAAACTGTGGTCCTTACCAACTTATCTACCTGCCTAAGGTAAACAGGTGTACATGTGCACGATCCAAGTTGCGAGCATCGAATGTTGGCTGATGTTGTTATGGAACCACTGACGCTGTAATCGCGAGTTCAGAAAACAGGACTTTAGGTCGTCTTTTCTCTAGTTAGGTAGTATACCTATGTAAGTACGTTGAATGCCACATCGTACCCAAGAAGAGGATTGCTTACCCGGTCGAATCCTTCTTACCTAGGAGTTGGGGTGGTATCGATGTAAGTCTAATGTTCTCAGCTCCGCTAGGCTTGGTCATGTTGTGAATATGTTGCGTATATGAAAATGCTACCCCGTCCTCAACCATTTCCAAGTTTTGTTAGTTTAGAATGACTAGAATCTACTGTTTATCTTGGTACCCTAGATATCATTCGCCAGCTCTAGACCACCCGGGACAAGTATGGATCCGCTGAAGAAGGAAGCTATCCGCGACGAACGCTATGTCAAAGTAATCTGCATCGGAGCAGGTGCATCAGGCCTATGTTTGGCGTATAAGCTCCGAAGATCGTTTAGAACCTATGGCTTGACGGTTTGAAGCATCACCTTAACACCTGAAAAAGGCGGAGATTAGGATCTGACCACCCTTTTAGATATACGAGAAGAACCCGAGAGTAGGGGGTACCTGGTACGAGAATCGGTACCCAGGATGTGCCTGCGACGTCCCTTCGCACAACTATGTTTACTCATTTGAGCCAAAGGCCGACTTTTCTTCCGTTTACGCTGGTTCTGATGAGATTCGGGAGTACTTTGAGGAGTTTGCGGATAAGTACGACCTAAACAAGCATATCAAGCTATCTCACGCGGTCGAGGAAACTACGTGGATAGAAGATATAGGACAATGGAAGGTAGATGTCAGAAATTTGCAAACCGGAGAGGTTATTCACGACTATTGCCACATATTAGTCCACGCGTGTGGATATCTTAACAAGCCTTCATGGCCCAAACTGCCTGGAATCGACGATTATAGAGGCATCAAGGTTCATAGCGCGGACTATGACAGGAGTATCTCGCTCGAGGGGAAGAATGTGCTACTGATCGGTGCCGGCTCCTCGGCTGTTCAAATACTGCCAACCATTCAACCTATCGTCAAGAACGTCACTATCTTCATCAGGTCGCCCACGTGGTTGCTGCCGGACATCTCTACGGAGGCTGGCCAGTTTACCAAAGATGAGATTGACAAGTTCAAGAATGAGCCAGAGACAGTCTTGGCGTTAAGACAAGATAATGAAAGAACCATGAACAGTATCTTCAGTATGTGGTATTACCATAATCAACAATTTACGATACTAATCAGCGAGACAGGTCTTTATCTCAAAGGCACTGTATTGCAAGAACAGTGTGAAGCTTTGCTCAAAAGTGAGATGGAGAAGATATTCGACGATGAGGAATCTCGCAAGAAATTGATACCGAATTTCTCGGTTGGTTGCAAGCGAGTGATTCCATCAGGCTTTAAATATCTGAGAGTAAGTCTCCTACCACTGCCTAGGATGATACCCTGCTAATTTTCGTTTCTAAGGCTCTCAAAAAGGAGAATGTGACACCGGTATATAGTGGTGTTAAGTCTTTTACACCATCCGGTGTAATCAGTGACGAGGGCATCCGCTATGACGGCGATGTTATAATCTGCGCTACCGGTTTCGACACATCGTATATATCTCATTATCCTATCTATGGCCCAGAAGGGCGAAACTTGCAAACGGAGTGGGCTGAGTCCATCATGGGATACATGGGTGTTGGCGTGTCCGAGTTCCCAAACACGTTCACGTTACTGGGCCCTTATACGCCGGTTTCCAACGGCCCTACGCTCATTGCCATAGAAGCCCAAGCTGATTATATCTGTTCCTTCATCGATCGCTACCAAACAGAGCCGATCCATAGCATTACGGCCAAGGCAGCCGCTTGTGCTGATTTCAAAGCGCACGTAGCAAGCTTCATGGAGAAAGCTGTATGGACGGACAATTGCCGAAACTCGCACAACAATCATAAAGTAGGCGGTCGCGTGCCGACTACCTGGCCTGGGAGCACGCTACACTACCTTGAGGCGATTCGCGAGCCCCGGTGGGACGATTGGGATGTTAAGTATGTTGGGAATCGGTTTAGCTGGCTGGGCAATGGGGTTTCGCAGACGGAATGGGATCCCACAGCGGACTTGGGATACTACATTCGACAGAGCGATGATGGCGTGTGGAATAGTTGGTGGAAGCGGAACGCAGCGATTAATAAAAGCGGTAGTCTGCCGCCAAGAGTATTACATCGCCAGGCAAAATTGGCCGTTGCGGCACCGAGCGATAAGCCGGAGCCCGAAGAGGCGAAAACCATAATCCACGCGGCGGCTGAGAGTTCTTGACGAAAAGTAGTAATCTCTTAGAGTAGCAGCACCTATGGTAGTTACCTAACTACCTGGGTTGTAAGAGACTTTACCGTATTTCGAGTAGCGAGTTATTACGAGCAATTATTATATATACGCGCACTGATTTCCACTCACATTGAAGTTCCAAAAACATAAGAAAGAAAACAACTAAAAAAGATTTAATGTTTAGACTAAATTAAAAAAAAAAAAAAAAAAAAATAAAATAAAAAAAGTAATCCTCCGTTTACGAGTAGTAACCGTATTAAGAAAACTTCTTAATGTCTCTTGAAGGGAAAGTAACTAGGTACCTAGGTACCTAAGATAGAGAGTTCTAACATTTAGTTACTAAGGTGACTATTTGGTACCTATTAGCGAGTCTTATTAAAATTACCTTAGCTATAGATCTTGACTTGACCTGCAATAAGGAAACCTCACGAGTACAACATCAAGTTACCATAGGTAGGTATCGCAATCCGAATTACTACCGATAAATATCAGTTTTGCATAACACTTCGGCATCGTCAAAGTTTCGCTAGCACACTTTTGAATATGGAATCAAGGTGAAGAATTTACATATTGGGCTTCAACAGCTATATCAGGTCCCTTGGTAAATATTTAGGTCTACATGGTTCTGCTACGACGTAACGATGGACGAGATTCCACCTGCTATCATCACGCCTTTTCCTTTCCTAGTTTTTCAAGATATTGAGCGGCAACATCAACCACCGCACTCTCGAATGTCCTCAGTTTCCCACCCAGAAGCTTCTCTACATCGCTCGAGTCGTAATTAATCGGTATAGTCTGGATCTTGCCCTTTTTGAAGATGCCTTCCTCGACAGCCTTGGGGAATGCCCGAGCGACGTAATCGAATATGTTATCGTAGTTTACCTTTGCCGCGATACCAAAGTCTTTGGGTTCATCCGGCTTCGGGTCGAGGAACGCCACACGTAAGTGGGCGTCCGCGACGTCGTCAATATGCGCAAACCCGCCATGGACCGGGAACGGCGGTTCTCCGCCTTGCAGACCCAACATGAGGAAGTTGTTGGAACTGTTTTGCGTATGCATCATGTCGGCGTCGAGGACCAGCTCGTTGCGGCCGAAGACGTATCCGGGCACTACATGTGACACGGTAAAATGAGGATTTTGCGTCTCGACCAACTCGTCCGAATTGCGCAGCTCAACTATCTTACCCATCACGTACGCCTCAAAGACATTGCTAAACGTGCTGGGGATAGGGTTAGGCAATGGAACGCGCGTCGTAGCCGAGACGGTGGCGGGAGGCGGCACTGGCCCGAGGTTCGCGACGATAGATGAAGTGATGATAACTCGCTTCACGCTAGGTGCCTTGAGGGCGGAAGCCAGCAATCCTTTGGAGATATTTACTGTTGGCTGGTAAATCTGCGTGTTCGGATCATAAGTCGGGACCGGTACGGGCGAGCCGGCGTGAATGATATGGGTAATACCTTGCACGGCCGAATCAAAAGCTCCGTCGGCGGCGAGATCAGGTATGATAACTGGGGAGAGGCGTTCTCCGGGGGCTCTCTTCTGAACTGCAGGGTTTGAAGAGACTACCTTAGCCTTCTCTTCTGACCGTACCGTATAACGCACATTATGGCCGGCGTCGAGAGCAGCAAGAAGGATGCTGAAACCGATCAAGCCGGTAGATCCCGTGATAAGAATTGTCGCAGCCATGATGCTTTCTCGTCTTTTGGAGTATCCAGAAGGTAGATAAGGTTTATTGCGAAGGTTGTTCTTGAGGTCTCAGCTCGTTGTAATAATAATAATAATAATAATAAAGGCTTTCCTTATCAAGTTGATACTCCAATCGACGGTAAAGGGGGAATACGATGAAGAGAAGATAAGAAGCCGTCCAAAAAGGGGGGGAAGGGGGGAGGAAGCTAAAGCGGGAGCAAAAACGGGATCAAAGGCAGGAAAGAGAAAAAAAACATGTACTATAAAAAAACATGTAGTATACAAATCGTAGTTTAGGTAGTAATGTTAGATATTCGACATTCTGGTGTGCAATTGTATGTAACTAACACTTTTAGCAACTCCTTATTTAGGAAATATTGCGCGTACCTATAATCCTTTGCATCCCTCCACTGCAAGGGGATTCGGAAGCATCTCGCGGCGCCTCTATCGAAATACCGATCGAGGGGTTCCGGCATTAAGGATGATGAGGTGCTGAGCCGACTTTTAGCGATTACGGTACTTGCTTGTGGAGGATTTGGGGGCTTTTACGGATCCGTACCTGGGTCCTTTGGATGTGTACCTAACCTAAGGTATCTGACAAAAAAAGGTACCTATCTACATGTACATTTGGTACGTATTCTCGTACTGGGTGGGTGCCTCATGTACAAGCTCGATTTTAGTGTAAACCCCTCCATTACTTTACCTAATACTCAATTCAAGCGCCATACCTTACACTAACCAGACTCCACACACTGTTCTGATTGGCTGAGCATTTTGTTAACCCTTGAAGTGACCTTGAGTACCTAGGTAAGGTACCTTCTATCTCGTAGATACATAGTATAATGCTAGGTTCCTCGGTCGATATACGATATAACCAATTAAAATCATTTCTATCTCCCTTTCTAACAAACCTGAACCTTGCTACTATGGAACGAGATGGATGGCGGGAATTTTATTACATTTATCGTAAGATCGCATCTGCACCTCTCGTATCTTATTAGACGTACAATACAGGTACCTAAGGTACCTAGGTAAGCAGCTAAGGTTAGGTAGTATACGCCCTACATTACGCAGTGTGGTTCCACACCTTCAACACCTAATTTTAGCGATTTAAACCATCCCTTTTCCTCCACCAACACCTCCTATACCTCCTACTACATACCACCTACCACCTCCCACCTCCACATCCCGCCCTAGAGAAGCACTGCAACACAAGCCATGCGGCAACAAGTAGTATTATTACTCTGGAAGGATTCACTATCATATATGTGCGTAGTGGCATTAGAGGAGTCTGCTCGACTAGCATGATCGTATCGGAAGGATTACTTTTCAACGTTACACATCATATCATCTAATGCAAAATGGAAGCTGAAGGATGCCTTGGAACTCTTGGATGGTTCGTCTTGAATATGATTCGGTCCTTCCAATCGTTTTAAAGTGCCTTTATAGGTATGCTTTCACATAGCTTGCACGATCATGATTCGACATCGCTCCTAGGGCTTATCCCGCCCCCTTTTTATTAGACCTACGTGCAGTAGTGTATCTATTAACCAAAGGCGCCAACCTGCTAAGAAAAGTCCTATTGGCAAGCTTATTAATTATTGTTACTCGCCGTAAGCCACCTATCCAGTTATTCAGTATTCAGTATTCAGTGTACGACTGTTAGTCGAAAAACACCGAGAATCTTACACAAGCCCCAACACAATACGTCTGCTGTCACCAACAATTCCAAAGGCGCAGTTGGAAGCTTTCTAGAACTTAGCTTCTATAGAACATGGCAGCTGTACCACCATCTCCAGATCAGTTTCCACCTGGATACCTTGAAGAGGATCATGGTGGCCGAGTGATTGCTGCAGTTACCACTATTCTAGTTGTAACCACCGTTCTGTTCGCTCTGCGACTATGGGCAAGAAGCTTAACGACAGCGAAGCGAGGATGGGACGATCATGTATTGATTCCGTCTTATATATTCCTGCTTGCACTACTGGGAAGCCTGTACGGTAAGTGCTGCGAAACTTCCGTGCTCCTTGGAAGAATTCATCTTCGCTTCGCGCCTCTCTGCTCTCTCATACTGATATCCATCTTTATTACAGCCGAGGTCGCTCAGGCTGGATTAGGTAGACACACCGTTGCAGTTGTTATGGAAGACCCCAATAAAGTGACCAAATATCTGCTGCTACTGTATCTTTTGGACTGGTTTTACGTCCCGTCCAATATGCTATCTCGAATCTCGGTAGTTATTCTGTACCTGCGCATCTTTACCGATAAGTGGGCACGAGCTGCCTGCTGGGCCGTCATGGGATTTCTGATAGCGAATTGCGTCGCTACTGTCATCGCCGCTCAGCTAGAATGTACTCCGCTCGCCTACACCTGGGACAAGAGCATCGAGGGCGGAACATGCTTCAACCAGATACTATGGTATCAGGTTACCAACTTCCCCAACATTATAGGCGACATTATGATCATGGTCCTACCTATCAGAACAGTCTGGGGACTGAAAGCGTCCGTTGGGAGAAAGGCTGGAATTGCAGCAGTCTGTCTGCTGGGTAGTATGTAAGTTACGGCACCTTCTCTCCCACGCCTTGGCGTTGTGCTTACGTCTCCTCCAGCGGCATGATAGCTTCATGTGTGCGTACCAGCGTCTTCTACATACAAGGGGATGTTATTCGAAACGACCCAACGTGTAAGGAAATCTCCTATTAGTTCCCAATACCACCAGCTAACTTCCTCTCAGTTGCCGACGAGGCATTTTCATGGACGGCAATCGAATGCGGCATGTACTTCTCGGCTGCCTGTCTGATAGGGCTACGACCACTTCTCTCCCGCCTGCCACACTTTGTCAAATCGCGCGTCCTGAACGCCTCTGACAATGCCGGAGGAACATACGCGCATCAAACGGATAAACTACGCTTGGGCAGACATCACCACAGCCACTACTCTAGCATTATCGGCGACGACGAGACGGCCCTACGGAGTCGGAGCGAGATCCCGCTTCGGCCTACGATACCGGCTGCGCACTTCAGCCATGATCCCTTCGCTAAAGATCTGAGTAGCAGCGAAATACGCGTAGAGACGAATATCGAGATCAGGAGGGATTTCGACCGATCCTACCCTTGATATGATTGATTGGTATGATTTTGGTATGGTATTCTGTATTGTTAGTAGTTTTAGCGGCTTGATATTATTACGTCTCAGTGTATGAATAAAATTAAATGTACATGATTTAAAGGATATGTATTTCGATAATAAATCGAAGTGAACTCTGTAATTTAGTTCCGAGGAAGAAAAGGGGGGTGGGGGTGCTGCCAGCCTCGTGCCTCTCAACACCCCATACAACCTAAGGTACTTGATATAACCATATCGACATTAAAAAATATAAATAATAAAAGAGGCATTGCCATGAATAAGAGTAAGGCTACTAAAAGCGTATAATGAATTTCCAACAAGCACTTGGAATCCCTTGTTATTGGTCTTCAGTTAGGCACTTACAGATAGGTACCTACCTATAGTTACATTTCCAGGTAACTACATTCCTTAACCAACACGAACAGATGGATGTGAAGTCAATCTTGTCTCGGCAGTATAATCATTCGCAGTTTGAAGAATAGAAACTTGTGGCTGGGCTTTCATTTTTCGTTCAGAACAAGAAGACTTGAAAATATCCATTTCCCATAAGGCACCTAAGGGGGGGAATGGCAACTGTATGAATTTTGACTTAGGCGAGAATCCTGACGTTACCTTTAGGATATAGAAGCCTTTGCAAGAATAGCACATACTTACAAACCCAAACCAACTTTCCTGTCGCAGTTCCAATCAGTCATTTGCCGCGGGTCTCCAAGACCTCAAGTGGATAATTGGTGAGGTCTGCTCTTCTGTATCGTGGCAGTATCTGTGGAATATGATACAACTATTAAAATGAGTTCATACTTCATTTATCTACCTTAGGTAGTTATTATAATATCGCGAAAGTGAAAATGCTTCCTAATCTTAGGTGCATTCGTAGTGGAATAACGTCCGCGGCCCAGCCCCTACCACTGCTTCACGAGGATACCAGGTACCTAAGCTTTTTTCTACAGCTGTCTTGTCTCGGTTCTTTTAAAGAAGAAACCGTGAGAGTGTAACTAAATAGAAATTGTACGGAAGTAGGCAGGGTACGATGATATTAATATGTGGTTCTTCCTGTCGTTACTTAACATAACCATAAGAAGCAGCACATAATTAGGAAGGTATGTACATGGAGATACTTATATTTTGGTTTGCCGCTTACCATCTCACTCACTCTTTGTGTCGCTGATCCTTTACGCCCTACAGTTTCGATGTCTCTTATCCAGAGCGTAGCGCTGCTTCTCTACTCTTTACATATCAAATATTGTACACATCCAGTCCGATATACGAGCATATAAATGGTGTCACGTAAAGTGAAAGGAGATCTTAAAGGTAATATAACGGTTGATTAAGAAGGAAAAGAGATCTAGGCTAGTAGTCTACGGGAGATCGTTTTATATATAGCTCAGCTGATTAGTCATAGTGGGGATCTCTACGAGATCGCTACATACTGCGATAAATGGCAAGTAGAGCTGTAGTAACAATTCATAAAGAGGAAGCTTAACCTTTCACGATATCTTTCTTTGTGGCAAGTACTCATATCCTGATCTTGTTACACTCGTGTCAGTGTATCTTGTGGAATGCCAATGATGGTGTCCCAGCAAATATTGATTTAACTAAAATGTCCCTTCTAAAGGCTGTTATGCGTCCATTTAGAGCCATATTAATCTCATGCTTACCTTATATCATGAGTTAGGATAGAATTGTCTTTTTTTTCGATAATACCAATATTGTAACTAGCTACGAGATGAACCGACCGTCTACCTCGAAATTCACACTAAAACCCGCCATTTTGCTACTTTGTCACTCTGCAATAACTTTGCGAATAGAATCCAAATAATTACGAAACTAGTCTCACTTTAAAGAGACTTGATTTGACTTAAGATTGGTACCTATTTATATAGAAAGTTTCTTTATGGCCAATATTTAAAGGGTTATCGCAGTTCAAGGTTGGTGTTAGTTGGCTTTTAAAAATGTTGATTTGTATGGGGAACCCCTCAAAAGTCAACCAACGTCAACTTTGAACTACGATAATCTTTCTAATATCAGCTATGAAAAAAGGACGTCTATACAAAAGACTAACTTAAATCAAATCTTTATTATAATAAATTGAAAGCAAAATTCTAAATAGTTCATTGGTGAAAATATGACAGAGTGACAAGGCTATGCTTTGGTGTAAAATGGGGGTGGTCCGGATAAATTGGAACCATAACCGTCCGCTTAAGTCGTGCTCGCGGTCTATGAATAAACGTACCTTGTAACAACTATGCCCGGCCCGACACAGCTTATTCTGGCGATATAATCAGACTATCTTTCTCTCAAGGAGCGGGTTGTCTTTAGAGTGATAATGGGCAAAGTCTCACCTTAGGTCAGGTATCTAGGTACCTAGGTACCTAAAGTTAGGTCGGTGTAGGTACCCAGCAATAAATACCACTACTACCGTTGCTACCGCATAACTTATAAGAGATAAAAACCATGGCGATAGTAGAGGAAAATCTCTTGGATTAAGTTACAATATATCTGCTTATTGGTGGAAGTATATTATCACGAAATCTGGAGCCGCTCCCATGTTTACGTTCCGCATGCCCTGCTTCTTTTCGCTTAACGCCTGAATGAAGGTAGCAATGCAGCTGTATCAAGAAACGCGCAGGCAACATGCCCCATCTAATTCTAAATTCGTTACTTAATCTGGTTAACTTCGTATCTAGGTCCAAGATGTATCTATATAGGCTGATAGCCGCTTAGGGTATAAAGGAGATCTGCGCCGTTTACTTTTATTTCTATCAGCACAATGGCTTCTTATTTCGGAAAGCTGGTACTCTTATTCGCTGCGATCCAAAACGCGATCGCAGTGGTGACTTTTACAATCCCCAAGCAGGCACATACAGGCGGGTTCAGATATGCACCCCTTGACCCTGCGCCAGTTGGGATATCGTAAGTTACGGCGAGATAGGATGTTAGAACAGTCATATACTTACAAAACCCACTATTAGTTTCGAGTTCTTTGCCTTCCCGGCTTATTTTACCAATGTGAGCGCCACGAATCAGTGCCTATCCAATTGGAAGGACTTGACGGGGGTTTGGCCGCCAATACGCATCGGGGGCACCACACAAGACCGAGCCCAATATGACTCTAAAATTTCAGCATATGTTGTATATAGTGTTTCTAATCCGGCCGACGCACCTGCAAGTTTGACATTTGGCTCGAGCTTCTTGACTCTTGCGGGATCATACGCGGGGAGCGTGGTGGTCGGGTTGAACAGGGGTAAAAATAATATTCAAAACACAATTGATGCAGCAAAGATTGCCGTATCCGAGGTTAAGAACTTGCTTGCCATCGAATTAGGAAACGAGCCGGAGTGTATGTTCATTTTCATATTACTGTCTTCTAAAAGTTAACCCCTTCATAGACTACTCGAGAAATGGACAACCTATTGCTTCTGGAGGCTGGAATCCCGCCATAGATGCCGCTTCACAAAACAATTGGGCATTGTCAGTTGGGTCTGCCGTCCGAAAGTCACCGATCATTCAAGCTGGAAACTCCAATGATTCACCACCAACCTGGGGTGCAGCCGAATTGATTGCAACAGAGAACGCAACGGTCAAGAGTTACGTCAAAACCTACGCCCATCACAATTATCCGGGTGGGAGTGTAACCTCACTTATGAGCCATAAGAGCATCTCTAGCAATCTTCATGTCTTCGATGCCGACGTAGCAGCCGCGTTGAAGGAAGGCAAACCATATGTCTTTGGCGAGACCAACTCAGGTAAACAATTTTAATCACCAATAGTACTTATTTTACATGATACTAATCATGATTCGCATAGTGTCCGGAGGAGGGGCTGCTGGGGTATCTCCTACCTTTGGAGCGGCGTTATGGACTATGGACTATGTTCTCCGTGCTAGTTACAGCAACATATCTAGGACATATTTCCATCATGGAACTGTCGGCAATTGTCAATACTGCTTTTGGGGTAGATATAGTATGGGCGCGCCTTATTATGGTGCTTACGCTGCGACCGCATTATTGGCAAAGGCTTCTTATCTCACGGCTCTCGATGACGGAACCAGCAATTATGCAGCATATGTTTCGTTTAGCTCTGATGGCACACCTTTGCGAGCGATTTTATATAACTCTGACTACTTCAGCGGAAGCGGGAGCCGTTCCAGTCAGTCGTTCGACATTCGCGGGTTATCCGGAAACTCCCTCAAAGTCAAAAGGTTGACGGCGGAGAGTGCGATGTCGAGAGTTGATCAAGGGGGTAAGGTAACTTTCGGAGGCCAAACGTTTACCGATGGTAGCTGTGCGATGACAGGAACTGAGAGTATCGAGTCTGTGGCGGTTTCTAATGGCCAAGCAACTATCACAGTCAAAGCCAGCGAAGCTGTGTTGATCTATTTACAATAATGGAGGATAGATCTTCAATACTACGATGGCATGCGTTGAGCCTGCCTTGCTGTTGGTGTTATCACCAAAACTTTTGCCACGTAAAAAAGTTGATGTATGGGAGAATCAGAACTTCGAACTGAACAAATCCTCCAAAGGTCGCATTTCATATCAAAATGGCTAGAATTTTTATTCAAGCCTGTAAACCATAAATAGAGCCTCAAATGAGATGCGACTTTGAAAAATGGCTTACAACTTATTATAAAGTAGTCCCCAAGCACGAACTACCAAGGCATCTCACCCTTGGAAGTTGACTAACACTCTCGAAAAGACCGATAGCAAAATTGAATAAACATAACGAGCTCACCCGGGAGCTTTCAGTCTATGGATAATCGTTATTTACACATGTGGGATTATTTCCTTCTCAAGCAATGTACATTATTCATTGGTCGTCCTATGTTCCAAACCACGGCGAGGCCGCGCATCGAGATGAGCAGAGTAGGCTCACATTAACTTCTGCTCCCGAAAATAGACCCCACTCATCTGCGACGGCGCATGATTGATCGTCGCTGGTTGTTGTTCTTGTTGGCGTTGCCGCCAAACCCGCCGAACCCGCCGAAGCCATTTCCAAATCCGCGGTTGTTACCGGCGGCGGCGTTGTTGTTGTTGTTGGCATTTCCGTTCTGGTTGTTGCCGTTGCCATTCCGGTTGTTACCGTTACCCTTGTTGGAGTTACCCGTATTCGCGTTGCCGTTGTTGCCTTTGTTGCCTTTGTTACCAGTGTTACCAGCATTACCGTTGCCGGCTTGGTTTTTTGCAAGTCCGTCCGTTGCCGGGTCCGCCGCCTGGATTCCGTCTATGATAGCAGTACCGATCTCCGCATCGCTTTTTCCGGATTCCGAGAGAGCCTTGACAGCCGCTGGGAGATCAGCAACGTTTTGTTGGATCTGATCGTTGATATTCTTCAACGACTGGAATGCCTGGATGTTCTGCGGTGTGTTTTTAGCAGGCGTAGTATCAGTCTGCTGAACTGCGAAACACCCGCCGAACTCGTTGGCATTACGGCACCGTATAGTGCAAACGTTGCCAGTTGATGCTAATAGAAGACTTGTCAATGATACGGTTAATTACTCTGGGCTTAAGTTAGGTAAACTTACATCCGATACATGCCAAGTCTTTCGGCATCGTCACTTGAAGGGTTATTAGTCCATTTTTGTTGGCCTTGCTTTCGGTGGTGGTGACGTTGATCTGGCCCGTGGCACCAGCAGTGTTGCCTGTCAGGTCCATGTCACAGGTATATGGACCTGCACCGGCTGTACTATCTTGGCGGATAAAGACATCGACTTTACTGCCCTTTGTCACCTTGGTGACCTTGTTTGCTGCCAGAGCATCCTCGGTAGTGGCGCCCACGTCGATATTTCCGGCTTTCAAAGTCCTTCCGCACTGGTTCACAACATTCGTCACAATCTCGGTTTGCGATATGACGTTGGCGTCGGACTTGTCATTGGTGTTAACTAAATAAGTGTTAGTGAACACACGCCCAACAATGTATAATTATGACTAGATCATACCTTGCAGGCCGAAACTCGCGGGTGATCCTTTGGCTCCCTGTGCTTTGACGATAACACCTTGGCCGTGAGCCACTGCCAGAATGGCCGAAGCAGTAAGGATCTGTTTAAGGGAAAACATGGTGTTCGCAGAACTGGAAGACGAAGAATAAGAATAATAAGAATAATACTAAATTGAATGAGTGAATAGAACGTCGTAAGAAAATAATTACCCAAAGAATCGAAACAGGCCGGCTGATCACACGAAGATGAACGGAAGATGAACGGAAAAGTCGTAGATCAGAACAAGAGAGTCGCGTTTTTCAGCGCCGCCTCGTCTTATACAGGATCTATACCTAGCAGCACCTAGCAGCACATCATCTAGCAGCGTCTAGACAGGAGGTCGTTCCACTGCCGTTGCGTGTGGGTGGGGGAGGGTTACCCCTGAACCCGGCCCCTTGCCCGACCCCTTGAAACGTTCCGTACTGCCTGTAGTCGGGTGGAATTACCTTGAACGCGACCCATCGAAACTAAAACGACGGCTTCTAACGGGGCTTCTGATGAAGTGCTTTGTCCTCCGGAGTTTGAGGAAACCGAAATATAAAACCCCTTAAGTCTGAAAGCTTCAACCATCTGTTGAGTCTTTCTTGAGTCCTAATTCGCCGCATCTCGAACACTTAAGTGGGGAGATCGAACTGCGCCAACTTCTCCCCCACATATTCGGAGATAAATGTTCATCGTTTAATGAGAAAAAAAAAAAAAATAACTATTTAGGCAGTATGGCCCGGACTACTAGTAAAACATTGTGACATATTGAATTCATGGGACGAGATCTATATCGTAGATTCGTTTTGCTTCCAAGTTTCTTCTTTTCGTTCTTGTTTCGTACTACGTAAATGCATATCATTCATCGCCGTCGTCTCATCTCGCTCGTAGTCAACAGTTTACGGTTCATCTGTCCGTGCACCAATGAGCGGGGCAGTACCTAGAAGATTATCGAGAATTTACACTATTAACTATGCCTAATCGACGAAAGCTGTTATATAGGTACCCTTAATCATATGTGTGGAAGCTATGCACTATGCTTGTGTATAATGGACTGTACAATCGACGACGCGTGTTTTCTGGCTCCGATTCCTTGTATTTTAAAGGGGCGTTTCTGCGCTGTGACTCTACATAGTAGCGAAAGACTTACCACGCCTTCGTCATTTTCGTCCGCTTTGCTTCAGATGCAACGGTGTAAACTTGAACCAAGCCATTCGGCTGCCAAAATTTAACATCATAGTTGCCGTACGCGCTAAGACTGAACTAAAAGTCAATCGGATGAATAAAAGAAGACAGTTAAGATAAATTAACATCCAAACGAAGTAGAAACACATACTGAGATGAGATGTACCTTAATGAGAAAACTCTCTGAAGTTACATGGGTTTAGAATTACATAGTGCATTAAAATGCCTGCGCAAGCCCACTAGACGAACAAACCCATTGTTGACAAGGTCGCGGTGTTGGGAAATAATCGAAGAATTATTCAAATAAACAACGTGCTCTTCCCAAAGATCGGATTATAGTTTCAAAGAGTCCACTACAATAGCTGAAGTTCATTAACGCTCTTATTATGGCCAGTGGTCATACCTCGTCCTTGTGAGGCATATTCGCATTTCACCAAGCAAGAAGTATATTAGGAAAGTTTTTGGCATCATGGGTTTTGAAAATATTATCTTCATCTTTCGGTACTTGCTAATATGATTTATTTTATTTTATTCTTCTTATAATTACCTACCTAGACCTACCTCGGTACAGTTTCATGTTTCTCATCGTAAGCCAGGGGTAATGCCAACTTTTTTCTTTCCCTCCTACTGTAAGTCCTCAAGGTATTAGCGGCAAATTCGGTTGAACATCAGGCCTAATCCCATTCACGAAACGAGATTTGTTATGTTTCGCTTTTTCAATATGTTCGTATTCACAATTTAGCATTCTAACCCTGTATTAACCCATTGTTATTATGTTTACTAGGTTAATGCCATTTGAGCTTTCTAGACCTTTTACCAGTATTTTCATTAGCATCAGCGTGCTCGTTCGAAACACCAGTAGGGTTCCCCCGAGTTTAGGATCCATGTTGAACTATGCTGTCTTGGCCGATTCGTCATCTTAACGTAGGGTGGAACAAGGCGAGGGTAAATATACCAGAAAGGTTTAAGAATGTGAGGCCATCTCATGACAGGTCTGCTCTAGATCTTTCGTTTTCAATAGGTACCTAGGTAGGTAGGTACGTTCACAGCGAGGATCGACACAACTCGAATCAAGGCGGGTTGAGTATCGACAAGGATCCATTCCCGCAGATGTGCAAAGTGTCAGACGGCTTGGTGTCGCATCTAATACCCTCACCACGGATTCTTCCGAAGATGCATCTTTGATGCCCGAAACCCGTTCCGGTACGCAACCGTCATATCCTTGTAGGGTACCGGTGATTTGTAAGTCGAGTGCAAGTTAGATCCATGACAAAAGCCACATGAGAGCCAGCAGAAGAATGTGCGGGGATTCACTGCCCCGCCGCGAACGGAGAAATCATTAGCGCATTATTTGCTGATGATCCGGGCCTCAGTCCGGAGACTTCATCATCGAGAACCAGCCTCTCAAATATTTGGGTGTGTTGTTCGCGCCTTAGACAACGTGCCTTAAGCCAAGAGAGGAAAGTGTAGAGGGCGATGTGCAAGTTCATGAAGCTATCCATTTCTTTCCCCGCATATCTCCTCATCGGACTGCCCGGGGCGATTCCACAGCCAAGATAAAATAGCGTAAAATAGCGCTATGCGGAGTAGCTTGGGAGAACCAATTCGGAGTAAATACCAACGATCACCGAGCCTCCACATCCGTGGCATCGTTCACGATACTCTTTCAAGATTTAAAGTGGGCGTCAAGTATACTAGTATGATGACTATCTAGCTGCACCTACGAGAGTCCATGGCACTATACCCGTTCTGAAGGCTTCATTTGTCAATTCAATAACACATTGTTACCTATTTACGTCAGGTGTATTGGACGCCGAGCTGAAGCGGCCCGACAAGGATGAAAATCTTTGGCTGCAGGTGACGTATCTACCGGCACCGAAGCTCGAAATTAGGATGGATTATTCCTTCTGAAGGATCTAAGAGATAAATAATAAATACCTTCATGTGCGTAGCAGAGCGGGATTTTTAACCCGATACGTTTAATCCCCCTAATTTCTTCTGTAAGGAGCTACGCAGAATGAGAATTCAAACCCTGTTGGCCACGAACGTGGTAGGGTCGCTGTTCCCATTTCTTGCGTTATGTCAAGGCAGCGCGAGTTGTAAGTGCTGCGCCAATGCTATTCGAAATGAGAAATTGCCATAGCTCATCAACTAAATAGGGATTTCTGTGGGCGACGACGGTCGTTCATTTTCCCTGTCGTCCTCCAATATCTCGTATCAATTCCATGTTGATCCTTTAACCCTCGATTTGATACACGATCATTGGGGGGCCTATGCAGCCGAGACGGTCCCTGACTTCACCGGTGTAGTATCCGGATGGGGCTCTCAATATACATACCGCCGCCGCGAGTTTCCCGATCTTGGCCGGGGCGACTTCCGTGTTCCGGCCATCCATATTCAACACTCCGACGGGAACACCGTATCGGCATTCTCGTACACGGGATATGAAATTAGCCCGGGAAAACCGTCTCTCCCCGGCTTACCGGCTACCTATGGCAACGAAGGCGACGTATCAACGCTCATTGTACACCTATACGACAACTATTCCGATATTTCTGCGGACCTGTACTATTCCATCTTTCCTAGGTATAATGCTGTTGCTCGAAGCTTCAGGATTACGAATAATGGAACCCGAGATGTGACAGTACTTCGGGCTAGTAGCTGGAGCATAGATATGCCGAACGAGGATTTAGAAATGATTGATCTCTATGGAGATTGGGCGGCAGAGGCTCGCATTAATAGGCGGCCAGTTGCATACGGGGAGCAAGGGTAGGTTAGGTTTCTTTCGTCGTTTACAATCCCGTTTGCATCTAGCAACCTTGAGAGTCTTATTACCCAAACCCGATAGTTGAAGCACATCTAACAGTTCTTCCAGCTTCCGCTCATCCGCAGGCTATTCGTCCCACTTCCATAATCCCTTCATTGCTTTGGCTTCCCCAAGTACCACAGAGTCTCTCGGACCAGCCACGGGCTATTCGTTGGTGTATACAGGCTCATTTTCTGCCGACGTCGAACGTTGGTCGACAGGGTGGGTTAGAGTACTACTTGGCCTAAACCCTCTACACCTCTCGTGGCCTTTAGCACCAGGAGAAGTATTTACTTCCCCAGAGGTGGTATCTGTATATTCAGAGAAAGGCTTGGGAGGTATGTCCCGATCTTTTCATTCACTTTTTAGGAACCATTTGTCGCGGTCAAATTACACATTCGCAACTCGCCCACCATTATTGAACTCCTGGGAAGGGCTAGGCTTTGATTTTAACCAGTCTTCCATGGTCAAATTGGCCGAAGATGCTGCAGGACTTGGGTGTAGCCTGTTTGTCAACGACGATGGGTGGTTCGGTACCGATTATCCCCGAAACAATGATTCTCTCGGCTTAGGTGACTGGACTCCCAACCCAGCTAAATTCCCGGATGGTCTTGGACCCTACGTTGAGCAAGTGGATAACATTACTGTACGAAACACCTCCGATCACGTAAAGTTCGGTCTATGGGTCGAGCCAGAAATGGTGAATCCCGATTCTGATCTGTATAGACGGCATCCCGAATGGTGCATGCACGCTGGAAGTCATAACCGTACGCTCCAAAGAAACCAACTCGTGCTGAATCTTGGCCTTGAAGAAGTTCAGGACTACATCATTACCACCATCGAAAAGATACTCGACTCCGCTTCCATTGAATATATCAAGTGGGATAACAATCGTGGTATTCATGAGATGTCGTCTCCTTCAGCGAACCACGCTTATATGCTGGGGTTATATCGGGTTATTGACAATCTCACGACCGCACACCCGGAGATCTTGTGGGAGGGATGCGCATCAGGGGGAGGCAGATTCGACGCAGGCCTACTTCACTACTGGCCACAGAGCTGGACTAGCGATGATACGGATGGTCTAGAACGGCTCCATATCCAGTTTGGTACATCTTATCCCTATCCGCCCTCGGCGATGGGTTGCCACGTCAGCGCCGTCCCAAATTACCAAACCGGCCGTACCACTCCTCTAGCTTTCCGAGCAGCTGTGGCCTCGATGTGCGGGTCATTCGGTTTCGAATTAGATCCTTCCGAGCTCACCCAGGAAGAGCGGGATGCGATTCCCGTATTGATATCTACGCAGCAGAAGATTAACCCCATTGTGATTAATGGTGACTTTTACCGCTTGGCACTGCCAGACCAGTCGAATTGGCCCGCAGCTATGTTCGTCTCTCCTGGGCACGACTCCGCTGTCCTATTTGCTTTCCAGATCCGCTCTGCCCTGAAGCCGGTACCACCGCCGTTAAAACTGCAAGGTCTAGACCCGAATGCAAAATATAAAGTGAGCAATGGAACCTGGGAGCAGAATTGGTCAGGTTCGACATTGATGAATACCGGTCTTAGTTTGAGGTGGCCCAACTCCGACTACGAAAGCATTATCTTGACATTTGATAGACTTTAGGTAATTCGGAACGCATTTATCTATGGTAGAGAAAGACCTTTACTGTGCTTGTTGCTGGAGCGCTTATTATATAGCTTGAATGAGTGTATTAACTCGAGAAGCACTAATATAATAGACGAGGTAACATCTTTGTGTCGCACCATTTGGTTCTTAGTGACTGCTAAAGGACTATGGGGGAATCATACCACTGAGTCTTCTTGATCCTAGAGTGTCTTCCAATCAAATACCCTCTCCCACGCAGCCGCTACTTTCAGACAATCGACATCTGCATACTTGCGACCTACTATCTGAATGGCTGTAGGCAGCTTTACAGTTGGATCTTCCCGAGCAGGAACAAAACCAACAGGCAGCGACAGAGCAGGATGTCCCGAATCTTTTCAGCGTTATCTGTTAGTGTTCTTTTTTCTTCTTCTTTTTTTCTAGATAGAGAGAGAGAAGAATCTTTTGACATACTATTAAAGGGGCAAGTATTTGCTATCATTCCAGTTGTCCTATTGAGGTAGTTCAACGGGCCTTCGTTTGACCCGGGCTCTGGCAAACGCGGTGGCGGGTAAGGCAGAGTTGGCATAACTAAGACGTCGAACTCTTTGAGGGCTTTGTCGTAGGCATCCTGTATAACTTATAAGCGCACTTGTACTAAAATAATACTTGATCGAGGTACCCTACGCTGGTAGCTTTTAGGAGATTCGTAGCTTTCCCCTGCACCTTTGCACCATACTTCTCTTGCATCCATAAATACCCGACATACAGATTGGACGCGCCAGGCCCTAGCGCATCAAACTGGGCTTGGGATAGCTTTGATCCTACTAGTTCGGCACGGTCCGTAAGATACAGCTGCTTTCTCCCATCCGTATCGCCAAGGAGGGATTGGCGACCCCTTGACAAAGGTGACGCACAGTTCCACAGCCGATGAGCTTCTTTATGCAATGGCACCGAAACAGAAGCAACATCCGCTCCAAGCGATTTGAACTTTTCGACGGCAGACCTGACGGACGCCACAACATTCGAATCCTGGCCGGGGACCTCGAAACCCTCATCCAATACACCGATCTTGAAGCCTGCAAGCATCTTCTCTGGCTCTTTTTCAAGTACAAGGTCCACAGGGGCCACAAACTTCAATCTATCTCCTTCGAGGCCGAATGGTGGCTGGCGATCATCCCATCCGTCTGGCCCTGCAATTGCCTCGAGAAATAGAGCGCAATCTCTCACACTTTTGGTCATCGGGCCTACGTGATCAACGGTCGCATCCAGACTCAGGATGCCTGTATAAGGTACCAAGCCCCAAGTCGGCTTGAGCCCAACAATCCCGCAAGATGAAGCGGGGATACGGATACTTCCAGCTTGGTCACAACCAAAGGCGAGGTCAACCGATCCGGTTGCGACGAGTCTTCCAGAGCCGCTACTCGATCCGCCAGCACTGTAACCCTTCTGGTATGGATTATGAACCTGCCCTGTGATGGCTGTTGCGGACATTCCTTCATGACACGAGTTTTCGCATGCTATATTGGTAGGTCAGGTTACCTTCATTAATCATTGATGCAATACCTATACGAAGACTTAGCTACTGTAGATGAAGAAAACCTACCCGCTTTACCAATAATGGTGGCTCCGGCATCTAGGACTCTTGTAACAACTGTCGCGTCAATAGTAGGAGTCCAATCCACCATTGACGTCCCGTTCGTACACCGAACCCCTGCGAATGCCATGTTATCCTTAAGCGCTATAGTGCGGCCCTTCAATAGATCGCTGATAGGGTTAACGCATTTAGCAGTAACCTGTTGCTTCTATTAGAACTTTCGCACGGTCGATTGCGTTGATCATGCCTTAGTTGCCCATCCCCCTAGCTCATTGTCCTCAGGGACATGTATGTCCGTGCGTGGGTAATTCAGGAGGTCAGGGTAAGGCAATATACTCTTGTCGTCCGGGAGAGATGTGATGGCATCATCCAGCAAAGAGACCAATGTTCTGTAATCTTCTACGAGGGAGCTAGATAACTCTAGTCCTGCCCCGGTAAGAACTGATCGTAGCTCATCTTCCGTAACTTTCCTATTAGGTGTTCCTGGTTGTACTGTTGGCATTCTAGCTTTGCAATAGGGGGCCCAAAGAGTTTTCTTCCGGAGAATGTTTAGGAATATATCATTTCTTCTTGGGTATCAAGCAGGATACAAGAAGTAGGATAAATCATGAACAATCTATTTAGCTGATATATTAAATATTCGAGACGACCTTATCTCCTGGCTCTGACACCCACGTCATAAATGCAGGCGGGGTACAATGCGCATTCCGGGGTAGGTTACTTTTACTCGTGGAGATCGAACAAATCAGAGTTAGCTAGTAACAGTGGTTTTCTAATAGGTGTGGTGTTGTACTACAGCGAGGGCAATTAATATTACGGGTTGACTACCTACCTAATCTATCCCGAGACGAGAATCATTAGATAGGCTTTTGGGCTGTTCGATTCTTCGCTTTACACGGCCCATGTCATATAGAGTTGGTGAACTTAGGACGTCTAGAAAAAGTATGAATATGAACTCTGGTAAGATTCATAAGGTGAGAGTAAGAGGTTAGTATACCAACATATAGGAGACTATGAGATCGCGTTGATTCAATAGACCTAAAAAAAAAAAAAAAAAAAAAAAAAACTCTTGTTAAATTCATCGCCTTGGTATCCGATGCTGGTAGCAGGAATCGCGCCACCAGGGTGAGGCTGTGAAATTCCTTTTAATTTGGTGTTGTAGGTAAGAATGAGGGGTTACCAGAACGATGACACCCTCTAAGCCTCTAAGCAACAGCCGTTCATGTACGCTAACAAGGCTGTGCGAGAAGTTGAAAAGAGTTGAAGGAACTTTATATTTATTTATTTATATTTCTTTTCTTATTCTTATTCTTTATCTTTTTTTTTCCTTCATCGGTTTCAGATTTCATTCGTGTCAACATTTGTAAATTTTGGAATGGAGAAGCCTGCTAATGTTCGTATTTATGAGGCACTTCCTGCAGATGGTTCTCAGATTCGGCTAGTAACAATTCATCCGGGGGATACAACCGACAGTGTTGAATGCACCGTGGAAAACTTCCCTTTCGTCGAAACTAGAGGCAGTTACAGCTACGAAGCGCTCTCATATGTATGGGGTGACGCCACTAGCTCAACTTCTATCTCCCTGAACGGAGCAAGTTTCCAAGTAACAAGGAATCTCGAGAATGCAATACGTGCCTTACGACTCCAAGACCGAAAAAGGATTGTTTGGATAGATGCATTATGTATCAATCAAACCAATATCCAAGAGCGAAACCAAGAGGTCCGTCGCATGGGCAAGATATACAGCCAGGCCGAGCACGTTGTCGTATGGCTAGGTCCGGATACTACTATCCAAGGCGAATGTGTCGCTGGTAAGACGATCGACTTCCTGAACTTACTGGCAGATGCAAGTCCCCAAGACCCCGAGGCCGCGGCCACAGCTATGATCAAAGCGCCTAATGGATTATATTCGGTACAACTAGTACATAAGTTCTTCTACCAGCCGTGGTTCAATCGTGTCTGGATCCTTCAAGAAATCGTGCTAGCGAAGACTGCGACAATTGTCTATGGAGACCGGCAGATAGGATGGGATCGACTCCTTGGGGCCATAGACGCCCTGCGTAGGCTTCAGCTTGGACAACACACTCATATCTGGCGACTAAGTGGCGCGGCAAGAGCGGATAGTGTGCGAATGTGTTGGCTAAGAGTGCGCAATGCTAGGTCGGAAGAAAAACCTTCTCGGTCAATACATCTCGAGCTAGCTGATTTACTCTGGCAGACGCGCTTTTTTGGGAAGAGCGAACCTAGGGATAGGTTATATGGAATCCTTGGTTTATTAAAATTCGACGTGAGTAGTGAAAAACTCCTCGAGGTGGACTATAAGAAACCCGTCGCGGATGTTTTTAGGGATTTGGCGATTTTTATGTTTAAGGGAGGTATGCTGTCCCATGCTCTTTGCTCCGTGGTGGATTCTATGGAGGACTTACCATCGTGGGCATCAACTTGGACATCCGAATTAAAGGGCGATGCCGCCTCGAGGCTTTCCCCTGGACTCGCAACCTACATGCAAATTCATGAACTAAAAGGGCTACGAACACCGCCAAATGCACCGCATTTCTCGACTGATCTCCGCCAAATTACGCTTAGGGGACACGTTTTTACCCCTGGTATCCAACATACAGGTAAAGGCTTCAAGCCGCACGAATCCAAACTGTCAACATATGATGAGTCGATAAGCCTCTGTCATGCGCGGCTTGTCGAATGGGAAGATGAGATGCAGCGTCAGGAATGTTCACGCGCGATATTTAAAACGAGGGACGAGCGACGCAAAGCCTGGAAATATGCCCTTCTTCACGAGCTACCCGGGGGTGGGGTCGAGACGATTAAGAATTACGACCTATTAACAAATCGTAATGGAAATGTACCACAAGTAAAGGATGGCCCTTTAATAGTCCGCGCCATGGTAGATTTGCAGTCAAAGTTAGGAATACATTGTAACTTCCGTAAGCCTTTCATTACGGCGTCCGGCCTGATGGGAAGTACAGGTGCCAATCGGGAAGTTCAAATTGGAGATAGGGTGTGCGTGTTTGTTGGTTCGGCAGTGCCATATATACTACGGCCATTAAGCCCATCCAGAGGGCTATACATGTTCATAGCTTGTTGTTGGGTGCCAGAACTCGTTGGGTTAGATGTGCTTGGTGGACAAAATGAGGGTCTCTGGGAGCTTGAAGATATTACGCTCGTATGATTGGAAATGCGCCAGAGCCCCATTATATACCTACCTCTATATAGACGAATGATATATTGAACATATTGGTTGCTGTATCGCGTTCTTACCGCTCCTAGTTTTCCCATTATAGCAAGCCTAAAAACGTCGGTAGTTGTGCCGGTTATCGTAGCAAATATCCTCAAGGGGCGGAAACACCCTGTTTCGCAGCATGCTGTCTTCGGGCCTCCTCTTTCAGCTTCTCATCATCAGGACGGCTTAGTTCAACCTGGGGCATCATGAACCAAGAAATGACAAACGCGAGAGCAGCTAGGGATGCCCCTACAAGGAATATCACCCGGAATCCGCGGCGGTATGCAGGTACAAGGACTGAACGGATCCTCAATGACTCATCAAAGGGCAAAGACGACAGATAAGATTGCGGGCTGTTTAGGAGGCCTTTAAGATCGTCGCCGTTGACTTCTAGCGACGAAATAGAGCTTGCTAGAATATTATTCCTGCGAAGCAAGTCAGTTTAAAAAACCATTTCAAAATTGAACCTTGGAAGATTGCTCACAGCAGAGTGCCGCAGATAGCAAGACCCAGTGTTCCTCCCAAATTTCGTACGAAGCTATAGCCGAACGGTTAGTTATAAACAGACTAAGCGGTCATGACAATCCTTACTTTCTAAAGGACGTCACCACGGCCATGTCTCGCCTCTCCACTCCAGCTTGGCAAGCTATCAGAGCCCTGTGCACCAACTGTTAGCCTAGATATTTCCATGCAAATACGAATACTTAGAACTAACGGCTGAAGTGTATTGCCGACTCCTACTCCAATAATGATAGCATATCCTATCTGCGCCCCAAGTCCTGAATTTTGATCAAGTGTTGACATCAAACCAAGGCCAATAGCCCAACAAACCCATCCAAATAGGATACACTCGCGGTATCTGCCAACCCAGTGGACAACTAGGCCTGATAGCGTGCTGCTAAGTGTTTGTAAGAGCGTAATTGGAAGCAGCATAGCACCAGCCTTGGTTGCGGAGTAGCCATAGGCAAGCTGATAGAATGTAGGTACGTAGTAGACCTGGACGACAAAGTTCCAGCCGTTGATAGCCATAGTAAGGCATGCACCGTTGACAATTTTGGACTTGAATATATGCACTATGTCATTAATTAGTACTAGACATGCCGAAATATATACTACTATTGAATAAAGGGGGCATACAGGGCACCAAGGGAAATTTTGGCCCTCGCCATTGCCATAGAACGAAGGCTACGCATAGTAAGAACCCGAGGATCAAGGTAACTATTACGGCAGCCGAGTCCCAGGGATATTCAGAGCCGCCCCATGTCAATCCAAGCATTAGAATTGTGACGCCAGCTAGAGTGAGGGCAATGCCAAGAAAGTCGACAGCCTTCAGCTTTCTGGAAATGTCGATTAGCGTGTGACAAATCAAAGACGGGTATGATTTTATCTTACAATTTCCAGTCGCCCTCTACTTTCTTCAGCGGCATAATGAACACGACGCAACAAGTGGTCAACAAGGTAAGCGGCAAATTCAAACGAAATATCCAGCGCCAAGAGTCTTGCGAGATCGAGGAGAGAGACCCGCCAATGACGGGTCCGATTCCATTAGCAATGGCAACAACGGCTCCCTGAAAAACGATTAGATCGAATAGAAAAGGGTTTAGAGCGACAGCTGTTGGATCTACACACCAGAATTCCTTGGTATTTACCCCTTTCTCTTAACGGCACTACATCGCTGACAATGGTCTGGGCAATGGTCATTAGACCACCACCGCCGATGCCGGTGAAAGCACGGAAAACGATCAGCTGTGTGACCGTCTGAGAAAGAGACGATGCCAGAGATCCGATAAAAAAGACAGCCAAGCCGATGAGTAGGATCACTTTGCGTGACCAGATATCTGAAAGTCGACCATATAGGAGTTGCCCGACCGTGGATGTGCTGAGAAGTTTAGCTTCGCAATCAACCAACTCTTAATAGCTCAGAGTAGAATCATCCGTAGTGAACAGTGGACACTCACATGAAATATCCGCTGGCGATCCAGGACGCCTGGTCGGTTGACTTTAGCGCGCCTGCGATAATATACAAGCTTGCAGCTAATGTAGTTTGGTCCATAAGGGCTAACAGATCTACACTAGCACATGCGAGGAATATCTTCAACCATTTAGCACCTGACTATTATGAATATCGTGAGGTAGATCTCTGCTCCGGGGATACTCACCATGATGATGGTTCTCTTAGGGACGTAATTGGTCTGCTCATTGAAGACATGAGGTACTTCAGTGTCGCTCTCCGAGCCACCCTTAGACTCTGCGAGTGCTGCATTTTGCTCTTGAAGTGTAACATCGAGAATACCGTCGGATTGGGACGGGCCGTCCATCGCAGCCTTCTCCATCACTACTTGCAAGTCTGCGTGAGATGCCTGCAGTAAGCTACCTATAAAGGGCGAGTCGATCGAGTATTTATTTCGTCACGGAATTATGTGGGTGAGTAGCCGATGAAGAATTGCTAGTACCATAATCTATTAGAGAAGAAGATAATGATTAGTCTTAGATATGCTGCTGGATTGCTGGATGAGTAGACCTTGATGGCGGCTGAGAGAGATCTGCATTGCTAAGGAGATCGATCCACTACATGGTAGGACGGAAAGGTTCTCATCCAGCGAACTACCTATCCACATTTTCGAAATAAACCTGATGTGTCTGAAAGCACTTACCAATGAATTAGGTAATGAGAACTGAAATCGTTGATTTCTCGGCGATACAGGGAAACGAATGGTATGGTAAAGTCCAAATTCTCGGATTGTTGTTGTGCGAGGAAAAGGCGGGAGAACGAGACGGCCAGGATAACTCAACGGGGATCCTTAGAGAGGAAAATCGAGTTAGCAAAGCACGCAATCTTACAAACGGGAACTGAAAATAGATAAAAACGCTTCACGACGAACTTCATGCGTGATAAACTAGGAAGTCTCTATTTACATTTAACCCAAGTGTTCTAGGATATATGATTCTTCCATGATACTACCTAGGTACCTAAGTTAAGATTTACCACCGTGCCATGTGCCTACTACAAGAAATGGCTGGGGTCTAAAGAGCCGACAGGCTAGTCTCATTGGTCAGAAACAACCTCAAAGTGCCTCGTACAGGGATCGGCGCTATATTGTGACCTGCGTTACGACTGCTTAGGAATGTGGACATAAGGCAGGGTCCTTCAAAGTTTATTTGCTCATGTCGAAGGAAAATGGATGTCAATGACTTACGAAACCTCTCCCCATCAGTCCTGGCGACGTTCGCAACTCGTCGATCAGCCATGAGCCAAGAAGTTTCGTAAGAGAGAACCTTGTGGGTGACCGAGGAAGAAAGGAGTCTAGACTATTCCACATCTGCATTACGCACCCAGGCGGAATATCTGCTCAAACAAGATATCGTTAGATAATTGGTCTGGGTATAAACCGTGATGCCCCGGAGATCTGGATACGACTATGTAATATTGGAACTGTGTCAGAATCGTCAAGCCGGCGCAGCTAAGACCCTTGTGGTAAACCTTCAGACATTGGGATTAGGGGCCTATCTATACATATATATATCGTGTTTCTCGTGTAAGTCGCACCTTTAGACTCTCCATGGCATGACCCTCGAGCGTTTTATAACAGCACAAGAGACTGACGCGAGCAGACCGGATAATATATCATGTCGGATACGAACTTCCTCAACGTCTACAAAGGCGCAAACTCAGTCCAGGATTATTTCAATCCGGACTTCGGTCCTCCTCTACCTGTGGTGGAGATCCCAGACCGACTCAACCCCTACCGACGAGATGGAGTGAGGATATACGCCAAGATGATGACGATGCATCCGGCCAACAATGTAAAGGCCATGCCAGGTAAGTCGATAGTATGGGACGCATACGCGTTTAGATTAGGTAGATATTGACTCTATTTGTTAGCATTAAACCTTCTGGAAAAGAGCGTGGTACCGGGTAAGACAAAGACTATCATCGAGTACAGCTCGGGTTCGACGGTAATATCCATGTCCCTCATCTCTCGAGTTTTCCACGACATCCCAGATGTCCGGGCTTTCTTAAGCAATAAGACTAGCGTTGCCAAGTTGCGGCTGATGCAGTTTTTCGGCCTCGATATGTAAATCGACTCCTATCTTCTCCATGTACCTTAGGTAGCGTAGCCATCGGCTAATCTTTCACCAGTACACTTTTCGGCGGGCCATCCCAGCCAGAGCCCACAGATGGGCGTGGAGGGATCAGGGCAGCGCAAAGGATGGCCGAAGACGATGAATCCGTCATCAATCCGAACCAATACGAAAACGACGGTGTAAGTTATACTGTGCCTTTCTATGGGCAGTTAAAGTTAACCAAGACTAGAATTGGAAGGCACACGTTAGGTGGACGGGGCCTCAAATTCTCAGGCAATTACCAGAGATTAATGTGATCTGTGCTGGCATGGGTACATCAGGTAAGTAACTCCAAGGATGCCGTACCTATAACCTCCATCTTCTAATGGAATCTAGGTACCGCTACAGGATTAGGAATGTTCTTCAAGGAGGCGAAGCCATCGGTCTTACGCTTAGGGTTTGCACCCCTCTAGTCTAAATCGTAAGGAGAAAGAGTACTGACAACTCACAGAGTATGCACAGCGCCTGGCGATAGAGTACCAGGACCTCGTTCATTTGCTCTTCTTGCTCCAGTCGAGTTCCCCTGGAAATCAGCAGTAGATCATATCGAGGAAGTCGGCTCGCACGACTCCTTCTCCTTATCCTTAGACATGTGTCGCGAGGGTATCGTATGTGGTCCCTCTTCGGGGTTTAATCTGAAAGGATTATTCCAATTCATCGAAAAGCAGAAGGCTGCAGGAAAGCTGGAAGAATACGCGGGGGAAGACGGAGAGATCCATTGCGTCTTCCTATGCTGTGATCTCCCCTATCAATATATCAACGAGTACTTTGATAAGTTGGGGCCGGAGTATTTCCCTTCCATTACCAACGAGGTATGGTTTAACTTGTACAGGGAGAATCGGCAATATCGCTAACCTGAAGGCCCAGGCATTGACGAAGGTTGATCTTTACCGATACGACGAGGCATGGGAGAAAGACGCCACAGCTGCGCTCTCCTCGTTTTTGGAAGTGAAAAGACCGACGATCAAAGAGGAAATATTGTCCAATCTTCCAAAAGGGGTTGAAACCAAGAGAAATTTGAGCGAAACGATTTCCCTCAAAGACGGTGCGGTCATTCTGGACATCCGACAGCCCGATGATTTCGGAGAGTTCAGCCTCCCCGGATCCGTCAACTTGCCATTCGCGGACCCATCGACCGCAAGCCCATTTTCGGAGCCCGCAGTACTCGAAGCGCTATGGTTGAAGCTAGAGGAATACTTCCGATCGCCTCACAACGAAACAGTTTCCTTATTGCAGGCTAAGCGGATCCTGGTACTCTGCTACGATGGTAACAGTTCCCGCGTGGCAACCAGTGTGCTTCGCGCTAAAGGATATGAAGCCGATAGCGTGCGCGGAGGCTTTCAAGCATTAGGTGACTTACAAGTAATGGAATCAAGCCATCATATTATCGCCAGCGAGGAAATATTCAAAAAGGGGATAACGGTAGCGCGAGAGGTTGAACTCACCACACCATCTTGAGTAATTTCAGCTGGACTTATCGGAAGCTATTGACTTCGGACAATGCTGTGCACACTTGAATGATAGGTAAATAATCCCTGATCTCGTATGCAAAACTCCGTATTCCCCGACTCCTATCTTTGGCTTTGGGAGGTAACGATTGAAATAAGTGACTTGATCAAGCTGTCTAAGGTTTGGATATTCAATGTATCTAGTTGAGCGTAAAGAGACGTATAAATCAGAACTTATCTAAGGGATATAAAGAGTTTAACACATTGGGTATCCCCATCCTCATCCCCTTCTAACCTAACCCAACAACCTAACCAAAGGGGGTTTGCCAGCCACATCGCCCTTCACTTTTTTTTTCGTACGATATCCACCCGATCAGCGGCTAAAACTGAGATACGTGCGCTCGACAGGGATCCAACGATTCAACCATTCAGCGCGTTAAGTAACATTTTAGGCGGATTTTAGGGAAAGCCCCTACTTTCAGAACGCGTCGAATAGAACCTGGCAGGGATCATCTTAAACCAGCATCAAGTGGTTACATTATACTGTACAAACGATCAACCGTTAATCAAACCAATAATAAACGGGTCAAAATCAAAATGGCTACAATAGAGAAACCGTTTCGGATTGTAGTTGTTGGAGGCGGACTCGTAGGCCTCAGTACAGCTCATATCTTATCCAAAACGGACATCGACTTCGTTGTATTAGAACGACATGGGAGTCTGGCACCCGAGATTGGCTCTCTCCTTAACTTATGGCCACCAACATTCCGCATTTTCGATCAGCTGGGTATACAAGATGCAATAGATCCCATCCTCAGCCCCGTCAACCATGCAGTTACCATGTCTGCTGACGATGGAACCGTCTTCTCGTCGTGGGCTTCTGGAGATCTAATTAAAAAAAAGTACGTCGACCTTGTATAAGGGGGAACATGTACCTACCTTGAATAAATACGGAACTAATCTTACATTTATTGTGATTTAGCCACGGGGACCGTGGAATACAAGTTACTCATCGCCCACTCTTCATTGACGCCTTGTACCAGAGCCTACCAGACAGTTTCAAAGCACGAATCAAGGTGAATAAACATGTCACCAAGGTGAACATTTCAGACGATGGAGTAGTCGTCGAATGCGCTGACGGCACCGTTGAAAGGGGCTCTATTGTATTAGGCGCTGATGGCGTTCACAGCAGAGTACGCCAATGCATGCAGGCGATGGAGGAGGGCAGATCAGCTCCTGGCGTGTCGGAAAAGCCCAAGAGTCCCTTTCTTACTACATATAGGATGTTCTTTAAGGCCATTCCTATCCCTCCAACATTACCAGGAAATACCAATTATGAATGTGCGGCAGAACGCGTGTCGACTCAGATTCTTACTGGTAATTCTCAAGCATGGTTTGCTATGTACGAAGCGCTTGACAAACCTACATCGGAGCGCCTCAAACACCCTGAAAAGGATAAGGAGGGGGCCCTACAGAGATGGGGACATTTGTATGCCGCTCCTGGCGTGAGAGTGCGTGATATCCTCGATCTTCAAAAAGGGGGCATCGGTATGATCAACCTAGAGGAAGGCCGCGTAGACAAGTGGCATTGGAATCGCATCGTCCTCGTGAGCGACGCCATCCGGAAACTAGAGCCCCATGCCGGATTAGGTTATAATAGCGGTTTGGCCGACGTAGTCGTCCTCGTGAATAAGCTGCGACGTTTACTCGAGAGCGACCCGTCACCCAACACGAGAGCCCTAGAAGCAGTATTCGCCGACTACCAGAATGAACGAAAGAAAGACGAGCCAACAGTCCACAGAATGTCCAGGTCTCGTGCCCGGGTTTACGCCTGGCTTGGCACGATAGACAGGATAATGGCGAAATACATTATTCGCTACACGAACATCGCAATACACAGCGCGAAACATATATATGGGCCAGTCGTCGCTCGAGCACCTGTCCTAGATTGGTTAGAAGAGAAGTCGTTCCCCGAAAACGCGGGAATTCCTTACGTTCACCGTCCCCTAGTTGGAGGAAAGAAGCCAAATGATGTGGCATCAAGGAGCCATAATTCCTATAATCTAACAAGCTTAACTGGATTGGTTATCATGGTTGTTCTTGCTGCTATGGGGTTCCAGCACTACCACAGGATCATTACGACGATAGGATCCAAGATAAATTCAGGATAAAGAGATAGTTGCAACTTTCTCATTCAGAAGTTCGTCGCATAAGGTGGATAGGATATAGACTGCTATGGCATATAAGGGGGCAAGGATGTGATTGCAAGTTGGTTTGCCACAAGATGTATTCCCAAGATTAATGTAATATGTTAGATATTAGAACGGAAACTTTAGCTATAATCATAGAATTTTCGACTTGAAGATAATCAATATTAAATAATCTAGCTCAAGCATCGTAAGTTTCGTCTCGAGCCTAATTTGGTTACCTATCATATGTCCTTTCAATGTTTTAGTCTATGGAAGTCAACTATACTCAGGACTGTAAGACGAAGACAATAGCCTAGATTACCTATAACTTCACCAGTTTATAATTAATTTATCCATCTCTATTTGACATAAACGAAATCAAAACGTCATGTATGTCTACCTAAGGTAACTTAATCGATCTGTACTGCTGTACGATTTCTAGACTCGACAGGCGGATGATGATCTTCCAGCCCTGTAGAATTGCCGAACGAACCCCACACAAAATTCATATGGCTATTCTCTTCGAGTGCGACAGTATCATCTCCTTTGCCGGCTTTGACATCATACAATTATTTATATATATAGGATGAGCTGCCCCGGTTCATCCAAAATGAAAGGAAATGCAATATCTCCAATTTCCGTTTCGTTTCTACTTAGTATCCGCTTCTTGAGACGAGATTGAAGATGTTGAAACTCACCATCACCGCACTCGGCTTTCTCGCTGCCCAAGCGGCAGCACAATGCTCCCGCGAAGACCTCATTGCTGCCACTGACAGTCTTCTCGCCGCACAGACTGCGGGAAAGCCCGACACGGTAGCCCCTCTAGCCGATACAGTAGCCTACTTGGAGGCGTTCAAGACAGCCAATATCAACACTGGAATACTGTCTCACCCGCTCAAGATCGACTTCAACCGTAGTCTGCACGACACCACCCAATGCGCTACGTACACCGAGATCGTTGTCACGGATAGGGCGCACCCGTACGTCATAGGTACGCAGATGCGCTTCGCCGACGGAAAGATTGCCAATATCAGTTCTCTTGTGACCGATCAGGGAGACTGGCTCTTCAATGCTACTGGCACTTTATACTGGGCGTCCCGGGAGAAGTGGGATCCAATCCCGGAGGACCAACGCGACAGCCGGGAGGTGATAAAGGCTGCGGCGGATGCCTACGCCGACCTATTCAATGACAAGACCGTTCAAGTCCCTTGGGGACACCCCTGCGCGCGTCTTGAGGGCGGGATGTACACTGGTTCGGGCTCCGAAAACGACAGGTGTGATGTTGGCGTTCCCAACGGTAAGCCGTATCCGTTTAGGACAAGTATCAAATTCGCAAGGATACCTCTAACTCTCGATCTACAGGTGTCAAATTAGGTAACCGCCGCTATGTTATCGACGAGACTCTCGGCGCTGTTGATATCTTCATCGACTTTGCCACTGTCCCGGACAGCCACGAGTTCCGAGTTGAGAAGGGCAAGCTTCGCTACGTCCATACCATAACCGTGATGGGTTAGATGATTAGTAGGCGAGGAGAGGGAGCTTGGGTGACTCTACGAAGCTTAATATCGTGAAAAGTTGGGTTGAAAACGAGTTGATCAGATACAAATAGCCAGTTGTGTACCTAGGTAGGGATCGTCGACAGAAAATAAAATGGACACTTCACATAAATTTCACCCCTCGTAGCCTTGCGTAAAAATGCACTTGCATTACTTCAATTCAATAAAGGAATTCCCGAAAGTGTCTTAGCGGGAATAAGACGTATTAAATACCAAAGACCCAGCCCATCCTACAAGGTATATAATTGGTACCTGCTACAAGCAACGAAGTTGAAGAATTATTGACTTTGAGAATTTTGCTCTGCTCATCCCTGCCGTCCGACCGTTCGGCTCCGCGTAAGTAAATCGGGACACGGGCATGCCGGACACAAACGCCGGATATGACATAGGTACCGTTAGCCGATCACAACAGACGCGTCGTCCTCTTTTCATTAGGTACCTTACAAGGTTAGGAGGTACCTAAGGACACCTAAGGTAGGACATAACTGGGTTTCAATTGACAAGTTTGGCAGAATGATACGAGCTCATGGGGCGCAAGCGATAAAAGATATCAGTAACACTTAGATACCTGGGACGGGATTGAACAAGCATCGCCGAAGAGGGTGACGCCTAGAATACACTAGAATTGACCATGTACTATGTAAGAAATATTAGAAACCAACGAAAGAGACACATGGGGAGCGGCGAGTCAGGGGTTCGTTAGGTTGGGTTAGATGGGTTAGGTTAGGATGTAGGTACCTACACTACCTCATACTAGTACAACTCACCGCTATCGCCGAGATTTCTGACGATAGTAACAAAAAAAAGTGCAAAGGCTGTGTGGCAAGTGGGTCTTATTCCGGATCCACCCCCGTTAAGCCTGTTCTAGGCCCCGAAGTCATAATCCATCTCATCTTTTTTTTTTCCTTATGTTATCTCATAATAAAACCCTCACTAGTCGCTCGTTATCTTGATATTATTCTATTCCATGCATTGTTAGTCCATCTCTCCTTTTTGTTTTCCTTAGGTCACCAAACCCACGACCGGGACAACGAGTCTGAATTAGGACTCCAATGAGCCCAGCGGGTCATCCGCTGTCTCCCACGAGCAGCCTACCGCCATTACGCTCATTAACTACTCTCAAAGGAGAACAAATATTCTCGGCTCTAGACAACCTACAACAGCTGTATTGTCCCGTCTCGTTATCACGGGCGGTTAAATCGCAACTCGAGCATGGGAAACTTCACGATGATGTGCTAGCCCAGCCGGTGGATTCCGGTTACGTCTCCGAAGACGATACGGATATTGAGCACATAGACTCAGAATACGATCTTGATGAGCTGCGTGCCGATGTTTTTGAGCGCAATTTCGCCATTCGGTGGTTGACAGCTTTGATCGCCAGCGCGGAAGAGTTGCCCCTGGGCGATGAAGACGAGCGCGAGCAGGCCGTCGACAAAGCTTCTTTTATTCTCGCATCATTCACCAAGCTTACGGATGAAGACGACGAAGAGGATGCGGGAATTACGCGAGAGTTTTCTTTCAAGCTGGCGCTGTCCCCTGATGAGGGTTCTCTCAGGTCAAGGGAGTCCGATATCCCTCAGAAGGTCTCGATAGACGTGCGCCTCAACGATGCGCCACAGACCACTACCGACCATACCGACGTCGGTCTACAGAGCTGGGGCGCATCTATCGTTTTCTCCGAACTACTATGCGCGTCACCTGAGCGGTTTGGATTTAGTCGAGAAGCTCTCGGCTCGTCTCCGCGTATCATTGAGCTTGGCGCAGGGACAGGGCTAGTTAGTCTTGTTCTCGACAAAGCGATGCCTCATCTTGGTATGCCTGATGCCACCCTCATAGCAACAGACTATCATCCGGCTGTTCTTGAGAATCTACAATCCAATGTTAGGCTTAGCAGGGCGAGAGTAGAGACATGTCCTCTCGATTGGTCAGCCCCTATCTTGGAGGGACCGCTCAACCTATCAGCAGACGTCCTGGTGGCAACCGATGTGATATATGCACATGAGCACGCCGTGTGGCTACGCGACTGCGCAACACGCTTACTCGCGCCTAAGGGGGTGTTCTGGCTTCTCATGACCATACGCCCGAATGGCCGTTTCGAAGCCGTGATCGACTCTGTCGAAGCCGCCTTCAGAGGATCACACCCCAAAGCCCCGGATGGCCGATATCTTGCAATTCTGAGCATGGAGGGCGTTGAAAAGCGCCGCGGTGTTGGACGTGGAGACGAGAGCGGATATAAACTATTTAGAATTGGCTGGGCCTAGCCAATAACCCGAAGTTAGACGGGCATTAGAATCATAGAGCTACTAGAACTATAGAGCTAGACGCATGGGTAGAGTTAAAGCGTAGAGCGTTTAAGACCATGGTAGATTCGGCATAGAGGCGTCTTTAGCACCTGGGTTTGTTTAAATTTACGATAATAATTCATAGCTTATGTTGACAGAGGAGAAACCAGGTTACTACTATATCTTTGTACTGTGTCGAAGGTAGTTTATGCATATCACAGTTACACCGCGTCTGGGCGGAACTATTATACCCTAGAGCATTGGAGAATAATCACACCCCACACCGGAGTTCATATGAATAGGGGTTGATAGTATATTACTAAGAGCGCCACGAGTATATTAACAACCACACCCTACAGATCTAAAAGCATTGTTACTCCGAAAAATCAGCCGACTCTAATGTAAAGTTGAATAAAGAAATCAGTCTGCTCGCTTGACAGAGAATGGGTTAGGCGTGAAAATGCCGTACGGGTCGGCCTTCTTCCTAATCTCCCGAAGTTTGTCGTACTTAGCCCTGTCCTCATAGTAACAGTTCCATACAGAATCTAGATCCCAACTTCCGTACGAGCCCCAGAGCAGGCGACGATCCTCCTTAGAGAAGATCCCGTCGGGGCCGATGGCTTCTTCATCGTTCACTTTCTGCCAGTCTTCAGCAATCGTTTTAGTCTCGTCTTCGTGGAAGCAGTCCATAACGCACACAGCGCTCGTGTCTCGCCAGCTATACGCCGTTCCGTTCCCAGCATTCCGTGTGAACATGGAATTCTTCCCGCCATAGCATTGTAGCTGTGCGGACAACCAGCACCGATTATGCTTAGGTCGAACGATAGCGTCGACGCGATTAACAAACCAGTCAGCCCAGCCGTCTTTAGTAAGTGTGCGCGAGCGGGTAGTGTAAGTGCGCTTGGTATATGGATGTTCAAACTCGCGCACGTTACGGAAGATCCAGTCACCGGTGAGCTGTGACATGGGCTTCTCTGCGACGGCGCTGTTACCAAGGATCCAGTCAGAACCCTCCTTGATACGGTCGAACCACGAATAATCACACACGTCACCACTCTCGAACGGCACCCACTGAGCAAACACGACGATGGTGCGCGGCCAGGCAATCAATCCATTCTCGCCGTAGAACTCTGGGTGCTCCCGTTCCATCCACTCGTCTATCCCTGGACACAGATCCAGGAGGGGAAACGCCGAGCTGAGAACGCTGATACACAGGTCGTAGTTACGAGGGAAGTTGTCGTCGTCAGACATCTCAGTCAAAATATTTACAAGACGTTTTAAGATCTCGGGGTTATAGAAGTACATCGCTTTCATGCCCCGGGACCCTTTATAGTCTTGATCGCGATACATTTGGATGGTAAAATGCATCAAGACGCCCAGATTGCCGGGGCTCCCGCCCAAGAAAGCCCAGAAAAGGTCCGGATCGGTGGCTCTCGTGATCTCCTTGAAGTTCCCGTCGCTGTCTATGATCTCGAGAGATCGTACGTGATCGCCAAACAAGCCGAAACTACGGGCCAGTTGGCCGTAACCTATTATCTGTCAGTAACGTATGTCTTGACAACATTCAAAGTTTCTTTGGTCTGTCTAATTCGCTATTGCGAGACATCTTCTAGACTTCTAACGAAAAGGGGTTCTTACCGCCCGTCTGTACATGTCCGCCGACATGAACCTCAGTGCATTGGCCGTGGGGCACAAACAGGTTATGCTCAGTAACCCAGGCATTGAATTCTCCAAGGCTCCAGCTCACGCTGGTGCGGGCGTACGTCTTTCCGTCTTTCTCAAAGATGGCTCGGTCCTCAGAGCCCCTAAACGAATGTCTTAGGTCCAATTGGATATTCGGAGCGCTCGTTGACGAAGACCCGCTATATTGATGCCCACCCGTCTTAATGGCCACTGCGACTTTCTTCTCTTTCGAATGTTTGAGAACTAGCACGATATCCTCTTTCGTCTTGGGTTGAACGATTAGTCCTGGGTTGAGATCCCGCTCCTTGCCATATGTTGACGTAGCGTACTGATACTTGACTTCGTCATATTCCTTGCTTCCTGGAATGTACTGGTCTCCACTGATACCTACGATAGCCGTCATTTTGCCTGTAGATAGAGTAAAATATCGTGGTTTCGTGCTTCGTGGTATCCTACCAAGATTCTTCTAGGTACATAAGTAGGTGCTTCAATACTTATAGTTCTGTATTCCTCGATGACACTTCGATGGGATCTATCAGGTGTACTTAAGAGCTTATCATGTGCTTAACTCATCTATCAGCTCACGTCGTACACGTCCTGCTACTGTTTCTACCTTTGGCACGAGGTAGGTAATGCTGATATATCTTATTTGGTGATATACGGCGCCCAGCCCTACGTTAACTTAACAAGGGGCACGAGCTACGAAACACAAATGAATTGGACGCCTGTTGTTAGGTATGTACAAAGTGCTGTCCTATAATATAAGTCTATTTGATTTAACCAATTTCTTAATATGCCTTTGACGTAAAATTGGTAGCAATATACAAAGATGTTGTCACCGAGCCGAAAGTCGATTTGGTCCTGCCGTATCTATGGTATTTCTCATTTTCAAACACCGACAGAAACAAGTAAGTTCATTAAGCGATGAATGGATTATCTCTATTTTATACTTGTTATTCATCGTTTTCGCGTTGGAGTACCTCCTAACCTAGGTAGATATCATATTTCGGTGGCACAAAGTATTACGGGACAAATCCTCACTCCCCTCTCTTCCCCCATTAAATAGCCCAAACATTATATTTTCACGGCAATCTATCAGCAGGCATGTTGCTATTATCCCGAGACTTGATCATCTTATAGGTATCTAAACGCGTGGTTTAAGCTTAGTCCCTATGTGACCTTAGGCACCTACTTTTCTTAACCGTCACTCTCTATTTAATATCACGGTTTCCATGCCCATCTGAAGGTATTGCGAGAAATCAAAGCTTTGATGCCAATAGTACCTAATTCAATTTCCGTGGAAGCGAGCTGTTCCAGAACAGCCTGCACACCTGCTTTCCTTCTATAGTACATCCAGTACCCTGTATATACCTAACCTATATATCTTGTAGATATTTACCAAGTATTTGAGTGAATCAACAGCCCGACCAACGCCATAGGTAAATCGACATACGAACGTCATAATCATCCCTAACGTGGTAGCTCATAACATTCTCGGATCAATGCTGCCCAGTCAATCCCAGCATACTCGCTTGGAAAGCGGTACTCATTCTCAATATACCCAGTATTTCCCTGCATCTTGAACCAATCTTCCCACCTGATACCAAAAGTATCAAGAATTTCCGTGAATGGTGGCCCTTCTGAACCCATCATCACGTACGGGCTTCCCTGCCACGCATAGCAGCCGCGGCCACCTGAGAAGTTTTTACGTCCCATATTCGGCCCTGGCTCTGATATGTGTTCACGCTCTTCATGGTTATAATTCGGTGTAAAACTTACTATGTCCTGATCAAAGGTATCATTTGGATTTGGATTTTCCGGCGAACCGTTACTAGAATCTATGTCGGAAGGGCAACTCGCTCGGTCTATATCGAAGTAAAGGGCAATAAGTTCATCCTCGTCCAGCTCTACCGCTATATCTTGCGCCATTCCCAACTCTTTTTTATTTTTTTTTCTTTATATAGGTAGGTATACAGTTTACCGAGAAATCGAAGATCTTGCAATAGTTCAAAGTCGAGAGCCGCTACCGTAGGTGATATTGATCAAGAATAAGGGACGAGAAGTTTCAATCCTTGTCCCCTTCTATAGGTAGCTCCTGGGTTCTTGAGAATCTATTGCTGCGAATGAAAGTTTGTGGTCATTTTCCATGCCGTACATATTGCCAGCGCGCTCAATATAAGCAATTCTCGAGGACTTGTGAAAATAAGTACGGTACTCGAGGGGACAAAGAGTACTAGAAAGAGCGAAATGGGACTCATTGTTATCTAGTTTGTTTTATCGAGACAATGCATTCTATAGAAAGAGACATATAAAGCCTATTGTTGTCCTTGTTAGAGATACAATACCCTGGGTGGATAACTCCTATTCGTAAAGAAGGTGCAAAAGGAATATTATCTACTGATCATTGCTATATACTAACTACTAGGTACCTAACCTAGAAGCAGGTACTCGATAGAAAGGATAACAATAAGATCAACGATTTCCTTGGTCTTCTAACGTCAGGTACCTAGGTAGACTCTTCCCATAGCACCCCTTTAATTTATGCAATTACACAGTAGAGTTGGCTTTTATTTATATTTATGTGCAGATATTTACAGTCAAAGGGGGCTTAGTCAGCCATGATATGTACTTAAGCCACGTGTATGGAATTCATCCGGGGCCAGCGCCGAGTCGAACTCGTAATGGTATCTAACCTGATACTATCAAGAAAAGACAATTCAGATATAAATAATATAAAATTTGGAGTAACTTCGATATTTCAACCGGGTTGCTAAACTCGAAATTAAACGTAAAGCCAAACCGCCGTGTCTCAAATGACAGACCCAAAGCCGAACCCGACCCGAGCGCACCGCCCCTTTGTGCTGATCGTTTGCCATTCGTTAACGGGACACCTCTCTCCCTTAATCCGCATAGCTTCGGCCCTTCACGCGCGTGGTTGGGAGACTTTATTTCTGGGACCGACGGCGCATCGCCAAGGCATCGAAGCAGCCGGTGCCGTGTTTTTGCCTTTGAGGGGCGACGCCGACCTCGATGACAAGGTGTACTATGAGAACCCACCTCAGCCCGGATATGCGTCGCTCCACTGGGCGGAGCGCGTGCTGATCGACTTGCGCAGGCAGTGTCTTGATCCCTTGCCGACGCAATGGGCTTGCTTTGTAGACGCCCTCCGATTTCTTCAGACTTGTGACCCAGAGCGGAAGATCATTTTGTTAGCTGAAGCATTCTTCTATGGCGCTCTGCCATTGTTCTATGGTGCATCACTTCCTGATGGCCTGAAACTGGAAGAAATTCTACTTGGATCCTTGTGCGTTTCGGTGACGGTACCAGCAATTCGGAGCATCGATTTACCGCCTGCTGGGTATCCTTTCCCTTTCGACTCGTCGCCGGATGGCCGCAAGAGAAACGCAAAACTGTGGGAAAAGAGTTGGAAGCGTAAATCTAGCGACCTGGCCGCGTTGCTAGACACCAAGCTGCGTGAGGCGGGTGCTCGTCGTACCGTCAACGAAATATTTCTTTCGGGTGCAAACTATTTATGCCACGATACTATCCTACAGCTCGGCGTTCCTGGGTTCGAATATCCGCGCAGCGACTGGCCTCGAGGGTTCAAGTTCGCAGGGCTAGTGCAAGGTCCACCACCAAACACCAAGACCCTTCCTAGTAATAGTAAAGCCCCCAACTTCCCCTGGTGGTCCGAACTTACATCCAACACCGCCCTGTCTACCCTTCCCATCTCAGACCCGAGCCGCGCCGAGAAAAAGAAGGTCATCGTCGTCGCCCAAGGCACCGTAGAAATCAACCCACGCGATCTAATCGTCCCCACGCTACAGGCTTTTTCCAACCGGTCGGACGTGTTAGTTGTTGCTATACTCGGGTGGAAGAACGCTAGCCTATTGAGCTACGGCATCGATATTGAGATTCCGCCTAACGCTCGTATAGCTGACTACGTTTCATATGACGCGGTGTTGGCGCATGCTGACGTCTGGGTGCATAATGCGGGATTCGGCGCAGTGAACCACGGTATTGCGAACGGCGTGCCTATGGTAGTTGCGGGCGAGGGGATGGATAAAACCGAAAACTCGCGGCGAGTGGCTTGGTCCGGAATCGGGGTTGACCTCGGCTGCGCGAAACCGTCCGCTCAACTGGTGAGAGAAGGCGTTGAACGCGTACTGGAAAATGAAAGCTTCCTAAAACGCGTGCAGGAGCTACAAAAGCAGAGCCGGGAGATAGACTGCTTTGATATGGTTCACAGCGAACTAGTCAGGATAATGAAAACTTGCCCTGGCATAAAACAATAGGGTCTGGTTTCTTAATGTGAAGGGCTCGCAATTACTACCTGCTGCCAAGCGTTGGCATCCGCATGTAGAATGGTATCAGATCAATCAAATTACGTACATCCCGTACCATGTCATAGATAATCAAGTTCCTAGTAACCCGCTATGTAGAGAATTCAGTCTATGAAAAGACAACCATCTCATGCCCCTTTCCAGTAACTCCACGAACTGGTATAAAATGCAAATTCTTTACTATTAAACTGTGCTTGGTAACGCAGTGTCAAGAGAACAAGCTTCATATCTTGTTAACCAGTCAGACAGCTGGTATATTGAATGTGTGCCTTGAAATGTAGGGAATAATCCGTCAACTTTGGAATACTAAGTTCGAATTCCCATCAGACAAGGCGTAGACGTATCGAGATTATCGGGCTGTATCCTGAGTCTCGGGATAGTAGCACCCACCGGCTAATACGAGATTCATACGTGTGAATTGAACCTTTATGACGGGTGTTTTCTTTGTCGGAAATGCGCTGATCTGGTCCGGTGTAATCATGACATCCTTGCCTTTCCTCTTGCTTGTACCACTGGTTGTACCACCGGCAGGTTGCGTTGTCTGCCCGCCCTGTTTGCTGTCGGCTTGTCCACCTGTCGCCACAATTGTGTTATCACCCTCCTGCTGGTTTGCCGGGCGATTACCTTCAGCTGGCATCTCGACATCCCAAACACGCACGGTGTTATCCTGTCCACCAGATACGAGCACGTTGCTCTCAACACTAAAGCTGAGTGACCAAATACCACCACGTCCGTGGCCGCGGCAACGCTTAATTCGAGTTGCCTTATCTATATCCCACAAGAAGATATTTCCACCGATATCGGCTGAGGCAAGGATCTTGCCGTTAGGGGCACATTCCATCGCTGATATGTATTCGGTATGGCCTGTGAATATACGGACGCAGTTACCACTAACCACAGACCACATGCGGATCGATTTGTCTGTTTCGTCAGAGGCTGAGAACACGTATGTGCCATTGGGATGCCATGCCACGGCTGAAATGGCTGTGTCATGGCCGATAAGGAGGCGCTGTGCTGATGCGTGGTCCTGTGACCAAACTCGGACGGTTTTATCCCAACCACCGGTCACGAAGTAATGACCATGTGGACTCCATGAGAGCGAGAATACCGGGCCGTCATGACCTCTGTAGATACAGAGGCAGGTCCAGACTTCGAGAGACCACAGCCGTACTTGGCCGTCGGCTGAACAGGAAAGAAGAAGTTTAGTGTCTGTCTCAGGTTGAGGCGAGCCTTCGTAAATGTTACGGTCTAAGTTGGCTACAGCGTCTGAAAACGCCACAGAATAGACAGGAGCAGAATGGCCAATCAACTTGCGGTTATTGACTTTTATGTCCTTCTCGGGCGCTAGCCGAGACTTCAAAGCTTTGCCGTCAAGAGACCATACGCGGATATACGATTCTGTCGTTCCTACCGCTACAAGTTCTTGGTCTTTCGAGAAATCCATGCATGAAATGCTGTATCTAGTTAATGAGGAGCTCTATACAAGCTAGCGAAAGCGATGCTTACCTCCCAAGATGATTGTGAAACGTAAACATGCAAACGGAAACGCCTGGGCCTACACCGCCGGTACGGCCTTCAATTCTGAACCGGTCTCGGTTCTCTCGGACTTTCTGCATTTCCATAACGACGTCTCGTGCTCTGGACGGGGGGTATGGGATGTCTGTTCGTTGTGGAGAATCACCCGATTCTCTCTTAATCGGATGCATAGAGTTGAATTCTTCCACCAATGTGGGTAGCCCCTCTCGAGGCGGGCGAAGCCTATCCTCTTCTTCCAACTCAGCAACCACATCGCTTCGGAGATCAGGGTCTATTGGAAGTGGTCCAAGCTTTAAAGCAGCAGTATTGTCAAGGATGTTGCGGTTGGCAAGTCCACTACGGCTCGAGATACCTGGGATACCCTCTTGGATGTCGACCTCATCGAGTTCCTGGTGCCGAGCGCGGCGGTAAATAGCTTCGAAGCTAAACGGCTCGATAGGGCCCCGGTCAACGGAATCGACACGGCAATGCTGTTGTATAATATCGAGGACTACGGCTCCACATTGTTCCAACTCCCGCTCCAAGAAGTGGAATAAATGTCCCGTTAAGGACTTGCTGATTGGAATAACGTACTGATTCTCTAGATAGGCCTTGGCGAACGCGTTCTCTCGAACATGCATGGAAAGGGTAATAGTAGACAAGCTTTTTAACTCGTCTGGATGTGTCTTTTCGAAACGGCCGCGTAACTGCTCCAAAAGTTCTTGTGCATGAGAATAGGAGCCTTGGCTAACCAAGCGAAGATAGGAGTAGATAAAGAGTGGCCAAAGTATCTTGCCTAGCTCAAACTATCGAAATGTAAGATGCCTATCATTCAGTATCCATCCAGGAATGATACGTACCTTGTAGAGATCGACTCCATTATCAACCCATCTCGCAAAATGTTTGAACGACTTCAGGTATTTTCCCGCGGGAAGGAACTTGTTAGGCGCTACTGCGTCAATATTATCACGGGGCTTCCCGTTCTCGTTAATATCCTTCACCTCCTGGCGGAAGATTTCTTCCGTACGATTATACCCTTTCTTAATCAGGTAGTCCGTGACCTAAGCCATAGGGTTAGCCTAGTTCAATATGAAACGAAGCGTGATTGAAGCGAAGAGAGGGGGGGAAAAGAAAAAGAAAAAGACAATGCAATACCCCACTGTCTTGGTTTTGGTTCTTCGAAGATATAGGTACAGTAGGACTTTGCGTCTGAGCTCGATTTAAGGGGTTGCCATAGATGGAATATCTAGGCTTCTTAATAATCTCACTCCGGAGTAAAGGTTGGGGATTAGGGGGCTTCGGCATGGTTGATAGTTCGCAAGTACGTGATGTAAAACAACAGTCTAAACGATGAATGGGATTTGATAGATAAGTGAGTTCTCGCGCGTTTTAATTGCGAGCAAGCAAAGCGCAAATAAATGAATTTTGACTGAGGGTTTGGCAGAGAGATACGTCCTAATAATAAAAATAACGGGAGAGGGAAGAATGTTTGTAGTGGGGGAGTACAGCTTCACTCCAAACTGCCCAGGTGGCGACGGGGAAGTTTGTGAATTAGGTATTCGTAAGAGACAACAACATTTGGGCGTGAATGTTTGTTAATAGGTAAGGGAATCAAGGTGTTACCGCTTACAATTTGATTAAGATTCTGGTTGCTGCTTCCTGTGGTGGTGGAAGTTGAGCTAGTAGCGGGGTTATTAACAACACCTGGAGTCGTGGTCGGCGGCTGTGGTTGGGGGGTGAAGTTATTGCTAGATGCGCCCCCAGCGCTCGGCGGCCCTGGATTAGACATGGAGGAAAGTACACAAGATTCGCGTATGTGATACGACGATAGGATTTTAATGCTAGGTAGAAACACTACATTAATAATGCGATGATTCTCATAAAAGCTGAATGAGAAGTCGGAGATGATGTTGACATATTTGATGAGACGCGACAAAACATTGAAGTTTAGGAAAGCTTAGATGTTGAGGCTCAAACCCGAAAAAAAAGAAGCACAGGCTTGATGCAGGTACTTAGGTACAATACAATACCTACAATACGCGTGCATGACATGACATACGTACAATACATGTACGGTGTGCCTAGGTACCTAACCTAGACCTTACCTAAATAAAGTCAAGAGGTAAGGATTAAGGTTAGAGAGCTCCACCATTCCCCAGGTGTTTAATGTGCCAGTACGTACCCGTGCAAGGTGTGCACCTGCATCTCCATACCTTCGTCATTTCCAAGGTTCTTTACCAAACACCTCCAGCTATACGCGACATAGCGCGACATAGGTAGCGTAACTTGCATAAGGCTATTAGGTACCTAGGTTTAGGTACGCATACGATTTCAACATCTTTTTTTTCTAATAGGTAAAACAAAACAAACGCCATCATGGAGACCGACGAACAACAATCCCAATTCGTACCTTTTACCAAAGCTGAGCGCATCGAACAATTAGCCGAGATCGATCGAGTCAGTCCACCTAGCTTATCATATATCACCATGATTTTTCAAAAGCTAATGCCCCGTTAGAACATCGTCAGCCTGCTACGGTCCACCGCTCGAGCCATTCAAACCCTCGGCAAGCAACAATCCCAGAGCAAGGACGCGGTCATGACAGATGACAAAGGCCAAGAATCTCAAGTCTTCCAAGACTCCATGAACGATTTTCTCCGCGCTCTACGAACTGTTAATGTCGGAATGAAGCGACAGATATGGGGTCTTGAGGAAGAGCATATTATATCCCTGGAAAATAAAGACGGACCAAATATTAGGGATGAGGCCGGGGAGGTACAGGGAGTCGGCAATCGCAACACTCCAATCCAGCCGGACGGCGACGGTAAGATCGGTGGACTCGATGTAGGCTGGCTTAACAGCCGAAGCGACGAAGTCGAGAGAGGTATGGAAACTGACCTCTGGGCCGAGGCCGAGGCGTTTCTACGACGGACTATAGAACAACGCGAGGCCACCAAGAACTAAAAAGGTAGAGCATGGGTTTAAACATTTTAAGTACGGTTGGCTGGGGCGTATTTGTGTGTCAAGGGTTTAATGGAGGACAGCTATAGCATCCGGCGGCGTTTAAGGAGTGATATACCATAAGCATATAAATTATAATTGATAAGGGGGTTTTCTACGCTCCTAATCCACGGTTGTTATGAGTTTGTTTTTTTGATTCGATTTTAACTTTCACGATCTGCAACTTACCTCTTACCATATGAGGGGGGTGTTTATATTACACCTTGGGCACATACTAGACGTAAGCCATATACTATGGTATATAAAATGCAAGAAAACCATTCGAGAAATAGGTAACTTACGTTAAGTCCCTTAGGAAGTACATTTTACAGGTAGGTACCTACTTTGTGTGATCGCATAAGCGCTCGAAATGTGCAAGTAAATCTGATGATCATACAAGTGCAGTATAAGTGCGGTATAGGTACCTACGGTAAGTGTAGTATAGGTGCGTAGATCCCTTAAAACCACCTATACCTGCATGCAGCACATGCAAAAGAACGTCAAACCCTTTAGCCCCACTATATAGGAAGTTGGAACAGGCTGCCACTGCTGCCACCGCCGCACCGGCAAGCGCCAACCGGAGGCTAAGGTAGCACCTCTAAACACCACCCCCCAAAAAACATCATAGGCCCCATTTCATTAGCTTTCATCAATCCTCCTACATAATTTACAACATCCCTCCCATTCCACGCTCGCTAAGCTCTGTCAATAACTTTCAAGCGTCCATCATGGATTTAGGAGAAGCAGGCGATTCGCCTTGGGGTGGTATGATTATCTTATTCTTTATTTCTTCAGTACAATTTGTTTAACATGTTTTTAGATGTCCCATCCCAGTCGACTTCAAAATCTCCTACCTTCGAACAAGAAGGTCTGTTGGATTTCGCCCTCCTTATACCATGATATTTTAGATAGTCGCTAACGCTAGGTTCGTTGTGCAGAAAGTTCCGCGAAGACTCAAGATGCCGAGACCTCGCAGCAATCGCAATCTTCTGTCAAGGCATCCGCCAGCCGCCCTTCCAGGGGCCCCGTACGCCGCCTAGTGGCCCAACCCACGAAACTTGAAGCCGTCGACGATCCTCTAGGTCCTTTGGGCCCCCTCGGTGCCACCACCGGCCCAAGCGCGGATGCGCAGGTCGACGAACCACCAGCTCCCCCTCAAAAGGAACAGATGGTAATCCGGACAACCATGCCACCCCTTGCGCAAAAGAGGTCGGGACCTGCGGATCCTCACCACATTGACGACGAAGAGTTCGACCGCCCTCTCGGTCCAAGAGCCCCTCCTCCTGTACAGGCTGCGCAACCAACCCCGGTTAGGCCCACGAGCCAGCCCAGCGTTAGCATAGAGCAGGCAGCTAAGCCCAGCTTCCATATCACTGTCGGGGATCCGCACAAGGTCGGGGATCTGACGAGCTCACACATTGTCTATTCCGTCCGCACGCAGGTATGACCAGAGATCCAGGCTGGTAATTATACCATGTATTGACCTAGTACCGAGCAGACAACATCGAAAGGCTACAAGCAACCCGAGTTCGAGGTTAAGCGACGATACCGCGATTTCCTATGGCTTTATAACACAATGCATGGGAATAACCCCGGTGTTGTCGTACCGCCCCCTCCTGAGAAGCAAGCTCTTAACAGATTCGAGAGTAATTTCGTCGAGTCTCGTCGGGCCGCTCTGGAGAAGATGCTGAACAAAATTGCCGCACATCCCACACTTCTACATGACCCCGACCTAAAGTTGTTCTTGGAGAGCGAGTCTTTCAACGTCGACGTCAAGCACAAGGAGAGGAGAGAGCCTATACCGGGAGAGAGCAAAGGCGTTTTTGGATCTCTCGGTATCAATATGGGAGGTGGAAGCAAATTCGTTGAACAAGACGACGTAAGTTTACAGTTTTCCTCTACCAGCTAACTCTCTAACTGTTTATAGTGGTTTCATGATCGACGGGTTTATCTGGATGCCTTAGAGAACCAGCTTAAGGCGTTGATGAAGTCTATGGATGTCATGGTTAACCAACGCAAAGCTATGGCGGAAGCGGCTGGCGATTTCTCTGCTTCTTTACATGCACTTTCGACTGTAGAACTAAGCCCTACACTTTCTGGACCGCTAGATGCTCTTTCGGATCTGCAGCTTACCATCCGAGACGTCTATGACCGTCAAGCTCAACAAGATGTGTTAACTTTCGGCATTACCATTGACGAGTATATTCGATTGATCGGCAGTGTTAAGCAGGCGTTTTCACAGCGGCAAAAGGCTTTCTATTCGTGGCACAGCGCCGAATCGGAGTTGCAAAAACGCAAATCTGCGCAGGACAAGCTACTTCGACAAGGAAGATCGCAGCAAGACCGTCTGAACCAGGTTGGCGCAGAGGTAGCAGATGCCGAACGCAAGGTCCATCAGGCCAGACTTCTTTTCGAGGACATGGGGCGGTTAATGAGAGCCGAGCTCGACCGTTTTGAGAGAGAGAAGGTGGAGGATTTCAAGTCTTCAGTCGAGACTTTCTTAGAGAGCGCCATAGAAGCGCAGAAGGAGGTGAGTAAATTTAGTGACCGGCTTTCACACAGGCAAAACTAACCCATCGAATAGTTAATTGAAAAGTGGGAGACATTCCTGATGCAACTGGATGCAGAGGACGACGAGGCGGTATTCTATCGTCCGCCTGTTTATCAGACTAATGATAAGTCTACCGGACGCGGTGACACGGCAGTAGATCGAGCAAGGGCAACTATCGATCAAGACTCAGACTAATAAAGCTATATGGTCGTCTTTACGAAAATTTGATATCTTTTTTTTTTTTTAATGCGAGTCAAATAGCGAAGATTCAGTCTCGAAGTCTTGGAAGAGAGATATATACATAGTTGTACAAATGCTACAGAGAGAAGAGGCATTTCAGCCGATCCTCGCTCCTTAAATGCTAGCTAGTAGCTCCCCCTCGTCACGGATGTTAGCATATCAAGACAATATAAACATCCTGACAAGCTTTCGTTCCGTTACGGCACTTCCAAATCCCTCCGTTCTTCTTCTTCTTCTTCTTCTATCTTTGAGCTTCGTAGATAATACCTAGAGCAGATAGAGCAGATCTCTTCTAAAAGGTAGGTACCTAGGTAGGTAGGTAGGTAGGTATATACGAGCTTTCTACCCGATCCATCTATGACTTCCCGTCTCTATTTCTTCTTTCGTTGGGGCTTCGCCTCTTTCTCGGCCTCCTGCTTGGCCGAATAGCTGGAGATCAGATCGCTCAGCGCGTCGTAGGAATCATGCGCAGGAGCCTTCTCTGGGGCCTTATTTGCGGCGGTATCGGCAGTAGCAGCGGCATCGGCATCGGAAGGAGCCTCAGCGGTTCGGTCGCTCTTGTCAACGGCGTCGGGATGCTCCTCTCGCGCGCCTCCTTCGGCGTCCCACCCGCGTCCGAACCTGTCTCGGAAGGCGGCCAGCTTGCCGGCCTCGTCGACCTCGACGTTGCGCAGGGAGCTGTCGGAGGGCTGCCACAGGATGTGGTTGCGGGTGTCCTTGGTGCTCTTGTACAGCGCGAGCGGCGACGTCGTGCGGTGCGTGTACGTCGACCCGTCCGTCTGCTGCACGAGCTGCGTGAATGTGTACGGCCGCCGCGGCCGCCGGATGATTGTCGCCGCGCGGGAGGGCGTGTGCGAGAGAGGCGTGTGCGAGGGTTTTAATAATGCGGAGGGCTGGGGCGTGTGGTGGATGTTTGTGATTATGCTTGGGCGTCGTGATGCGACGCTTGGGAGTCTGGCCGCCATTGCGGGTAGATGATTTTCTCGTAGGTGAGTACCTAGGTGCCTAGTTTATGTACCTTTCGATGCGGTATTTCGTCAATTGGATTGTTCTTTCCTTTTATTTTTCTCTGTTTTTTTCGTTGTCATATAATCGCCATCTCGTATGCTCGACCTTTTTTTCGTCGGAGTTGAAAGTTGGAAATTTCAATTTGGTTTAAGTTGCCGGCCCGGAAGCGGCTGGCGGGGTTCTATGTACCTCCCCTGCTCCCGCATTCCCGTTATCATAATCCATATCATTATCCAACATTTCCTTATCTTATCGGAGTTTTTAAGTGCAAAGCTTCCAAAGCTCTTGGGCCTTTATTTTCTTTCTTCATAATAAAAACAAGAAAAAGGAGAAGGAAAAAAACGAGCCAATTAGGCTTCAGAAATAACTTTGGTTCTCCATGGACTGAAATGAAGAGTCTTGATGGTCTACGGTGGACGTTAAAGTCTACAAGGCCGCTGCTCTATGCATCTTCTTCCTACATCATAGCAACAGCTCAGGGAACTCTGAAGAGTTCCGGACAAGCGGGTGAGCATAATATCATATAAATATCTACCTCTATTTTAGTGTATCCAAGCTTATAATAATATATATGTGGTAGGTCTTCCAAGATGGTTACATTCTAGCAAGATCTTTGAGTGGCCAGTGAAGCCCTCAAGTCCTACACAACATGTGCTATCACAACCTATGCGTTCTCTAATGCGCCAAATCCCGCATCCCGTAGTCGTTATTACGACCCTAGAGAATGCGCATAGTATAGCCGATCTCAGAGATGGATCGAAAGACCAGCTTCCACCCCCAGTACCCAGGGCTATGACTGTGTCGTCCTTCACCTCATTATCTATCGATCCAGTACCGCGGGTCACCTTCAATGTTTCTCTACCGAGCACAACCTACCAAGCTCTTATGAAATGCGGGAGGTTCAATGCTCATATACTCAGTAGCGATGATCATGGAGCTAGGATCGCGGATCTATTCACCCGAGGCAACAGGCCTCCAGCAGCCGAGGAGACAACCAGAGACTTAGGTGAACCAGACTTAGGTGTTCTCGCTGGTCTAGAGAAGCTCGGTGTTCGGGTCCAAGGACGGGATATATGGCAACGAGAATGGGAACAAGCTAAAATATATAAGAAACAAGTTGCCGCTACAGGAGGTACGGCTCAAACCGTCTCAGATGTCGACTTACCGCCGTCAGGCACCTTGCCGGTATTACAGGGCCAAGGCGTCATGCATGTGCTAAAGTGCGAATACCGTCATCTATCGCCTCCCGTAGAAGGCGATTTCGACCATCATGCCATTGTCATCGGCGAGGTCGTGGATATAATATCTGGAGAATCTGAAGGCGAGAATAGCATCGCGCTCGCGTATGCCGATAGGGCATACCGTCGGATAGGACAGAAGCTGTTAGACAGACCTACACCCGACCAAGAAAATCCCCTGGGAAAGAAGAGATGATGACAATTCGATACATCTACAGGAAATTCAAGTGTTCGAGGAAGGGGTGCACTTAGGTAGCGAGGTAATGGAACATGTATATATGGCTTCTAGAGTTCTTGATTTGCATTAGAGAAAGCGAAATATACACCCCCCAGGTATGCGTTTTTTATACCATGATCACTACCTAGGTACACAGGCCCATATAGGAGACATGATTCCAGCTCTATTCACCGCAGGAATAGATCGTTACTATCTTAATCTCAATCTCCGTATTTATACTGGTCATTACCTTGTTTCCATTTCGCCTTTCTCTTTTTGTGCCGTCTAATAATTCATATAGCATCTCATTCATAGGATCCCAACAAGTCTCACGCATGTCTAAAAACATATAGACCTATCATTGCTTTTCATACTTCCTGTCTGTAGTGCCGCAAAAATCTAGTATAACCTACATAGGCAGGTAGTCGTAATCTTAGGATTAGTTTTATACTTACAAGACTCATTTAACGTTTGAAACTACACCTTGGTAGGCAGGTACTTAAAGGATCCCATATGTTATATTATAGCAACAATGCCTACTCTAAGCTTTCATACCGTGCGCTCAAGGTTTTCAAGGAAGCTTAAGTGAGCATCGTTATCACTCCCCCTTTAATTCACCGTCTTCTACCTATGAGTTAAAAGAGATCGCTGTTCATCAATTACTAGCTAGCTATGGCCCAAAAGCGTAATTTAAGCAACGCTCGACACGGGCTAGGTCACAACCAACCCGAAGAAGTCCTCCGAAAGACAAAACGCTACATCCAGCACTTCCCCCGTTCTGGCGAACCGGTTACCACCGCCTCATACATTTCGCGGGCGAACATCGTCTTCTATTGCTCTGGATACTTTCAACTTCGTCCCTTCTCCAGACGCTCCTCGTTCTGTATCTCGCCTCATATTTCATACGCGAGGCGAGTCCGAGCTCGAGACCATGTCGTGGATTCGAGTTGTTGTCCAAGAATTTCAGCCTGGGAGGCCAGTAAAAGCCTGGTATGTAGAGATAGTAGGTGAATGATACACGAGCCGCAGGCGTGATGAAGCCACATGTACCCATGTTGCCACGCTGTATGAAGACGTCAACCGGGAATATAGGTCGTAGGTCGTCTCGGGGACGTATTCGGTCCTTTGCTGGTATTGTCTTTGCATGGCCGTTTACGCCGTTGATGTTTCCATTCTCCTCCATATTGGTTGGTGTCTTTGGTGCTAGCACAACATACGTCTATAATAAAGACGGCAGTACGATCGAAAACTATGTGGTAAATGATAGTTAGGTACCTAATATGGATAGGTACCAGGTAGGTATGCCAAAGGATACTTGGATCGATGTATTTCAGAGGAGACAGTTAAAATTGATGAAATATATAGCTGCGACAAGGAGAGAAAGAATACGAGCGACCGCAAGTCGAGAAGCTTCTCGGTGGTCCTTGGAAGGGGCAATAACCACGGGATCTTTTCAAGAAAGAGCATATTAAAGTAACATCAGGGAGGTAGATTGGCGTAGGCTCAAGTCAAAAATAGGGTCAAACGAATTCGTGCCTACCTACCTTAGGTACACAGATACTAAAGCATCCTGATATATTACCCAGGAAGTTTAAATGATATAAGTGCAATTATACTCAATCATTATACTCTATAAAGGGGAAATGGGCTGGCATAATACCTCTTACAAAAAAAAATAGTGTACTCGGGGTGCGCAAGAATGAGATATGCAAATATCGTAACCAAGTGCTAGATAGCTTCAATTTGGCCGCTGGACAAGACAATACATTCAAAACAACACGTATCAGGATCCCTGGAAAGATTCAATATCATCAAATATTGCAAACTCGACATATGATTTTATATTCAGTTGAGTTTCTAAGTTAACCCCCAATGCCAGCTGGGAGGGGTATATGGAATAACCTAGCTGGCAATCACGAGCAACACTTAATTCTCTTCTTCTAGTCCCTGTACAGGAGTCCTTGCGCACTCTGATGTCGGCACAGGGACACGTCTATCCCCAATCAAAATCCTCGGGACATCTTTGCTACTCGAAATGAAATGGCAGCAAGGCCCTCGTCGCCTCTAGGCAACACACCAAAAATCGATAGAATGAAGCAGGGGACAATTATACAGCAATAAGGTAAAATTTGGATGCCCGCACTGAGGCAACCTGTGCTTCTTTGATGGATGAATGATTTACACGCCCAGCTTACTCCGGAACGTTCTGTCCAAACCTGCTAACTCCGGCAACCCCCCTTTTTTCTTGCAAGTACCGAAAAGAGAATAATTAAAACATGGCGCAAAGAGTAACTCGTCAGCATTCCCGCGGGGATGGCGGCTCGAGAGTGGTATATGACCTTGTAGGATGACGCGGAAAAGATGAAATCTCAATGCGGAGGCGGGCGATCCGAGGACAAAGGAAATATGATTAGCACATGCGATGTTGGTAAAATAAAGCAACGCTGGATATGGCCGAGGTGGGAAAAGTCGTAACTTCGTTCAGGGGTAATCTATGTCGTTTTGCTCACGCCGATAGTCCTTGTGATTGTGAGAGAACCGGAGGGATACCTGTATCAACCGTGCTGAGCTGGTTACATGACAACGCAGCAACCGCACCCAGACTTGCTTGATTTTTCTTCTTCAGGTTCTTCGACCTCTGTCGGCACTCTAGGATTTTGAACAGTCTGGACCGGCGGTTGTTCTTGCTGTTGTTGTTGCTGTTGTTGCTGCTGCTGTTGCTGCTGCTGCTGTACCGAACGCGGGCTAGCAAGAGGGCTAACGGGAGGTGCGCCTTGGATCTTGGGCATTGTTGAGTAAGAGCTTGTACCGGGTCGGCTCGTATTTGGACTTTTAGCACCAGGCCGCAATGGCCATTCATCCTGTTGGTTCTCCTCGGTCTCCTTTGACTTCTCCACTTCGGGGGGTTTTAAGAAACCCTCATCGTTAAGAGGGCGGAATTCTTTATCGTATATATTCCCGAATTTGCCTTCCTGTTCCCATTTCTCTTGTTGTAACCTCTTTGCGACAGTAGGGAGGAGCTGCTGGTCTGGAGGTAAGCGGGGATCAGGTTTATATGCTGAAATCATCCACGGCGGATCGCCTTCAGGCGCGGATTTCGATACGGATGGTGATAACTCGCCGGACCGAGTTGTGGGTCGGTTAGAACCATTACGAGCTGTCGAACCTGACCGGGTCTTTGGTCGGCCTTGTGAGGTTTTAGCCGATGCGGTACTCTTCTTGGCTCCAGCGGACTTGGTTTTCTTGGGCGATCCATCTGTTGCGGTACGCTTCGTAGGCTGGATCTTCTGGTCAGCCAGGGCATTAATACTACCGCTACGTGACCGTGGCTGTGATCGTGGCTGCTGTTTCGGTTTCGGCTTCGGCTTCGGTAATGAGATCGAGGCATCTTCGTCTAGCATAGGGGAGCTTGGCTTGCGCGCTGCTGGGGCATCTCGCTCGAGGTAGTTGACGGGAATTGGTGCCGGACTTGTCTTGGCTATTGGAATACGCGACTTGCTGTTATCGCTGGTTACCCAATACTCACCAGAATCTTCCGCTATCTCCTCGGGGAGACGTAAGTCCCAGCTCGGAACCTCAACATCATTAGGTTTTTCTAGGCTTAATTCCGAGTTTTTTCGAGACCTCACGCCTATGTGCTCTGATGCATCGGTACCCCGCCGGCGTCCGTTTGCTTTCTCTGGGCTACGATCACGCCTCGGTCTGCTGTGAGCTCTCGGTTTGGGTAAGATAATTCCAGCAGCCTGCAGCTCTTGGTTCTCTATCCTAGCTAATTTGTCCCTGTGAATCCATTTTGAGTGTTCGTCGTCGTCGGTTTCCGAGGGTGAAATATCGGCATTCGACCGCTTATTGTCAGATATCGATACGGGATGGCCTGTACATATATACACTCTATTAATTAACTCGTCCCCTCTTGGATTATCTTTGACCAAGAGATGGGCATCTGCATCGACCAAACTCTTCAAATAGGGGCCTGACTAACCGTTGTTGGCTAGGTAATCATCTGTTGCATAGAGATCGTAGCCGACATCCCCATTTCCGGCATTGGAAGGCCCTTTTAAAGAACCGTTGATCTCATGCCTATCTGCGGATAGCTTACGCGATGTAGAACTCTACACGAGAAAAGAAGCGTTATATTAGTTTAGATCGGATAAACAAGGACAAATTGACTCTATAAACACAGTAGAATTTCGGTATTGAACTAGGAAAATAGGAGCTTACATTGTGATAGCTAGAAGACGAGTGATTCCACCCAGAATGATTTCCGTGCGAGCTAGTTGGAGGAGTAAGAGTAGTAGTGCCCGAGACCGCCGACATAGTCGCCATTTAAAATGCAAATTAGAGACAGCTAGAGTAACGGCGGACTGGTGGAACTTGAGGCGCTGCCGATCAAATCCAGTGTGACACAGTGTGACGAATATAAAAAACTGAAGAGTCGAGCTTGAATTAACGATGTTATATTTCTATTCGGGGCTACGTCGTAGCAATGGGGAAGAAAATTTGAAAGAGCGAGAATGCGGTTTGTGATCGTAGCGATAATGGCGACGAGAATATCGGTGATAATAGAGAGGAGCTAATTGTTGTAGATGCGTTAAAACTGCAGTCGCCAGCGGCTGTCGGACTCTTGAATCTGACGACGATGAAGAGAATAGTATTTTTTTTTGAGGTTTTTTTTTTTTTTTTATAAAAAAAAAAGAGTGACGAGAGGAAATGACCACGAAAACGAAGTTGAACCAGAGAGTTAGCTCCAATACCTGTTAATTTCGTCGTATTCCTAGCCAAGCTCCTGAAAATCTTCCACGATAGACCGGACGACCTGGACAAAAAAGCGCAATTCGTTGGTATATTTCCCTCCTTGTCGTTAACCCTATCAAGTTGCGAGGCAACTCGAGGCAACTCGATGATCACCCAACACTCGACTCCAAAGCACTACACGTACACGTACACTCGATCCCTAACAGCTGCTTTCACGCGCCCTAGTTTCGATCGAATAGGACAAGTTACCTTCATGGGACAACGGTGACAAGACAAAAAAAAAAAGTGAGGACACGGAACACCAGTGGCTGGGATTAGAATGGAGGTATTAAGGAGCCGGTAGTGGCCGTGGCGTGGCAGAGCTGTGAACTTGCAGACGTGCAAGACGTGCAAGACGTGCAGACGTGCAGTGCAAAGTGGCAGAAGCAAATAATGTGGTTCCAAGGCTGGGAGTCGGGGATTGACGATAGGAAAAACGACGAAATGCATGCGGAAAGGGGATTGGTTGATTTCTTCTTCATTTCAGAAATTCATTAGCATTGAGCCTTGAATTTGTCCCACTCTGATTATGCTCGGTGGTTGGTTGACCTAGCTGAATACGGCAAACCTTCCAGCATAAAGTTCTCATTTAGGTACATGCCGGGGACTTCTTTTTAGGGGGCTACGCGTTCTGTACTGTAGTCGTTGGCACATAAATCTCTACATAAAGTGTAGATTGTAGATTACATAAAGTAGAGCTAACCTTATGTATAATACATAAAGATAAGAGGTAGAGGTACCCAACTTAAGGGAGGCAAGTCCGGTCCGGTGACCACATGCAAATGTCGTTAGGTATGCGCGTACGGAATCTTCCTTACGTGTGTGAAATCGTATGGGGAGAGATCCATCTGACTTTCTACTCGATACGATGCGTCCGCAGGTCCATGCTTTTACCTAAGGTTACATATGCATAGCGCAATGTGATTTTGCGGATAGAAAGCTTAATTGTCAATCCCGTTTCTTTCCTATTTTATTTTATTTTTATTTTTATTTTCCAAGACTCTCATCTGGATAGTGAGATAGTAGTAGGTAAGATATTATGCAACGAAATGAAAACAAGGTGAAGGGCATTCCGAGCCTTGAACCGCCCCTGAATTTAATAAATGGCACTATAAAATACGACATTAGAGTACCGCGCCAAGCCTCAATCTAACAAGGCTCGGTTGGACCTTAGCATCTTAGCCGCTTCATTGGTATTATGCTTACCGTCCGCGCGGGGTTCACAAGTGACATGCTGACATACTAACACTGTGCATAACCTCCATTTCTTCGGCTAGCTTTACAGTCTGAAGCTAATGCAGCGTACTGTATTCTAGAATACTTTCAATGCAACCTAAGTCCCTGCCTTTCGACAGGCCTGCAGCTTGCACATTTTTATACGGGTCCAAGCTTCCAAGCAAGCAAGTTACCTACCTCCTAGGTACCTAACCTACCTAAGATAAGACTATGTATACAGAATACTTAGTTACTAAATAAAATAATGATTCTTCAAAACGCGGATTCTCACATCATCTCATCAACTTTAAAATAGAACCAAACAGACGTCAGCTCCTTCAGATGCGTGTTTGGTCATAACTACCTCTAACCTAGCTATTCCTCAATTATAGGATAGATACCGCTGCATCCTATTATTTCTTCCATTTTCTACTTGTCTTCTTTTTTTGCGTTGAAAGGCATATTCATTCTTTAACCAGGGCGTGCTGCTCATCAGTTTCGTGATACCTATAATTATATCAAACAATTGGCATACTCATAGGATGTTTTACCTACCTGTACCTACCTAGATGTCTATCGAGGCAGCTGTCGTGACTTAAGCCAGAGTGTATGGGAGAGAGGTAGGTATCACTGAAAGACGTTTAGACAGATCCCTATAACCTATTTATATAAGTTTCGGTGAAGCCCGGCGGCACAAGAAACGCTACTCCTTGAATTTACAGTACCACTAAATCTCCGGCAACATGGGCGATTCATCAGTGCCCCCTTCCAAAATCCCACAGCGGACTCGACGGACACGCTTTGTCTGTATATCAGACACACACAACTGCACAGTGAAACTTCCGAAGGGCGATGTGCTTGTCCATTGCGGGGATCTGACGAACCAGGGCAGTTTCGGCGAGCTCTCGAAACAAGTGGCGTGGCTTGAGAGAGCCGACTTTGAGTGCAAACTAGTCATCGCCGGGAATCATGACATAACGCTCGATACCGATTTCTTCGAGCAGTATGGAAATTATATTCATAATAACAGCCCCCAGAACCCTATCGACTGTCAGAACTTACTGCTACAGTCTAAGTCACTCACCTATCTCAGGCATTCAAGTTGCACCGTCAAACTTACCTCCCCGTCTGGGCCAAGGACCACCTTCAATGTATTCGGTTCTCCCTATATTCCTGCTTCTGGGATGTGGGCCTTTCAATACTCGCGGACGGACATTGTACAGGCTGAGAATATATGGAACGACATCCCGCTCGACACTGATATACTCATTACTCATGGGCCAGCACGTACACACAGAGACGAGTCCCGTCACAGGGAAGCCCTGGGTTGCGAGAGTCTACGACAGGCGTTATGGCGAGTACGTCCACGCATTGCGCTCTGTGGACACGTTCATGAATCTCGAGGCGTAGAACGTGTTCGTTGGGACCTGTCTAACAAATTTGTGCGGTATAAAGAATTGGAAAGCAATTATCAGTGGGATGATCCTAGCGTTGGAAATGAGAAGAACTGCCTGGTCGATCTCACTGCCAAGGGCGGAATGCCCTTAGATAATGATGGCAGCAAGGCCTCACTGTCATTGTCCCCGACAGCATGTTCTACTTCCGAGGCTGAGAAAAACGATGCTACAGGAATAGAAACAAACACGAAAATCGTATCAGCAGAAGGAGCAAGCCCCGGCATTGGGACACGTGGTCTTAGTGGAAACCCGGCATCTGCAAGGAGTGATAGACCTGTTCTAGCGGGGCGTCTCGGGCGCAAGGAGACATGCATTGTAAACTGCGCTCTCCAGCAAGGGAGCTACCCGCACTCTGGGCCACGAAGGCTGCATAAGCCCATCGTGATTGACATCAATCTCCCTATATGGGAAAATGATTCCTGACTGTTTAGCTGCCTCTGGATTGTCTGGATGTAGTCTCTTTCGTAAACGCGCATCGAGGCTATGCTGAACAACGCCCCAAAAACTACGTAGAGGTAGTACGTAAAGGTAGTAGGTGAAGACGGCTTAGACTTTTCGAGCAGCTCCAGTTTTGTTGTCTTCGGTTACGAGATATCGTATTCGTCACAAGTCGTCCATTTGTGCAACTCGTTTCTACTTTATGTTAGGTACTATTGCGGGCTTTCTTTACATGCGCTTTTAACATGCCGCGACTGCGCAAATCATTGCAACGAATGAAGCAGCAACAGCAGCGTTAAGAATGGCCATGCATACCTAAGGTATATACAGAATTACAACAAAAGGCCTCCTGTGGTTCAGTGCCTATCTACGCCGTCATTCTTCTTTCAAAGTGGTATTGAACTTGGATTTGCATGTGTCATGCGCGAAAAAAACGAGCGCCACCATGTCGGTAGTCAGTATGTCTTGGATCTACGCTGGTAAACGTTCCTAATCTCGTGGCCCTCAGACACACATACACAGGCCTTTCAGCCTACGGCCCTATAGGTGCTATAGGCAGACAAGTGCTACAATCGAAATATCTAGAGTCGATTTCCACTGAGAGCGTACTTAATTCACCATCTTATACCATTCAATTGTGATCAGCCAGTTTCTATTTACGTTGCTTAGTCTAAAGGGGGGCCATTCTTGACGGAACAATCTTCGCCTCAATTACATAGCTGAGTGTTTAAGTCAAAGCTGAGGTCAGTCACGCCCATCACCCCCTCGAAACGAATACTCATTTGGAATAGCAGACTATAACCCTGGAGGTTCGCAACCCATGGAGGGTAAGACAAGACAGTGTATAGCTTACGGGGCGGCGGGAAACCATCCTATCCAACCACATTATACTACTACCAATTTTTCCAGTCCAACATATATCGACCTTTACCAGCTATAAACTCCTGTTCCAATCGTTTGCTTGCATTGATTGCATGTCATGCGTAGCACGTACGACTACAATTTAAGGAGAGGGAAAATCGCAGAAGTTCTGCGCCTTCTATCTCGCGTCCGATATCCGGTAGGTAGGTAGGTAGGCCCTCCCAATAAGGCCGCGGCAATTAGTGTCACACTCGGACTGCAAGACTGTGGGTAGTCCAATCGTTGGCTGGATTATTGGATGTGAATCCACCCGCTTGCTCTTATGTAGCTCATCTCAAGTAAACATGGAGTAGCTACCTGCTACCTACCTAGGTACCTAGGTTCCTTATTGATTTTCACGCAGTGGCGGCTGCTAACCATGGGTATATGTATGCAGGATATGTACGGGGGAATATAGGACCCTGATAAAGCCAGGGTCAGCAACGTCCTTGATATGAGAAACGATGGGCCCAAACGCGGGGAAAGATCAAGTAAGTCACGCCGAGAGCAAGAGAGGAGAGAAGGGGGAAGATATAGAAGTGTTTGACCAGCCATACACCAGATATTATCTACTCGAAGTTGACCTTATTAAGGAGCTCAGCATTTTCCCTCAATTCCTCAGAAATATGTGCGTGAATTGATTGTTAGCACCTCTCCTTCAGAGCGTTTTTACGGGAGGATAGGGCGCTTCATCGTGTGATAATAACAGCCAATGATAACTCTACTTTGTCATGCATGCTAAATTTCTACCTATCACGATGTTAAGGGTGGGGAGGTTAAGGGGGGCTCGCATCTGCAGCTATCCAATATCTCCGAATGGACAATGTAACGAAATGCTCAATTCAGCCAAGTAGTAAACGATATACTACGAGGTAGCTTGGGTAGATAGGTAGATCCAATAGACGAGAGAGTTGGTATACCCTGAGCCCCTGTTTCTTCGTTAGCGGGCCCTTTGCCCAACGCAGGTGACCAGACTACAGCCAACAGCTCCGTATGGCTCGCAAAAAGATGCATCCGCAAATATTAGTGAAGGTGAATGGAGACAATGCGTGCCCAATCTACCTATGATAATGCGTAGTGCTATTATCTGCAGAGACCAGGCGAGGGAGCGAATGGTTAGGAAGCGCTCCATATTTATAATCATATAGCTCGAATCTCGAAGCTTCACCTCATGGTGATAGGTATGCGATTGCAGGGCCTATATGTGCCATAAACGGGCACACATTATGTATCCCTCGCCGACCGGAAGTGATAGCTATCATGTGCCTTGCCAGCGTGTTGCAGGATGGGCGGGAAATCGACAGGCACAACCTCCCAAAGAGCTGGTCTCGCACTAGCTAACATACCCGCCTGTTTCTTGTCACGTTGAGAGATCTACAAGGATCATCCGTATAGCTAAGCGGGCGGTGCCGTAGATGACGACGACAAAGCTCGTTCATCAGGGGTGTTTTCTTGAGGCTTCGTTAGCTCCCTAAGCTTGGGGGCGATCTCGTTCTAATTGTCGGCCATTTCCCTCTTGGAAGGGACAAGAAAACGAGGTTATCTATCGCTCATTCGTGCAGATGGTTTGGCGATCTGACGATGAACTCATCATCGACCCCGCCCCCGCTTCATAACATGCTAGATAGGTAGCGAGAGGGACGATCGTGGAGATAGCAAGGATAATCACGCACATCATTCCGACATGAAACAGATCGGAAAGATTCACTAGCAGCAAGAAGCAATAGCTTATGAGTCAACCTTTCAAAATGACCAAAGAGATAATTATCTATCCCATCAAGTCCTGTCGGCCGTTTTAATCTAGTCTCCACTACGGTGAGTTAGGTATTGTACCTCTGTTATTCTTGGGTTAAGAGGGAAGCGACCTAAAAACCCCGACACAAGTCCCTAGCTTAATAGGCGAGCAATTGGATTCGCTGTTAGATTCGCTAAAAGCTGCTGCATCATCGGGCATCCCTGAGCTCTCACACGTTGACCGCCGAGACTGGCTCGACGTGCTTCATAGTGGAGTTCTAGACGAACCAGTCGAGTAAAACCCCAGGAGAAAAACTAGCCAAATCCGTGTTCTCTAGAAACTGAAGAAAAGCACGAGAACGGAAAATAAAGCCGTAGAAGTTACGCTCTCCGGTAGGGTTTGAACTTGGTCCACATCGTCTACAGAACAAGCCAAGTCTAGTGCTCAGGCCCGAGGCGTAGGCTTGTTCCATGGCATCGATTCGCATCCACTAGGTAACGGGATCATTGGTCTGGAGAGAGGTTCCAGTTCAGGTCCCTTATTAGCTGCTTCACCCTTCCTTCTCCAAGCTAATCCGTCCCGTCTGACCTTCAGACAACCAAGCCTACCTGATCTCACCACACCATCTCTGAGAATTCGTGGCCAGATGGTGAAGCCTCGTGCAACCTGCTTTCATGCAGGCTCGTGTATGAGAGCACTGCGGGCCGTGAGTTGCTTATACCTAGATCGTGATCATGCCTCGTCGCCGTAACAGCCGCACACCACCTTCGTTGCCATGTTCTACTATGCCGATCCATTCCCACCCATAACCCATGCGGCACACCAACTGTACCTGCTTCTATGTTAAAAGTCGATTGGTTCCCGATTCCGTAGAGGGACCACAAAAGCAGCCAACCTATTCTCTTTAGATGCGAGTGTGACAAGCAACGCTGCAGCTGGTCCTTTGATAGTTGATGCAACCGAAAAGCACCGGCGTGGTACTGTGGACCGAATTAATTGGTCGCTGGCCGCGGGGACCCATTGAGTTTCCTGCGCCTATCACCAGTTTAGACTTGGAGCACATAGGCTAGATTAATCCAATAGGCGCGGATTGCTACAAATTACCAATGAGGGCTTCCAACTTTGGGAATATATAGAGGACATGCGTACCTGTCTAGGTATCACCTGGCTGCGGGATGAGGACTGAAAAGGGAAAGGCATCGTATCCCTCACGGCCATACGATAACAGCCAAGTCGCTATTGTGCCCATGCCTTAATGGTTCTAGGGTCTTTGAGAATGTCACGGATCGGTTGCTTCGGATGACAATGATGTTGATGATGATGAGATAAACAAAACACTAGTTACGTTGAAACCCAACTCTAGGTCAAACAAGACTAAATTGTCATCGTGGCACAATTTGCAGTGAGATGAACCTAGGAATAGACTATTATAGACAATTATAGGCTATAGCACAACTACTAATACATAGTATATAACTGGATCAACTTCCCAACTAATAGTTCGGTCTGCTATCGGACTAGAGATCCCGAATTAGTCTAACCATCTAAACGAACAGACTAAACGAGGAATGTATGAAACTAAAAAAAATATTTTGCGGGCAGTTAGTTAATGCAATAGCCGCGCATAGACAGAGGCAACACCTATTCGACTCTCGAGCACGACTTATACTCTTATTCATCAAATTCCTCCGTGTCTTGTTAAGATCGAATGGGAAGCTTCCAATTGATCCCGTCAGTGACGGACGTGGTGCGAACGGCATAATTCTTGATGCGGCTGCACTTTTACTATGTGATGGCCGAAGATTAAGACTGAGACTTTACCGCCCATCACCGCCTATTTCTTCGCCATTGCTACACATTTAGGTACCTTTGAAGTATGCTGAAATCCGACTTTCTCAACAGGTAGCTAAAGCCTCGCCGAGTTTTTGATTGCCGATCCTTTTGTCTATTACCATAAGGTATTCACATAGAGTGACATAAGAAGCTAGAGGCCAGGAGCGGCTGCAGGAGAAGGGCATGTCAAGCTTCACCGCTGGTTTCGAGACTGGACGATACCAAGACTCTCCATACATACCTCCCTATGTAGTTATCTTACCGATCTAATATAGGTAGGTACATACTTGATCGCATAACGCTTAAGATTTCTTTCATAATCTCTTAGCAACCTGAAGAAACCCCTCACTGGCTGAGGGTTTAGTATCCCGCCGAAGTCTGAGTCAGTCAGTATACTATTCTACACTCAGAAAAGAAAGAAAGAAAGAAAAAACACATTTGAAGATAGGTATCGAGTCTCTAATCCGTTTCTGCTAAATTTGCCATTGCCCTGCCTGTTGCCACTTCTCCAAGTGACCCAACAACTCGCCTTACACAGAGGTAGGGAGAAGTCTAGCCCAGAGCTATTGGTTCGCGAAGAGCCAAGCTACAGGTAGTTATCGCAAAACGCAACTCCTCAGTTACGGACAAGCAGGGCCAGCAAGGCCAGCAAGGCCAGCAGGATAGCATCGCATCTGCCGCACACTTGGTCGCCTCGAATAAATTGACAAATAGGCTACTTTAACTTCAACATCCGGACCCCATACAAGCTGCTCTTGAATCCAGTTACGAATTGTTCCCAAATATCTTCATCCACGAGTTGCATTGTCGTCATTGTTGGGAGCGCGATTTTTTTTTCTAACAAATCAGTTCTCAGTTTTCTTTATACCTTTGACTTGTAGCGATTATTCGTCATGCCTTCGCCTATCATCACATTGGTCGGCATATAGTTGCATCGAATAATTCATTTAGGTACCTAAGTGTCACCTACTTACATATTTTTACCACGGATCAATGTCATTGTCGTCAATTCAAGGTCTTTCTCTTCCATTACTCCGTTATCCCGACTTCTTTTATTTTATTCATTTATTAATACATTAGTGACACGTTTTTTACCTGTTATAGATGTTTCCCCTTTCTCGAATTTGCCCCCCCACGGATTTTTGACCGAGAACCACTTCGCTTAAGTTCGTGACTGGCTAAAACTTATCCCGCCTTTGTTCTATTCGCCTCGATTGGGACGCTGGACATCCCGTGAGAGATCATCTATCTAACCCAACCCAACCTATCTTAGGTGCTTTACGGATAGTCGTATAACTCCTATGATACCCTACATACATATCTACCCACATACGTATTACATACCTCTACCTCTTACTTACTTATTACATTACTTACATACGACGTAAAGTACGCAATACGCAATACGCAATACTGCCACACCACATTTATGGTATTACATTCTACCACGCAAACGGGTAAGGTAAGGTAATACGGTAGGACCTACGTCGAGGATACATCGAGGACTGGTATTACCTAAGATTTCCAAGCCAGCTTGCATAATTCGTGTACTCGAACCCCGCGAGTTTCGCTGGGCATCTCCGACGTAGTGTAATTCGGTTCCTGACCTGACCTGACCAGACCTAACTCCTCCTCCACCCCTTATTAGTGGATTCCGTGCAAAGTCGGGTCGGTGAGAACGACAGGTGACGGGACGGAGAGAAGGAAAAGAGGAAAAGGGACTGGAGGGACGATGCCACGCTAGACCTGGTGATTCACCTTTCTGCGTCTATACCACTTACGCGATTTTATACCGAGCCTTGCTACGTATTATTGTACATGATTGGAACGTGGTTGGAACATGTGACAGGCACCTAGCCTAACACAGACAGCTACAGCCCGTAACCTAAGTACCTACCTAGGTAACTTTCGCCGTTGATTCCGTCTTCGTCCATTCCGTTCCCGTCCGGTCGATTTAGTACAAGTCACGGTACTTTTTTTTTTTTTTTCTTCTTCTTCCTTTCGGGTACCTGTTGGTGCGATTACGGGTACTTCGGTTCAACGCTATTGTGCCACGTTGAAGAAAGTCACTCGATACCTGCTGAATTGTACAAAACGCGAATACCTATCATATCCACCGTTGCAGCGCAGCAGTTGCGGAACGGTGCACTGCAGTTGCGGTGGACCTTACGCCAGGTAGTGAGGGAGTTGGCCTCTCGTTTGCAGACGACTTCCACTTCAACTTACCTCATACGTACATTTTATCTACCTGGTACATCCCTAATAAGCCTTAAACATATGGTATCTCATTGTACCCCTAAAGAATTAAAGAGCCCCACTTTCCTATAGGGCCTCACCACCTAAAAGAGCAAAATAAGTACACCTGTAGGCTGTAGCAAAGTCACAGGTACTTTACCCTGCGGTTATTTGTAATATCTGCATTTGGTACTCCATACCTGCAGGTGTTAGCAACACCGCTCAGTACCTTACCTCAGGTACCTGTCAAGGAAAATCCCCTAAGGTTCTGTCTCTTGCCTCTTCAGGTGTGTCTTTCCCCTCTAGGCCTTCCCTAGTAGCGTAGGGCACGCCGGGCACGCCAGCGAAAGCACGCTAGAAAGGAGCCGGACTGCCACGCTTATCATCAACCCATCAATCATCAGGGAAAAGGGAAAGGGAAAGGACCAGACGATCAATTTACTGGATCCATCAGGGTGAATCCTAAAAAATCCGTTCATCATCCCGTCGCATCGGTCTTGTCAATCTCCTCTTCTTAACCCGTAAGTGGAAGTGGAACAGTTTGGAAAAAAGTGGCTAGAGTGGCTACTACCTAAGGTACCGCAGCTACCGTATTATACCTAGGTACCTTAGGTACCTACTTTTTCTGGCTGTACCTATTGTATGTTTTTTTTTAGATTATTAATTTTTTTCTGTTTCCTTACCTACCACCACCTGGAGGGACCTGATCTAACCCATCTATTTCTAAAAAAGAGCCAATCCACAATCAAAGCCTCATAGGTAACGTACTTGTTACTAAGGTTTTGTCGCTCTTTGCGCTCTTCGCCTTCTACTACGCCTTCTTAGCATTACCTACCTGGTACTAGGTATACGGAATACATTAGGTACACCATACCTATTCTGAGAAAAAAAAGCCCCCCCCCCCATCATCCCATCCTTCTTCCCCCATCCCCCGTCTATCTATCATCAACATCACCCCCTTCCCATACCCCCTCCTTCCTCACGTTCACACTCACACAACAATTGTCCTCATCTTCTCTCATCCTATCTTTCTCCCTTTCTCCTTTCTAAATTCTCAATCCGTATTCCGTGACCTCATCAAACCACCATTCACCCCCCCCCTAGTTGTGTTGACACACACGCCATTTACCATTCTTCCACAAAGATTGACACCGACCATTCTCCGTTCGCCTAAAAGTAATGGTCCGTCATTCGAATTACCTAGTCGTAGTCAGTTCTTAATTGAATCTGACTTCTGACTTCTTTTATTTCTTCTGTCTTTCCCTTCCTTTCGTTTCTAACATCAAGCCTCGTGCAAACTACTACAAACGACTATTGTATTATTTTTGTCCCTTTTTTATTATTATTCTACTCGAATTTATCGCATTGCCATTGCACTAGCATTGCTACCATTACGTTCAATCTATCAATATTTTTATTCTCTCTCCATCTTACGAGTCCGCGTCTCCAAGTCGGCATCCGATCTACCTTCACCGCAGGCCCGCCTATGCAATAATTCTCCACTTTCCCTCGTCACCGTCTTTTCGGTCGTCCCAGCGACTACCGCCAAACAACAAATCCACCAAGTTGTCCTTCATTAGGACTGTTGCGACACGCTTCTTTTTTTCTTCTTCCACTTTACCTCTATAGCCACAACTCTCAAACAACATCATGTCGTCCCTCCCCCCTGATCCATACAAGATCCTCGGTGTATCTAAAGATGCTCAACTGCCAGAGATACGATCTGCCCATCGGAAGCTGGTGCTAAAATGCCATCCCGACAAGGTTCAAGATCCCAAGTTGAAAGAAGAAAAGCAGAAAGAATTTCAGCAAGTTCAACAGGCCTACGAATTGCTAAGCAACGAGGCTGAACGGACCAAATACGATGAGAAAGTCAAACTTGAAGAGCTGAGAAAGGAGAGGGGAATGACGTCGACCTCGACGTCGACTCCTCGTTCTTCTAAGCGCACTGAGACCAAGTACCATTTCGACGTTCGCGAGGCTGAACCGCGACCTACTACATTTGCAGCTTCACCTAGTTCCCACAATGTCTATGGTCATACGCCTCCATCCCGCTCTTGGGATGAAGATATCTATAGGAAATACGATGATAAGCCTCGCTATGCGAGGAAGACGGCGAGCTACGAGTATGAGCGAGAGAAGCCATCTCGGAAAGAGGAAGAGCGGAGGAGACGGAAGGAGGAGGAGGAGTGGAACAAGGAGAAAGACAAGGCGAGAGAGAGGGAATTGAGAGAAGCGGAACGAATTAAAGAGCGTGAGGCGCTGAGGGAAAGGGGAAGGGAAAGGGAGAGGGAGAAGGAGAAGGAGGCTGCCAAGAAGGAGAAAGAACGGCGCAAAGATGACCGGAAGGAGGACAAGAAGCGGTCCGACAAAGACCGACGCAAGGAATCCGAGGAGAAACATCGCCGTCATAAGTCGCCCTACATAGAAGTTTGCCCGGACGACCAAGAGGAGAACCTATATACAACCTCGCCTTCCAAGTCTGACAAGAAGAAGTCTAGTAGTACTCGGAAGTATGACGATGTACCTGTCGCCCCGCCCCCGCCTCGGGAAACAAGTCGGCCACCACCAACCACCGAACGCGAAAGGAAGAATACGGAGACATTGGAGTCTGCGATTCGGTACCTCAGTAGGTCTGGCGGAAAGCCGCCGACACTCAACCGGGCGCAGACATATCATCCGGAATTCTCAGTCCGACATATCGCCCCGATCGCCGTACCCACACCGCCGCCGGCTACTACTTCGGTATTCACTCCACCGCCCATGGCCGATTCCAGGGATATGTCGGCAGATGAAGATCCATTAAACAGGTCATCGGGTAGAACTCGCCGCATGTCGCACGACACTCCCCGCTCCAAGGAGAAATCTAGCAAGAAGTCGGGGCCGCCTCGAGAGATTATTGTAGATGCCACTCCAATATCCGCTACCGCTCGAGGAATCCCCTCTTTTCAGAAATCACACTCGATCCCGATTCCCATACACGCTGATGGTCACCGAATTCCGCCTCTGAGTCGCTCGAATACCGATAATTACTCTCGGCCACCTCAGGCCCCGGGTCTAGAACGAGCATCAACGTGGATGGCAGGTTCTGAGCTGGGACGAGACCGCAGTCGTTCACGCCCTACTCGCATCTATTGCGATGAGTCATCAGAGGAAGATCGAGATCGACGTCACCGTCGTGGCCGGCGTATGCAGTCTCCAGAACCCATCACCACGCAGTCCACCAAGAGGTACACGGTAGACTCGACCAGGAGGGTTATTCCGGTACCAGAGCACTATTTCGCAGAGGACACACCTAGGAGTTCGAAGAAGACTTCCCATCATACGCCCAATAGCTCTGCGCGGCGTGAAGCTCGGCCGAGTTACTATGTGCATGAAAGCTATGAGGAGGATACGCATGGGCCATTTCCGAATGTGAAATATGCCGACCAATTCGACCCAAAAGATATTAAGTATACCGAGGTCCCTCACTCGACGTTTCAGCAGGAGGTGTATACATGATTGCTCGGAGAAGTCGAGAACGGGTCTGAAATCAATCGATGTTTTGACCTTGTACGCGATCTGTCGATAACACGAAATCTATCATTGTTTCGACAAGAGGAGGTCAGAATATCAGGGTTTGTCGTAAATCACATACCCATGATCAAGAGCGTTTCTCAACGCGGTTTTATTTCTTTTTTTTCCATAGTTCGAATTCGGCGTTCTCAGTGGCTCAGGCGTTTGAGATACATTACCCGTTAAAGAAATTTTTGAAATGCAGTAACGACTTGATGTCTTTTCTGATGGACTTGGTGAAGAGGCGGGATGGAGACAAGCTAGGTAAAATTCCTTTCGAAGGTCCTATGAGGTTTTCAAAGGCGGTGGGAGGGCTTTTTGTGGTTTGGGTCGGCTTACAGTCCGTCCGGATAGTTCGATAGGATCCCTCCCATGCGAGGCAAACTGATCCTCTGAGGCTCAATTGTGATGTGAGCACGAGCGCATGACACAACCAGCTTTGCTATGCACACACCGAACTCAGTTAGCCAATCACAAAACTTACAAAACCGTCACACCTACTTGTAGGTAGCCTATTTGGCCTCCAAATGGCGAGCAAGCTTTACCATCTCGCCTCTCCAAGCCCCACGAAGTTTACGAGAGATGTTTACCGTTGTTGGATTTTCGTTCTTTCCATGACTATTTCCTTACAATCTTACGTTTTATACCTATATATACACACATAACTTGCATATTGAGGAGCGAGAAACCAGGAAACAGGCTGGTCGGGAGTGGGTTCTTCCCTTTACATTTTCTTTACCTTCCGTGATGGATCGAAGCTTGACGCTCTTGATGTCTTTTATTTTTCATCTTCAGTCATCTCGTCCCTTCGTTCATTAACGAGGCGTTATGCGGTCAAGGAAGGGTAGGAGCATTCGCGGCAGGTGGGTGGGCAGGACTTGAAGATAGTTTGCCGCGCCTGATAGAGGCTAAGCATATAAAGGTACAGATGTATGCGACGAAACGCTACGATATGGGCGAAAATACACATCAGCAAAAACTATTACTTATTGCCTAGAATACTTTGTTTTATTGTGACGAATCGCGTAGCCTCTTGCTCTTGGCCTGGTTTAAGGATAGATTACATGAGGTGGTTTGTCTGATGATCGGAACACCAATCGAATGATTCACGTATGCCTCAAAAGAGGCAAGGAGGACGTACCTGAGGCAACCAGCTTGCTTCTAGGCGGTCAGCCCTAGATTATGACATAGTAACGTGGTCTACGGTAGTTATTAATGCTTTCGTAGTCTTCACAAACAAGCTAACATGGAACGCCTCTAAGGGACCACTGCGGGTTATACAGATAGATGATAGTTCAGTTTCTATACCAAGAGTCAAACTCCATGAATAAAACAGTCTCTAATTTATTGCCCGAGTCTCGTCGTTTTGTTCTTATTGCCCTGAGAAAGCAATTTCGTGAGCACAAGGAGTGAAAGTTTATTGCTAAATTGTTTTGATATTTGAAGGTAAAAGACGGCGCTGCTGTTTTTACTTGATGCCTCTACAGTCCAGTCCACATAGGGGGGATATATTAGGAATTAGCATGAACAACGACCAATCTACAAATTACTACCATCTTCAACTCAATTCTCTTCTAGATAATTTCTTACCAGGTCATCTATAAGAAAAGTTGAGAGACTGCAATCAATGGATAATCCGATGGCCGATCCATACACAGGAAATCCTCCAATGTCCTCAATTCAGGGGCACACCGGATGATTTCCATTTGTTTTTATTTCCTTTCTGTTCTTCCGCTTTCGGTATGACCTATGTATGCTGTTTGCTGTACGGGACGACGACCCCCGGATGCCGGCCCGGCTCGCATACGTAACGTTGCCCTGCATCAGGTACGCATACGTAGCCAGCTGTTTGCTTTGCCGCGTGGTCGTTTGCACGGGAGGCTACCGACTAGACGAGAGTGGGAACTGAAACCATGGTTAGGTAACTATATGTCGATGAAGAGTAGGTACCTAAGGTAGGTAAAGAATGACGATGAAGATGATGGAAAAGATCAATTGATGGCGTCGATGACTCGCTTCCGGGTCCGCTTCCGAATGACCGGATCGAACCTATGGTTGCCCTGTCCCAAGTAAACAAAGCGGCGAACCCAACACCGACTTTTTCGTCAACAATCATGTTGTTGGAAAGCACAGACCCCGGGGGGAGGAGCCACGGGGGAGCCACAGGTCCCTTGATTTTCAAAAAGTGGATGTTCATAGGTCAGCTGGGCGGGAAATTTCGAACCCGGATAGGTCGAGAGAATATACCTAAGCGAAGGAAGAGAGAGAGGTACGGAAGCTGGGGAGTTCTAGACGACAATCGGCACACCTACCTAGGCTTGCTTGCTAGGTAAAGATCTAGGTAGGTCGGACGAAAAAGCCGAGACCGCTCCGCGGAGCAGGCAGCGAACGCACGTTCCCCCCCCCCAAAAAACGAAATTCCCCGTTTCCCCATTTGCGGAGGCGGAAAACGTGATCAACGCAGACGGCTACCTATCTATATATAGACCCCCCAATCGAAAAGGAAATGCGTGGCCGGGCTTGTTGGTGACGCCCATCTCTACGTGGATGGGATGGCTCTCGCGCGCGCCCGCGGCGGGCTGTTGGCTGCTGGGGCAAAGTCGCCGCCGCACGTGCCCTGGGGGATGATGCAACAGGGCGGATCTCATAGGATACCCCAAGACCCGGGTTCCGTACGCCTGCCTGCTCTGGCGGGTGTTCGTGTTTCCCCTGAGCTGCTGCTTGACGTAAGCCTCCGCCGTCTGAACGGCATGATGATGACAGAATGGGGGGGGTTAGGCAATCGAGGAATTATTGGTGATTGATTGATTGATTGATGGGCGGGCTCTCTGAAGAGTTGGAAAAATTCGATAGGCAACTACCTAACTTCGGTCGTCGTTGGTGCAGCCGCATACGTAGGGCCAGCAATTCAGGGGCCCAAGGGGTCTTTCTACTAAGGCCGGATTGAGGTTTTCCACACTCCTGGGGGTGCCTCTTTGGGAACGTGATGGGAACACGGAAAGGGGTATGTTACCAGAACGTGGAGATTTCTTTTCCACTTTGTATATACCTAGGTAGGTAGGTAGCTACTTGGGGAAAAGTCTCAGGGTCTTCTCTGTCCCTAAATTACCTGTTCTACGGAACGCTAATGCAGATACCGAGGATGATTTGTCCCCGAGCTGGAGATTTGCGGGTTGTCGAAGGCAAAGAAGACTTTCTTTTGTTTTCTATACTTCTTCTATACTTCTATACTCCTGCATATGATCGGCCACGAAGTACCGAACAGGTAGATACATACGTACACGACCTACCTAAAGCAGTTCACTCGGGGTCCATTCGTAGGAGCAATCGAACGAGATGGTCACCGAAACGACTAAACTAGTTACCTGTCAAAGATAGGAGGTAGTTGGATAGAAAATTGGATTGCTCTCGGTCGACTGAAACTCACCGCCTATTTCTTTTCGTGAGTTTCAAGACTTGTTGTGCTCGGTGGAGTCGTCCTATAAGATGCTAAGATGCTTTGCAAAAGCTCCGCCCACTCATTGACGAATGATTCGATGCGCGCGGGTTTATGAAGTACTGGACCCGGGATCGTATACCTAGATGCCGAGGTAAGTTACAGGAAGCAGGAGAAAATTAGTCCTACCTGCTTTGTCCTTTTCGGATCTGCAGTAAATAAAGACATGATGCTAAATTGCCTACTTGCTATTCAGGACGTTGGAGATAACCCCTATTATTACGTTGAACCTGAGGATACGGAATACTTGATCGGCTTCGAAAGAAATAACAGGTAAGAGGTACCTAAGGTAATATTATCTTCCTTCAAGTACCGTATGACTATGCTGTGAGCCAACATATCTATAAAGTAAACCCTGTACTTATACCTGTTCCTGATCGCTTAGGTACTAGTATGTATGTAAGTACGGCTGTTTTCTACGATAATAAATTCATTCAAGGGATAGATATTTAGAGAAGCAGATTAAAGATACCTATGTAATTGTCTTTTGAGTCTGATTTATAACCGTATATCCAAGTTGGTCGCATACGTTGGAGTGCAACAATACTAGCCAGACCTGAGAGATACTAGGTTAGGTACTAAACCCGAAAGCATAAGGTGGTATACCTACAAGGGGGATTAGTCTTCACAAACGCAAAAATACATCCTTTTACGATGTCTCCCTTGTATCAGTATTGTTCAGATTTTTATTTTACTTTATTTTAGTTCTAGTATAATATGCATAGCTCCCTCCCTACCTAATACAGGCTACCGCTTCTGGTTCGCCAGAGCAAGCCACTCCTGAATCCTCCGCGTCGCGAGCCGCGGCAAGTCCTTGTACTTGTCCCCGTCGTACGTGTCCTCGATAGCTTTCAAAAGCCGCTTCGCCTTCGAGACCGCAAGTCTCTTCGCGTCGAGGTAGTGCTCCGTCGCCACGAACTGGTCCGCGTCGTCTGCTAGGTCCCGCCGCTTCTTGCGCGCCGCGGAGCTGTCCGTCTTCTCCGCGGCGCACAGCGGGCAGCCGCACTCGAAGCCCCATGTGGTCGCCAGCGCCGCTCGCCTCGCGTCGAAGTCGCCGGACTCGTCGTAGCTGTGGAAGATCTCCTCGCCCGCGGCGATGGCCCGCGTGGCGCGCACTACCATCAGGTCGCCGACGTATTCCTTCTTGGCGTTGGCGACGCACGAGTGGTTGATGTACGCGGCCCAGATCCAGAGGCCGGTGCTCGCGTTGCTGACGCCTTCGTCTCCGAATTGGCTTCCCGGGCCGAACGCGTTGCGGGATACGATGTCGTGGATTCGGAACGTGTCGACCACGGGGCCATCTTCCGTTTTCGACACGTTGGTACCGTCGCCCGCGTAGTCGCCATATAGATCCATTACTTTTTCGACCTGGGACGGGTTGCTCAGAAGCTTCTGTACGATGGCCTTGCTTAGGCCAACGGGTGATACCCGGATCCTGTCGTCCCTCACGTCGTATGTCATTGCCGTCAGGGCCTCCTTATCGTGGCCCCAAACCACGCAGAAAGCTTTCTCGCATATGACGATCTCTCCGGCGGGGATATCGCGTGTCGCGAATAAGCCGCGGCCCCGCCCCTTGCTCTCCTCTACCTTGGTGTTGCTTAAGAAACTTGCTGCGTCGACGCGCGGACGGGCTCTGGACAGGTTGGCTCTGATCTTCTTGAAGTTATACGCCCCCGTCTCCTGCTCGCGGATGCGCACCTCGATGTTTTTCAAGTAGGCGATCGCAGTTTTGTTGTCGGGGCTGAGATTCAGCTGCTCTTCAAAGAAGCCTTTTGCTTCCCGGTATTCGCCGAGATTATACGCGGCAGAGCCGGCGCGGAAATACGCCTTGCTGTCAAGGTCTTTGGACCGCTCGTCTTCTTTGCCGATTAGAGCGGCCTTTGCATCACTCTTAGCCTCGTCTAGCTGGTTTAGAAGAAGGTTGGCATGAGCTCGATTGCGGAAAAGATCTCGCGCCAAGTCAGGGTTAGCTTCAGATACGGTGCCTTGTCTGGCGGCTTTAAGACCTTCTGTATACTTTGCATGAGCTAAGGCTAATTTATTCTTTTCGAGGGCAGAGTTGCCCTTGTCTTTGCAGTTCTTCGCGACCTTCTCTGCATCTGTCGCGTCTTTAGCGCTACCTATTTCATCCCGGCAGACGATTAGATCTGAAGGGTGATCAACCCGGATCGTGGGTTCGCCTTGATCTGTGAGAGTGAAGTAAGGCTCTTTTATGATATAGCTAGATGCCGACTCCAGCACCTCTTCGCCGTGTCTTGATTTGTGCAAGCATAGCTCTAGACGCTCCATATCCTCTTCTTCTCCTTCCTCCCGCACCATGGTCCATGGCCTCGCTATTAGCGGGACTACTGGGCTCGCGCGCTTCACAGTGAGTCGACGGCCACGATGATGAGTCTCCATTCGGAGATCCGCTAATTTTATAGGCTGCAAGTCCTCAAGCGGGACGACGCACGGCGGATATACTTGTCCTACAGGGAGAGCCGGGAATGTGCCTGCTCGGCCTTTCGTTTGTGCCAGGTCAGGGTCCGGCGCTCCCATATCGGCCATGAGAGATGCGCCAGTCGCTTGCTGTTTGGCAGCCGTCGCATCTCTCCTTTCCCGCGCGTTGCCAGCAAGTTCGGAGCATTTCTTCAGCCTGTTTTTGGCAATATTCCGAATGCGCTCCGATTCCTGCTCGGTCATAAAGACCGTGTTTCCATGTTGCTGGGAGGCCATCGCGAAGACGTAGACGTCGTGGAATGCGACAACGCCGGGACTTGTCTTTTGCGAGTCCAATCCGATGAAGGCACTAAAAAGAATTTTAGTGGTAGTTATTTTATTATATTATTACCTCATTTGATAACTCTCTAGACCTGCATCCATCACCTTGAGTTATGTCATTTTAGGTACGGAGTAAAAAGTTTTAGCGAGTTAAGCGCTCGTTTTTTCTTAGACACTATCAAAAACTAGTACAGGTATGTAAATGTAATTTTCATACGCAAAAACGCATTAAGGTAAGTATGTATAATCTAAAATTTTAAAAGCAGACACTTGATTTGTTAATACTTCTGCAACTCAATGCCGGCTTGCATCGGCCATTACTTTAACACTTTTAAGGGGGGATAATCCAACTGACTTTTGTTATTTGTTACGGGTATAATTAGCAACAAATTGTAAAACTGAATATGGATAATAGAAGAGAAAAAGTAAGTTGCTAAAGACCTAAACCAACGGAATGTATACGCCGTAGTATGCTATGGTACATCTATGTATTGATAACAAATATGAGAGTAGGGGTATATATCTGAAATGACATGGGAAAACCGACTGATGGTATGATGTTAATAGGTACTACAATACAACTAACTTAGTAGTGAGTTGAGCGGTGTGCCCGAGTGCTTCTTTATAATGTGTTTTATGCGACAGATCCCACCCATCCCACCTTTCCAACCTTTCCAACCCTTTATTATCGAGAGGAGGGCTTCTTCCCTCTTTTATAATACAATGATTCCTTCCTGTAACTTTAGGTAGGCACCTAACTTTAATTAAACTAGGACGTAGAGTGAGCATATCTGTATCAGTTAGTGCATATTCTCTCTCCCCTTCTAAGAACCGGGCAAACGGCAAACGGCAAACGTGACAACTTACCAAACTCAAACCTAGGATCATGCTGGACCAGAAAAGCACGTTATTCGCCGTCTTATGGGCACGAACCCATCTCGTACGCTGCAGCATGACAATAGGTAACTGCAACATCTGGCAGATAAACCCGTACCCACGAATCTTCTTGGTGATACACGCCATGACGATCTCGTGGCCGATGGACGAGATTAAGAACGTAATGACTGTCGCGCTGCTGCGGCCAATGGTGGGTTTCGATGTTGCATATACATGACGGCGCAGGAACGAGTAAACCGGTATATTCCACTCGCGGCTGAACTCCATCCAGTCTGTGCTGTTCCACCAGTCGCTATAGAAGTGACGGTCCGCGAACTTGGTAATCTCGGCAAAGGCACCTAGGACGTACTCAAAGATAACGAGGAACACCAGCAGGAAAGTCAGCATAAATGGGAACAGAAGCCACGATATATTCTCAGCGAGGATAAGCAGCTTCTCAGCCACGGACGAGGTGGTTTCCAAACGGACTGTTGATTCTTGCAGCACGGGCAGGATGAATTCTTCCGAGATAACGGTCAATAGGAATATACAGCCGAAAGTCGCGACTATCTTGGCTATGAGTGATGTCCAGTTGATAGATTTCACGCGCGGATACTCGAGCTCGTAGCATAGCGTCGGACAGAAAAGATAATCGGTATAATTCGACCACGACAAGTTACGAGGGTAGGTTATGTTGCCAATGGGGCTCGTCAACTCACGAGCCAAGTCCTCGCGCAACTGCAACAGGCCCTGATCGTCTTCGTCACTGTCGACATCCATATCCTTATGCGCTAAGCTACCCATTGGGTTTTCGACCGAAGGGTAGACGTATGCTGGTTCCTTGGAGGCGCCATGAGGCTTGTCGAGGGCGCGCAGTCGCTTTTCGGTTTCCGAAAGGTGGCCGTTATAGAAAGCATAAGAATGCATCTTCATAAGCAGAACCATTGTATGCAATAGGAAAAACACCTGGGCAGTCCAAGTCCAATTGAGGATAAAGGGAATGGCAATCCAGAACGCAAGCCATACAACTTGATATATGCTCTGAATGGCCATACCACCCTTGTTCCACGTCAACGCCCCTTTGCTACTCCTACATAACTTGTGTAGCGGCAAGCTAATAGCGGTACTGGCGACCATGAAGAAATCGGCGATAGCTAGATGGGACAAGTTAACGGCAAAGAGTGTCCATATCTGTACGCGCAAGGGGTATCCGGTATCCTTATAGTTGCGCAGCATCGTAGTGATTCCCATGATGGCCAACCCAATCCAGAATAAATTGAAGAATCCATGAAAGTCGCGATAGTCGGATTCGGGATCGAAGTGAGAGACGCGCGAGGCGAATTCGATAGTCGGGAAGATGCGCTGTCGCTGTTCCGCTCGAACCTGTTTCCGCGCACTAGACAGAGCTTTCGTCGACGCGGGCGCATTTTCGGGGACGGGTGTCGAACGGCCACTGGATTGATATGAATTAAGTCAGTTAAGACATCACGAGGAACTGGAGTTATAACAATAAATAAAATAATAATAAAGAGTACTCACCTCGTCGTGCCCGAACCAGTATCGTCTACGGGAGCGTCGAGATATCCATTTCCGTTGACGGAAACGGCGCTGTGCTCTCTAACGAGCTCCGCGACTTGAGCATGTTGGGGTTTTCGTGGCCGTGGACGTAGAATATGATCGTGACCACCATTCGTCTCGATGTTGGTGGAAGACATGGCGTCTATCGCGTGTAGGTTAAAACTTAAAGTTACCTACCTACCTAGGCAACCTTATTATCAAGGTTTCGAGGAACGGAGAATCGGTAAAGGGAGATGGCAGCCGGTGCGAGCTTTGAAAGCTCTTCGAGTGATGAAGTAATGAGGTAACAAGTTATTTAGGGATAAGGCTGCAGTTCTAGTATGAGTTCTAGGGTGAGTTCTAGGATATAGCTCCTTAGGTAAAGTTACGTGATACGTAGGTAACTTTAACTTTAGCGAGTCAGGACTCAGGAAAACTTCGAGGTATATGTACATGAGATATGTACCTACCTAAGGTAATGTAGGTAATCTGTAAGAGAGGAAAGAGTATCGGTAGTTGATGTAAGGCAGACGGTTTATAAACATAAACGGCGTGAAGCTAAAAGATGTACTAGGTATGAATGTGTACTACTTGTGCATTGTGCATAAGCTTCGTCAACGAAGATTTTGTTTTACACGTCTAAGTTAACAAATACGAAAAATAGAGATGACTTTTTTGTTCCAAAAAAAATAAAAAAAAAAATGATTGGAATGGTATAAGCGCTACTACTGCGACGGCGTCATATATCGATCGATCGTATTCGAATGCGAATGCGATTTTTCGCCATATTCCCAAGACCTCGAATTGCGACTCGCCAGTGACAGTGGATGACACGCAATCCAAAAAAGGAATAAGCCGACTCTGGCTAAACTGAGGTCCCGTCTGCGCAGCTCGCTGAACAGAGCAGCCGTCGGTACCTGCGCTATAAGCAATCTCCTTAGGGGTTATTAGGTACTGGTTCTAGCTTTCTAAAATAGCTGCCTAGCGCTTCAGGGGAGCCGAGGGGCAACCTGAGGGGTCATCAACTCATCAGAGCTCGGCGCCAAGTCTCCCAATCTGTATTAGCGCTGTATTACCTACATATCTATGTACGGATTCGTACCTGTCTTATGTATCCTGTATGTATGTATGTTACACATTTGACGTCACGGTTAGGGGTGCTTGATCCTTTTAGGTTACTAAGGTAGTCCCTTGAGCTTGTGCGACGTCAGGGTGCATAGGTAGATCCCACTCTTTACCACCCATTTTTCTTCCTCCAAATTACAAAAGCTTCAACTTCGGCTACAACTCGTTCAATATCTCTCAATGTTCACCAACATCAGAGACAACATCGCTTTGTTTCTATATTTATCGGAGATTACAACGCTCAAACCAGGACTTTTAAGATGTCGACCATTTATACTGATAACCCGGATGGTCGTTTAGAAGATGCGGCTGTCCGAAAAATACCTCTCGAGCCGTAACCCCTGGACGCTCAGCCTCCGCTCGGAATAGCCCCCTTCTTCGTAATTCGGGAATTACAAACTCGATGATATCTTCAAACGAGCCAGGGTTTACCACATGCGCTAAGTTGAAACCATCCACGTCAGCTGTCTCAGCCCATCTCTCCAGTTCGTCTACAACCGTTTTGGGGCTTCCTATAATTTTGGGCCTGTACAAGTTTTGGAACCCGTCAGCTGATTTTCCAATTACCTTAGGTTAGGTAGGTACTGTATTTCTCTCTCGTCGATCCTGGAATGACTTCACTTACATCATGCCCCCAATTGAAAGGAATTCTGCAATTCGAGCTTTGGTCCACTTTAACCCTTCTGTGCCAGGCACCGTAGTAGACCATCGATTTATCAAAGAACGAATAGCCGGCTTGTCGACGAGTACTAAATCTTCATCGTCGGAAAACGACGATAGGTCATTACCCGTCCAGCCGCCGAATAACGCAAGCGCGCCTTCGCGGTCAGCATACGAAAGATACTCCTTATATTTAGCCTGCGCCTTCGCATCCGTCTCGTCGACAATAACGGTAACGCCTGTAAATACTTTAATGTGGCTCGGGTCCCTACCGAACGTCTTGGCTGTGGATCGGAGCGCGTCAACCGATTTTCGCACCAATTCTGGGAGCTGACCTCCCATGAACACGGCCTCTGCGTGTTTCGCCCCGAATTCTGTTCCGGCTTTGGATGTTCCGGCCTGGAATAGAAATGGCGTACGTTGGGGAGACGGCTCCGAAATGTGCGGGCCCGGTACTTGGAAGTATTTCCCCTTGTGGTTGATTTGCCGGACTCTACCCGCCACTGCGAACTGGCCCTTTTCACGATCCCGAATGACGGCATCGTCTCTCCAACTGCTTTCCCAAAGCTTCAACCCGAGTTTAGTAAGTCCCCAATCTAAATTGCTCCAACCGCAAAGAGAGCAGGTTCATACCTTGTACACTACATCCATATACTCCTCTGCAATCCGGTATCTTTCATCGTGCTCGATCTGCGTCTCTAGCCCGAAGTTCCTGGCCGCACTTTCGAGGTACGAAGTTACAATGTTCCACGCCACCCGTCCTTCGGCTAGGTGGTCGACTGTCGAGAATCGCCGGGCCATGGCGTACGGCGCATCGTAAGTAGTAGAAGCGGTAACACCAAAAATGAGATTTTTCGTCGCCGCTGCCATCGCGGGCACGGTATACAAAGGGTCGTTGACTGGGAACTGCGCGCCTGAGGCGAGGACCGGGTCGACGTTAGCTGGGCCCTTATAGACGTCGTAAGGACCCAGAGTGTCCGCGATGAACATGGCGTGGAAGCCGCCCTTGTCTAGAAGCTGCGCGAGCGAGGTCCAGAAGCTAAGTTTATTGTAGTCATCTGTATGGTTCCGTGGGTGCTTCCATAATCCCGGAGACAGATGCCCGGGAGTCGTCATCACGAAGGCATTTAGGAGAAGTTGCTTCTTGGGCTTCTGTGCGTCACCTCCGGCCTCGTTGGAAGACGCCATTTTCTATTTTAAACCCTGTTTCTGAATAATAGAACAATTTTGATGATAGTCCTTGCCGGATTTGCTTCTAAGTTGCTGAGATACTACGGATGTTAAAACTAATGCAAAGTACAAATTCAACCAGAGCGCAGGTAATATTCCTTTATTTGTGTTGGAAGGTTAGGTATTTATCTATCTACCTACCTCCTATACATATTTCTCTTCCCTGCGTGCGTGATAGACCCCAAATATTCGAGCTAGCCTGCCAAAGAGGTATAGATATGGACGTGGGAGTTGAGAGTATCATTGGCCTACTCCATTCTTCCATCATGCTCCGCGCCGATTGCGTGATGCGAGTTCCGGTATATGCTCTCCGGTGCGACCCCTCTTACGAAATACTGACTACCTTAACCGAATATACTAGGCCCTTACTAGGAGATGTAAACTATTGTACTTTTTTATAGTTGTAATTGTGTTATTAATTCAGAGTTTTTCAAGTTGCGACAAATTTCACCCTATGGACCTGTCAAGCGTTACGATACGATGAACATGCCTACCTAATTCAAGCTGTGTCTATAGCCAATCATAGATCTAGGTAAACCGTCATACGCGTTATATTACATAGTAGAAGTATAATTACCAGGTACCTTAGGTTAGGTACCTAAGGTATACTCTCAATTGTGTCTTAACATAACGTGATGCTAAGGATAACTGAATTTACTTACCTATCAGAGGAGACGGGGTGATTAATCATGCTTCGACAGAGTGTTTTACGTAGTAAGTTACCTACATCCTGGGTAGATATAAAGGAGGCTCACACTGTACAGAACCATGATTATTTTATTTAAACCATACCATATTCCTCACGTTTCTATCATTAGTAGGTACTTTATGCCTGTGCAGGTGTATTCTAGCTAAGCTCGTATAAGTCAGGGTATCTATATGAATAAGTTGATTTTCGAGCAGGTAATCGGTGCCGCTTGTAAAGCTTGTGTCCACCATCTTGGTCTTGGTCACCTCCCCCACAGCTTAACATTTTCCGGGTTCCAGGTCTCGACGACAGGGTGTGGGTGTTTGGTCCATCAGCGAATCCTATATCACGGTATGTCCTTTCTTTAACACCCCGGAGATGTCTTGCAAACCCTTCAATGGCTTGCAGGCAAAGCTTATGCCGGGAATATGCTGAGGAGTGCGATATCGGTCCCTGGAGGATGCTGAAAAGGGATGGAGCTTCGGCAGATCTGCACGATCCTGTAAGTCATCGTACGAATGTCCGAACGCAGGCAATCCTGGATTTCGGGGTTTGGTTTGTACGGAGATCGGGTCGGGAAGCGCACCCCAGATTCCGGGCTAATGGCTCTGCGCTGGAAAGGACTGTTGAAGAACGCTTTGGGTAAATCTGTATTATGCCTGGAGCCGAAACAGCTCGGATCGGGAGAAGACTAATCAGTAGGGGCCTTCGATCCGGCCTGTGAGACAGCATGGCTATTAGAAAGAGCGCAAGCCGTGCGTCCGCATCCCCTTGGCCTATGAATCTCATGAGCCGGAAAATCTATTCGCTGCATTGCATGTCTTTGGTTCAGTTGGAGCTTGCTTCAGTGATGGCTGATATACTTACTCGTTCATCGTCCAACACTTTACGGAGGATTTCCCCGACGCATTCTACAATTAGTATGCAACTGTTGTCGGCCAATGAGCGCGTCCGTGGTTAATGGCTGCAGCCACACGAATATCTTTTGGGAAACAACGACATTCATGTCTGTCTCACAACGGACAATGCGAGAAACGGGAAGGGTGCGTAGGGATATATGCTCTCTTTACCCTAAATGGACCTCGCTTGGGACAGTGGAATAAAATAATGGGATTTCGGTATTAAGGCTGGATGGAGGCTTAGGAGCTCGACTTAGGAGAAGGCGTGGATGATACCATTGGGAATAGCATCCGGGGGAGATTATGAGAAACGAGCGAAACTTAATATGGTGCGCTCTTCAAAGCGACTCGTTCTGCCAGCGAAACCGGGATGTGAGACACGTTGGTGCAAGACGAAGTCAAGTCCGAACACGACTGATTCAAGATCGTAACGTTCAACGGGAAACGCCTCATTCCTTGGCGGCACGGCGGCACGGCGGCCATGTGGGTTGTGATTCGCCGGCGTCGTCTTCCTCGTGTCTCACGTCTACTTGCTTTCCGAAAGACCTTTACCACGGGCGACAGTACCCTGTACGCTTTTGTGACGAGGCAGGTGATGGGCTTAGTTATCGGGCGCCAGCGACGTAAGGCAATCCTATCGAATACAGAGAACAACAGACGGGAGGGGGTCTCGTGATCGTCTAGAGACGTAGGACATCGGGATATAGGGGAAGACCCAAGTCATCGGGCAGATGCCGACGATGGAGGTAACACGAAGGATTAGCCTGCTCGTCTTTAAGTAAGGGCTCATACTCCCTCCCACACCCTTTTCTTCGCTTGTCAAAAGGAGATGGAATTTAGATTTTGCACGTCGTAGGACCGCGTCGTATTACCCACTGGATCTCGCACCACCGCTCCCGCAAACGACAGCAGAGAAATGCGGGTCGCCATAATAGGCGCAGGTCCTTCGGGACTCGTGACGCTCAAGTACCTCCTCGCCGCGAAGGACGCCTTGGGGGTAGAACCCGTCGAAGCCCGCGTCTTCGAGAGCGAATCGGGAGTGGGAGGCACGTTTCTGGCGAGGACTTATGAGGATGCTGAGGTAAACGTGAATCTTTGTTTATCTTAGATCTTTCTATTAGTTAGGTGATTGACACACTGCGATTTGCTAACTATTGGCTGCTAGCTGGTATCCTCGAGGCAGCTCACCAGCTTCTCGGATTTCCGGTTCAACAGCGACGAGCCGGATTTTGTTAGTGCAAAGCGGTACCTTCAGTATCTCAACGATTACTGCACTCACTTCAAACTATGGCCGCACATAACCCTTTCCTGTCCGGTCAAGAGCGTCCAGAGTCGAAAAGAGGGAGGCCACCTCGTGACATACTCGTTGAGGGGACAGCAGCATGTCTGGGAATGCGACGCAGTGGCTGTCTGTTCCGGACTTCACGTCGAGCCTGATATCCCCCATATCGAAGGCATTGAGAGAGTACCCGTGGTACTTCATTCATCGCAGTTGAAGAGGAGAGATCAATTCGGCGTCGGGAAGACTGTGCTTATACTAGGGAGTGGTGAGACTGGGGCCGATATCTCAGTCCTTGCTGCCACTTCGCCAACTGAGCGGGTAGTAATATGCCATAGGGATGGGTTTCACTTCTCACCAAAGGTAGGCCTATCGTAAGAAGCTAAAGGTACCTCTCAGAACAAGGCGGTCTAAGCTTACCAATGGTATAGAGAAATCCAAATCCTAAATTAATATTTACGCGGCAACGCAGCTCCCTGGACCGCCCTCAGGTACCAATTGATGTCTCCCGGGCAAGCCTTTTTGACACGGCGTATGTACACCCCTGGCTAAGGAACAGCAACGCTCTATGGATGTACTACGACTGCTACGTCAGATGGATTCTCTGGATTTCGTGGGGTACCACGGACGGAATAGACCAGTGGATAGGGGGAAAGCCTAGGGGGTGGTCTACTTCGGAGAGTAAGCTTTTCGCAATCACTAGCCGCGTATCTAGGTAAACTGAGACTGACCTACCTAATATTTGCAAAGTCTTTTTTAACAAATCGGGCTACAAACTTAGCCCCTATATTGACGCGTCCTGGAAGGCCAAGGCGCCACAAGGAGTCCTGGACCGCATCCGCTCGTGGATAGTTCGAACGCCCAATACGGAAGAAACCCGTCAAGGCCGACAAGTTGACGTGGCACCTTGGCCGGAGAGGATAGACGAGACTGGTGCCGTCGTATTCAGAGAGACCGACCGACCGGAGTACGCACGCATGAAAAAGGAGTCTATCAAGCCGGACGTGGTCGTCTTTTGCACCGGGTACACGCACCATTACCCATTTTTAGGTGATCACAGACACGACCCGGGGTATTACGAGGGCAAATTGGTCCGGAAGATATGGCTTCGCGACGACCCGACCCTGGGTTTCATCGGCTTCGTGAGGCCTAACCTAGGCGCGATCCCACCGCTCACCGAGTTCCAAGCGCAGCTCTGGGTGCTCAACCTCCTGGCGCCGAGTCGGGTGGCGAGCCCGCTGCTCCCGGGCGACGAGTCGCACTACCAGCTTATGCGGACGAGCCACGCGCGGATCCGCTACGGCGTCGACCACGAGAGTTACGCGTACCAACTTGCGTTAGACGTGGGATCCGCGCCGTCGTTTGCAGACGTCCTGCGTATCGGTTACGCCAGTGGAAATGGCGGCTGGTACAAGCTACCGCTCACGTGGGCGCTCAGCGCCAACTTCAACACGAAGTTCCGGCTCCTCGGGCCGTGGAAATGGGATGGTGCGGCCAACGTCATGAATACGGAGATGTGGGACACCGTAGCTAGGAGGCAGATGTTCTTCGGTCACTTTACCCTTTCGGTCGTTCCGATGCTCATTTTCGGACCGATGAGTTGTATCGTCTTCCTGTATGCCTCGCTATATAACTTTGTTTGGAGCATTTTTCGTATATTGGCAATGGAAAGGTGGGAACATGGTAATAATCCGGAAAGTAGTTCTCTCTTGTCTTGAGGGGTCTAGTAGTAAAACAAAAGAAAATAGGGGTAAGGGTCTGGGAATAGCCAACCCACATTACTCTAATCGAAAAAAAAAAAAAAGAATCCTAGACAACAATATAAAGTGGGGTTCAACCATTCATTCTCGTCTTCTTCGTGAAAATGAAACGGGATAAGAGCAACAAAAAAAGGGAAAAAGAAATTGTCCAAGCTAGAATTTTCTCTTCAGCCTAATCTCAAAATTGATTTTGTGCGCTCTGAACAAGCAAAAAACAATGACCCCGACCCGATTTGAACGGATAACCTTTCGATCTGGAGTCGAACGCGCTACCGTTGCGCCACGAGGCCCGATGTGCATTTCAGTTGGTTCTAAAGGTATATTAGCGCATACACCGTTTTACCCGGTCTGCATCCTCCACCACTCCAAGTGGGAGAGCGTTTTAATATTACTGTCCTGGCGTTGGCGTTTGGCGTCCGGCACGCGCCAAGAGCGTCCTCCGGCCCGACTTGGTGTTTTACCAGGGTGATTGTAAAAAGAGCGCCGGGTCCGGGCCGGGCTCGTACATGTCACGATGCTACGCAAAGAATTGCACGGGTTATTTTTAAGTCTGTCTATTCGTACCCACTACTACTACCCCGTGTATTAAGAAACACGAATAAACATAAATGGAAAAAGAGTTAAAGAAAAAATAGGAGATCCTAACCTGTAATCATAAGGTCATGATGTTCCCAGAGGGGGGGGGGGGGGGGGGGGGGGGGGGGGGGGGGGGGGGGGGGGGGGGGGGGGGGGGGGGGGGGGGGGGGGGGGGGGGCAGGGG